TGGGATGAAGACTGAAATACACAACTATTTACTAATCAATATCTTAATGCAGCGCAACCACTACTCAACCTTATAGCCAACTATGGAATGATCATGATGTTACCAAAAGGCCTGCCAACCCTCCAATCCTCTGGTTCAAAGAATTGGACTCACCCAGACAATGTTTTTTGCACTGAACACACAGGAGTATCATTCATCAGCTGCACCACTAACCCTGCATTACAAGGACCAGCAACAGACCATGTCCCCATTCTCAGTATACTCGAGCTTGAAATTCCCCAAGCCACTACAGAGATCAAGCACAACTTCTGCAAAATGGACTGGGAGGAATTCAAGAGACAATTAGAGCTCAAGCTGGCTAAGATCCCACCCGCTCAACCATTAGTAGCTAATGACGAATTCCAAACAGCAGCCAGCAATCTTACAACCTCCATTCAAGCCACCATTGAACAGGTTGTCCAGAAGTCCAAGCTGAACCCCCACTCCAAATGGTGGTGGACCAGAGAACTAACCATGATGAGGCAAGAAGTTGCAAAACTCAGTCACCTGTCATATTGGAACAAAAATTATGCTAACCATTACAGTCATGAGGAACACTGCATTAAATGTAATCAGTATGCCAAAGCCATCAAGCAAATCAAGAAGGAACATTGGATGGAATGGCTCAAGAACCTCTCAGGTAATGAAATTTGGACAGCTAACAAGTACCTTACAGCTATGGCAGGTGATGGCAGACTATCAAGAATCCCCACACTCAAATGCCCAGGAGGAGGCACAGCAGACACTAACAAAGAAAAAAGCACAGCTCTAGTGCAAGCTTTCTTCCCACCACCCCCTGAAACCACCTTGGTACCTGAGGACTTTGACTACCCAGAGGCAGTCCCAACACCAGCGCCAATAACCTCCAACCAGCTCCAATGTAGTATCTCAAAGTGAAGCCCATACAAGGCCCCAGACCCTGATGGGATTAGTAATATAATCTTTAACCACTGCACTGACCTGCTGTCATATGCCATTCTGGACTCTCAACTCTAAATCCGCTTCTCCAGATATCCAGATCCGAGATCCAGATCTCAAATGATCTGATCTATCTTTATCTCCTTTCTGGAATCCAAACCCTATATCAGCGCCCAACCCCATTTAGACTGCCCCTGTCTCCAGACTCCGGTTAACCATGTTTTCCTTTTGATTATTGATCCATTACATACATTTCATTTCCGGTGTTCATTATTTGTGATCCATCCTACTTACTAATAGACTCTGCATATGCTTCGTACATAGCCTTTATGTTTGCTGACTGATTCCTATATGATACCTACAGTATATAAACCTCCTGTAACTCTCGGAAATACTCCAGTTCAAATATCATCCTAGTTCCTGCTCATTCCTGTGTCCTCCAGACTCAAGATAAGTCTCTTGTCATATTCTGGGTCTTAGGATTGCATCCTAGACTACATTTCTGACTCTACCTTAAGGATAGTCTATCCTCTGTTAGTTTCTAGTCTGGACTTCATCCGGATTAGTCTTATCTGCTTGCCCAGGTAACATCCGGACGTCCATTGGATTTATCTCACATTTCAGATCCGGACGTCCGTTATCCACCCTAGTCAAATCCCAGAAACTCCAGACGACTATTCTAGCCCCCAGAAATTAAGGGCACATACTCAGGAAAGGGGCACAGTGTATGAGCTGAGGCCAAGCCCTTGTGATCCAACCCCCTTGAGCATGCGACCTTAACACCTGCTATGTCCCTATCTCCTCCACTTATTTAGAGCAGTCTTCACACTCAACACATATTACAACCCATGGCACAATTTCACAACAGTAGTGCTATGAAAGCCAGGCAAGCCTGACTATACTGTTACTAAAGCTTACAGACCAATCGCACTCCTCAATATGACCTGCAAGCTATTAACTGCTGTAGTAGCTGACCAAATGACATACCTGCTAGAACACCACGAACTCCTTCCCAGTATGCACTTCGGTGGATGACCTGGACGATCCACCACAGACTCTCTCCACCTTCTTGAGGCAACCATCAAAGACACCTGGCAACAAGGAAAGGTAGTATCAGCACTATTTTTAGACATCAAAGGAGCCTTCCCCAATGCTGTAACTGACCATTTGCTACACAATATGCGCACATGTCGGCTCCCTGAATCACTAATTAGCTTCACTGAATGATTACTAACAGGAAGACACACAGCTAAAATTTGATGGCCACCTATCAGAATGGATCCCAATCACTAACAGTATAGGCCAAGGAGACCCTCTCTCAATAATCCTGTACATAATCTACAACTCTGATTTAGTCGATATAGTAGTAGGCCACTCAAAAATGGAATGTACCCTCACCTTCATTGATGACACTGCATTCATTGCCATCGGAAAAAACTTCCATGAAACACACACTATCTTGAAGGACATGCTGGAAAGAGAAGGAGGAGGCTACATATGGGCACAAGATCATAACTCCAAATTCAAAACATCCAAATTTGCACTAATGGACTTTTCTATGAATTCAGCAAAGGACCATCTGCCCTTAGTCACTTGTGGCACCATGATCACACCAACAGCAATGCACAAATTTTTGGGGGTTATCCTTGATCAAGTGCTGAGATGGAAAGCACACATAGCATATGCCATCACAAAAGGAACAGCATACGTCTTACAGCTGCATCATATTTCATCTACCTCTACAGGTGTCCCACTCTCATTAATGTGTCAGTTATATTTATCAGTAGCCCTACATAAAATGCTCTATACAGTCGATCTCTGGTTACGCCCTATTTTTGTTGGAAATGAAGACAAGCAGCAACTCAGATCCATTGGAACAGCCTGACGCCTAGGCCGTATCCAAAGACTGGCTGCACTAAGTATCACAGGAGCAATGCGTACTACAGCCACTGACACATTAGAAGTCCATGCAAAACTGCTACCAATAGAGCACAGGATGCAGAACCTCTGCTATCAAGCAGAAGTATGACTAGCTGCTCACCCTAAGTCCCACCCTATGCACAAACCAGTCTGGAAAGCAGCCAAGAAGTACATCAAATGTCATCAATCATCTCTCCACCATCTATTCCATGCCTCCCAACTCAACATCACCTCCATCGAATCCATCACCCATAGCAGACACCTGCCAAACAACCACAAATTGTACTCGACTTACATCGCCAAAACAAGAGTACAAGCTATAGCAAAACATGATGCCAATGAAGACGAGATCAAGATATACTGCGACAGTTCAGGCATAGATGGAAATGTGGGTGCAGCAGCAGTTTTATATAGATGAGGACATCCCCGCCCAAGCATGCTAAGATACCATCTTGGCTCTATTGATGAACACACAGTATACAAGGTGGAATCAGTAGGACTGACACTAGCAGCGCAGCTCCTCTCAGCAGAGGAGGATATCATGTACCCTGTCACAATATATGTCAATAACCAAGCAACAATCAAATCCGGTGACCTGTTTTCCACTAAACCGGGCCACTACCTGATAGACCACTTTCACAGTGCAATAGACAGGTTGAAGAAAGCTAGCAAGGATCATAACTTCAAGGTCAAGGTCCATTGGATCTCAGGTCACAACGGAGTAGAGGGCAATGAGAAAGCAGATCAAGAGGCAAAGACAGCTGCGAAGAATTGGAGCAACAACAGTGCCATCCACCACCTTCCACCATATCTGAGAAAAGGCATTCTCCCAAGCAGCCTCTCTGTGCTGAAACAAGCACAGCATCAGGAATCCACAGAGAGATGGGGTAGATACTGGTCCAATTCCCCTCGCTATGTGTGCACCATTGAAGTAGACCCCCACCTCACTGCAGCAAGCAAAATGTTCATCTCCCACGCCCAACACCTACCAAAATGCCACATAAGTCTCCTGCTAGGCTCCGCACACATCACATAACACTCAACCAACACCTACACCACATCAAGAAAAGTGCCACTCCCAACTGCCCTCACTGTGAAGGTGTCCTCGAGACAGTACAACATTACCTTCTGCTATGCCCACACTATGTGCACAATAGACACATCCTTACCTCCATCCTCAAAAGATGAGCCTCGTCCATCACATATTTGCTCACCAATGCTAAGGCCACAGCGCCGCTCATACGCTTTGTCAATAGCACCAGAAGATTGAAGCCCACTTTTGGTGATGTTCCCCCTTCCTCACACTGAAACCAGATAACAATCATACCCATAAACAGATCAGCAACACACGATTCCCATCTACACACCTTAATTATTATCACTTGCCAACACAGGGCAACAGGCACCATCTGATGGCCCATCTGGAGAATTAGCTGCAAAGAGACCTAGGAGACAGACAGGGCAGAGAATTTTTATCGAGGAGACATGGCACAAAAGGTTTCATCAGCAAGCACATCATGCTGGACCCATCCTACCTCTTTCTTTCCGCACTCCATTTCACTCCCCTTGTGCAAAGATCACTTAGGTGATCCAAGTACATGTATATTCCCCAACACACAACAGGCCCATCACAACCACGAACTGTATTAACCTGGACCCATGGAGTAGCAGACTCATGCATCTAAAATGGCCAGCAGGAATGGTGGACTGGCAGGGATCAAACCCCCGTCAGGGCATTTGCAGAGTAGGAGACACAGCGGAGGACACAGGTGTCCTCCTTTCCTAGATAGAAATGTCCTACATAGGGTACTGTACCCCAACCAGACAAAAATTGGATTTAAAAATAAATAAAAAAAGTACATGGCTACTACTGATGTGATGGTATTAGTACTGGGTATATTGTAAATGTCAGCCTACTGTTGGACAAAGGAGAGTTCAAGAATCTCAACAAGATGATTTTTTAATTAGCCGTAAAGTGTGAAGATCGAAACGACAATTGGTAATAGTAATACAACATCTGGAGTCTGTTTGAACATCCGAGGTTAAATGAACGTATTATCGACCACTTGAATAACATACTTTGCAAGTCTATGTCATACAGGGTTTTGTATGACAATCTTTATTCAAACCACTGCCTCCCGGTACCGACTGCGTTCATCATCCGCAGGGTCGAATGCAACAGTCACTGAATGGCAGGTGAAGCAGGTGCGAACTTCGCTGTCTCGTTGTCTTTGAGAGGATACATTACCGTCGATAGCTCCTGAGTGACCTTGCGTTTCAACTAATTCTGTTCTTATTGGAGGAGTCTGGGAGCTAGAAGCTGGTGGTTGTGGCTTTATGATATCTTGGACACGCCTTTGGCAATCGAAGCAGAGCGGAAATTTGCTTCCAAGATGTGTGTCGAGTGGTACAGAGCCACGTGTACCCTCTTTCTTTAAGCTGAGGGTGATGCGTGACATCATTGCGACCTTGTAAAGGAATGCGGCCGAGGATAACATGAAGCAGGAAATTCATGATCTGCGTAAATCGGACTCACCGTTAATCTGCAAAAATTACACATTTGATATTTGGAAATCAGTTGCTAGATCCACCATTCGACCACACTCACATAAGTTCAAGTCTGAAAAGAATTTCGGTTTCAGAGGATGTTAGTTAACTATGCCACGTGACACATAGAAGACGTACTGTCCAGTAATGTTCTTCAAGCCTTGTGGAGCCCTCACAACCATGATGGTAAAGATAAGGTTTATGGCACACATTACACTATTAAACTTAATCATATAAAATTCTGCAGTTGTTCGATCCAGGAGCGCACCTGTAGAATAAAACTCCATTTATGAATAGCGTGTGAATGATATGCCCTGCCTCTTTGTTGTGCATCGAGGGCAATGTTCGGTTCAGAGTCAAGGCAAAGACGACCGTGTCATAGCAAAGAGGAACCCATGCCCACGCAGCTGCAAGACCCCCTCTGAGTTTGCTTTCAGCATTCCATTCGCTGAAAAGCATAAATAACATACACACAATCAGAGAACTCCATACGACAAGCTGTGTGAAAACTGTGAGTAGATGAGATAAGAAGCGTCCAGGTAGATGGGCTCACAATGTATAAAAGGAGAGTGAGGGACAGCTGATCGACAGATTAACTGGACCCAAATCGCACGTCAAACGACTTCGGCACTCACCCACGCCGTGAGACAACAGCCAAGCACTAACTGCCACCCAAACAAACAACAACGTTGCCACAAAGATCACAACATATCTGTTATCGCGGTACATAGCTCGAACGCTGACAGATAGGATTCAGAAATTATGTATTATGATGACTGGTATATTTCAATTGAGAGCTCACCGCAGGAACATCATTAGCCCCACAACTTGAATCGCCACTGCCGTCATAGCCCCCTCGTACCGAACGAAATGCTCGCACCTATGCACCTGTCAGAACGCATTGAAGTTTAGAATTGGATGCCTCACTTCTACATTTCTCGTCAGATTGTCTTCATCATAGAAAACCAAAAAGTACTGACTATGAACAACCAAGAAGGCAGGCTATATGCTTCGTGATAATTGAAGCGTCACTTGTCGGCACAACAGGCATTCAGAACTCACCAACAAGGTTCACGATGAAACCAATGGGTGTGAGGTACCGATTCTACACCAAAGTCAGGCAGGAAACGTCATTTTCTGACCGCCAACATACGAGCAAGAATAAGAACGTCACTGAAAGTTGATGTCACCACCAAGAAAACAATCTATGGACAAGCTTACAGAGATTCTTCGGACGACCCCATATGATCTCCACCTGTGGTGGGTTAGCCAATGGTCCAGTAAAATAACAAAGATGGACCTCGTCTGCAAACGTGATCACATGATCCCACACCAGAATTGTGAAGCCAACGACGCCAACAGCCTTCAGATGTCTCCTGAGCCTAGACCATTGGATATATGTATACTTAATAACCCACAACAGTTTGGTAACTGGTAGGAGGGTGAGGAAACTGAGGGACACGGCATGGGACACGGCACTTACGCTTCCAGCGCTTCACTGATGATTTCGGCGTTCAGTGGGACCGACATCGTCAGAGTGACTCTCAGACCGAATAGTTGCGCTATGAACAGAAGGGGAAATGGTGCCGCCGATCCTTAAGAAAAGAGAAAGGTACGCAGGGGAGTCAGATCAGCGAAAACTCACTGCCCATATATAAATATGTACTCGTGATGTCCAAAAGGAAATCGGACATTACCAGCACGTAGACTAGTTGCAAGTATCAAGGAACTATAATGCTTGATGCATTGATAATTAAATGACAGCTGTGTTCGAAATGTGAGCTATGTTAAGCCAAGGCTGCGAAGCATTTGTACTTTACGAGGAGTTTACGTGATTACAGGGAAGCCCACGTTAGTGAAACTCGGAACCAGGCTCGGGCAGAGTAAGGTCTCTTGACATCCTGACCAGTTTGAGAAACCGGGTAGTGCTGAGCCGGCCCGTCTGTGTTGAGGTTCATTGATATCAAAAATAGAGGTTAGGGACACAACATGTCAAGAAAGCTTCGACGAGGCCTTTCTACGAGCACTTTCAAGGTCCATAATCCGTGAGCCGACGAAAAACAAGCAAAAGCATAATAGGGGCACCGTATCTATTACAAAACCTTGGCAAGGAAGGAGCAACTATCTTCATTCGTCCAAGGTTTGCTTAGGCTACTAGACTAAACCTGCATACTTATGATGGGTGAATCAGGTCAATCTACAAATTGCAATAGTGAGCGTTTCGATAACGTACAGGCACAGGCACAACTGCAACGACTGATTGTGAGACACGCTGCATATCGCCCAGCTTTGCATTGGTACTCAGATGCAATCAAAAGTTCCCCGACTGTGCTTTGGGCATCTAGAACGATGGAAAACATGTTTGATTCAATAATATCTGCAACAGAAACGCAAGTAAAAAAAATAACAGGGGGCAGTGAGCCAGCGACTATGACGGAAGTAAGCTGTGTCACATACCAAGGTACAACTTGCCTATCACACACCAACGTTCCAAGCCTCGAGGTCACGGAATAACTGACAGTCCGTGTATACCGGATTCATTCTCTTGAATCTCCACTTCTCATCCGTGAATCAAAGACTCTGGACATTAACAGGTTCGCGAGTTCATGTGGAGAAAGCTGTAATTTGAGAAATTGAGCCTGGGAGATACACTCGAAGCTCCTTGGCGCAGCCTGCGCATAGATGAGGCGATAATACCTTCATGAGGAGAAAGAGATACTCGCGTCATTGTGGTACCCATCTTCCACTGCTGTCTTCGCCCTTGAACTTATCGTGTTCTTTGAAGTGCCACCAAAAGATAGCTACAAGCCATGATCACTGATACCTTCTGACCCAAGGGCGCTGTGTGGAGCTACTCAGGTCGTACGTCTGACACGGCAGGTGTCAGCTATGTGGATTAATCTGCCGCTATGAGTGCCTGCCAGCGTTTACGCTTTACGTGATCGTAGGGAACTCCGCACTCACCGCCAACAGCTTGCCATATGTCCACGAGGTTCGGAACCGAGCTGGGGCAGAGCAAATAGGGTTTCAAACATGGAAATCAGAGTTCAATAAATAAAAATAAAATATGATAGGAAAGTTTTGGGTAAAGCATTTCCACTGCGATGCCCATCAGGCTTCAGCTAACGAAAAAGCTATGAGGTGATGATACAGGGGTATTGCAACAACAAGGAAAGGTGCGACGTTGACCGTTCCGTGATGAGTCCGACCCTGACTCTAACGGAACATGTCGATATACTGCACCTTTGCGCTGGCAGCAAGGGGGCTTTCGGCTGTACGTGAGTACCCCTGGGCATGTACAGCGATGGAATAAACGTTTGATTCGATGTTGTCTACGAAACGAAGAGGGAGCCTGTGACCCAGCGGATATACGGGAGCTGTATCACATGCCAAGCATACTGCCATCTTGGTCCAACCAATGTTCCGAGATTGCAGAATATTCCAGACAGTTCGTGAGTTCAAATTCGTGAAACCCCACTTTGCCGTTTGTGGATCCAAGACTCGCAAGTTCTTGTGGAGACTCGGAGGACTGAAGAGGTAGAGCCTGACGTTGTGGGCGACCGCCAAGATGTGCCTGGCTCTGCTGGCACAGCCTGCTCGCACACGCGGTGATAGCACCTTCATGGGTTGGGAGGAACGGACATTCCGTTGTGGTTCTCGTCTTCTGCCGCAATCTACAGGCTCTTGGACTGCTGCTCCTGGGCGCTCTTTGAAATGTTACCAAGGACAGCTGCAAGTCATGAGATATCTTCTGAACTGAGATATTATGTTAGGGCTGGTGCGTCTCATCGATCGACAAGAATGTGCTGTTAATGACAGCAATTTACGCTTGTCGTAACTTCTTCAAATCTTCGAAGTCTCACTTAATCATAGCACTCGTCGTGTCGGTGAGGTCATGTCTATGTCCAGAATGTAATCAGTGAGTGCAGTAACAACTTGCAAGTAATAACGCACAAGGGTCCAAAGGCCTAAGGCCTGAGCGCTGAGCATCCCAAATTCCTTTGTCAAGTTGCTAAAAGCCGGTTGCAATTGAGGATATGCTGTACATTCGAATTTAAATTTTATCATGAACACTCCGCTTATTTATGTAAAGCCAAGGGTTAATCATTGCAAGGAAAAGACATAAAGCATCCCCTTCGCGTAGGAGAGAGCTGTCAAACTTGATATTATCGCACAATTGAGGATAGTACATTGCAAGAGTTGAAGCGACGGTACGAAGCATACCCAAAGTTGACTCAATTGTGATGTCACAGTGTGACAGTAAGGCTATCGATGAGGCCTAGTGGGATCAACAATAAAGGCAGCAAGAACGAACGGGTGGTAAGGCCTTAAGGTACGATGACCGTTGGGATATAATGTGACATCGAGTAGACTGAAGAATGAATAAGCTAATGAGTGTAGTCAGGGGTTGGTGTCTTGTCGCTTAGTCACTTTATCCACTGATTACCGAAATTCCTACTTGTAATCTATCTCTCCTCATCATATGAGCTTAATAATATTTCAGTCAAAGGTAGCTCATTCCAAATTTCCGATACTCGCTCGGGGTTGCTGAACAACTAGATATCATATATCATACGTGATCGTGATATTTGCAGCCCTCCTCGTTTCAATCACAATGTCGGTAACCTGGTACTATCACTTCCCGTTTCTTTGCTTCAGATTGACGGTCGTGGACTCGTGGTCGACTCTGACTTGAGTATACATGACGACAATCCACATCATGGGTCATGGTCTGCCACAACTTCAGCATTACATTTTCCGTGGCCGTTACGTATCACGGCAGCGCGTTTGGACCACGCCCAAGTCACGGTCGGACTCAGGAAGACCAGTACATTGCTGACATTCACCGACCCACATGAGTGACTTGTATTTTCTCCCACGCTGAGTCGGTGTACTACGGTTGCAACGTCTCGGTTACGACTGGCATCACCTCAGAAGGCTCGGATACAATTTGTTGAATTTCTCGGATCTGGCGTCTAGTGTCTACTTCTTTTTTGCATCGTGATCGCTACATATCAGGCTCTCTTGCATTTCCGACGTTACTAGCCTGGAAATGTATGTGGAAATCTCGCGACGAGACTCTGCAGTATATAAGCGCGAAGGGCGACGGTAGGCAGATGATCCATTACCCCCCTCCCCCAAGGCAACGCACCGATGGGACCATATTTGACGCACCTTGCAGGCCTTGTTGCATTTCTAGCTAGCTTATTTGTGCAAATTCAGGCACTCTCCCCCAACTATCTCGCGTGCCAATTGCAAAAGAATGCAGAAACCTCTCCGCTAACTGGGTGCCCAGCAGGAACCTTGTTTGTGTCGCCCACAGATAGCAGGGCAAGTTTTACAAGTGTCCAAGCTGCTATAAAATCTCTGTGGGTGACTGCTGGAAACTTTTTCCTTGTCTCCTGTCTTGATATTCCCCTAGGCCACAGACGGGCGACGCTGTAATTCTGATCGGAGAAGGAGAATACTTTGAACAGGTCAATATTGCGCGGTCCGCACCGCTCACTCTTCTGGTAATCATCACTTTCTCAGGCGTGACGTTCAATCGCCGAGATATTTCTTGTGTAGGGTCAACTTGATCCTTCCACTGCTTACCATTCAGCGGGGAATGCTTCTCAGCGCAACCTGGTTCACATTTGGTACAATTTATACGTCGAATCTGGGCTGACCGACGAGGAGACTGCGACTCTCACTGTTGCACCTGCCTCTGGAGAAAATTTCGGTAACACTAACTTCAGAGCATATAATATCGACTTCGAAAATCGCGCTGTAAGCGTTGATTGCTTTCTGATAATTATACATCTGTACAATCTGACCTAATTCAGGCCAACTACTCGATTTCTCAAGCCCTCGTCACCTCCATTAGCTATGCAAATGCTTCCTTCTATGGATGTGCCTTTGCTGGCTGGCAAGACACGTGGTACACTGGCAGCGGTGCATACACATATGTCGTTGACAGTATAATATATGGTCAAACTGATTGTAAGCCATGTTGTCTTGGAACAACCGTGTTGTAACTGCTGATGTTGTGGCATGCAGATCTTTTCGGATTTGGCTTGGCGTAAGTGTGTATTAATGCATATATAAACTCTCCGAGTAACTCTTGGAATAGCTGGTTCCAAAACGTGATTTTGGCTAACCGAGCTTGTGGCGGTGGTATCACAGCCTGGCAGGGTAAGAGTGGCACCAAGAATGGGGCATACATCGCCGATTCCAAAATCATTCGAGTCAGTTTTCTGGTTTGGTCCTCTTGTCTTTTTTTCAATGACTGTTTTCGTTTTAAATTCAGTCCCCGGATGCTAATGCTACCACTGTGACCAAATCCGGCTGTTCTCTCGGTAAGCTAAGAAATGGAACGCACCTTTTAATTGTCATGCTAAGTTTGGATTGCCTCTAGGACGCCCATGGAATGCACTGGCCATTGCTGTGTACTTGAACACCTACATGGATGAGAGCATTCGGCCTGCAGGTTTCAGTTCCTGGTCTGGAAAGTAAGCATCGTTGTAGGGGGACGACACCGATCGCTGATTTTCTATGGCAGAGGAAGCATTCCAGACACCACTTATTACGCAGAGTTTAATTCGTCTGGTAAGCCTCGTGCACTCATGCTGCCAGCGTCAGATCCTTATGCTGCTCGCAGGTCCTGGAGGGAGCACGTCGGCACGTGTAGCGCAAGACCATATCCTGACTTCCACGCAGGCGTCATCCTTCACACTGGAAGAAGTATTTGACGGTATACCAGCGTGGATTGACTTTAATTATCAAGCCTAGTATTGATGGTTTTGTCATATTGTATTGAAAAGGACTTTGGCGACGGAGATCCGTCAGCAGTTCATCCAACTTTCCTTGCATCTAGCATCTCACACACGCGGCAGCCACACGGGTTGATGCCGATCCAAACACATTGGAGCTTCCACGTCTTTGACAGGCGTGACGGATAGCTGCGCTGCATGGCGAATAGCTGTCATCGTCCTGAGACGCCCTTCAACGTCCCTTTTATCACCTGTCGCCTCGTGGAGTGTGACCGATAATGCAGCTACCTCTGGGTCTGATGGGATCATTCGCTTTGGAAGAGGTCTCCCATCTCTGAACGCGGTATCTGGCGGAAGTTGCCCGAGTGATCGGAACCACTGCGCAACTGCTGCTAAAGAGACACGGACTTCCCAGGAACCGCCTTCCTGTCCAATAAGAGATTCTAAGAATTTGACTACGACGAACGTTACTGGGGCCTGAGGACTCACGGTGATCGTTTTTGCAATTGCAGCTTGAATACCAAAAGCGAGGAAGTACCCTGCGACATGATCCAAGGCTTGTACAGGGAGTGCTTGAGGTTCTGGCTTATTCATGATGGGCAGTCCATCGAATTTAGCAAAAGCTTCAGCCTCCGCCCAATTGAAGCCTGTAGCAGTCTGCACGAGCGAGTCGAACTAGAGATCTCATTGTCAGAAAGTATAGTAATGAAAGTTGAAAAGGCATTACGCCGCGCTTGTGTTTCCAGGGACCCTCCCAACCATACGCTGTCAAATTGGCGCACACAATACCAGGCCGAACTTTGGCAAGCTCCTGGGGTCCAAACCCTTTCTCCTGAAGGCCACCTGGTCGGTATGCCTGCAAGAATACATCGGCATCCTTTACTAATTCTTTCAGGCAATCGTATTGTGAGGGTTGGGTGAGATCGAGCTGTGTCGTGCGCTTGCCGCGAGATGTATCGATATCGAGCACGGGTAAATCCGGAAGCTTTGGGGAGGTAACGAGGAGCACGTCAGCACCATACGCTGTCGAATTTGCAGATCAATCATGCAGCCCGGATCACTTTAAGAGAAGAATGTTGACACATACCTGCGAGCGTTCGGCCACACACGGGTCCTGAAAGCACCCGGCACAGATCTAAAACTCTAATTCCCTCGAGAGGGAACTGTGGGGACTCGTTGATGTCCCGTTTAGGAGCTTCTCCAATCTTGATGAGCTGGACTGGAGGTGTTCCTCTTAATGCAGCTGCTTGCGGATGCTTGTCCCACTCCTCGAATGTCCTATAGGCAGCAATACACATTTTCTGCTTTACTGCCTCATCTTCCAAATCTTTCGCATTCCATTGCAATAACGCGGCTTGGACGGCTTCACGAGTGGGGTCACACTGCAAAATATTGAGGATGCCCTGTCGGTGACTTCGGTGATCGTTAGCCACTAAATATCTGCCTAAAATTGATGCAAACTTACTGCGGGAAGTTGGTGTGCAGACGGACAAAACTGTCGTCTTTGGTTCTGTATATTCCTGCCAAGTAATCCCGCGCAGATGCAGTGGGAATCTGGCCATCTACGGTGTACCAAGATTCACTACTTGGTTTTAGTAAAATAATATCAAAGATCGAGGGAAGAGTAACCTAGAGATGTCTAGAATAGCGTGACGTGCATCGACACTGACATCTTGCATATTTCCGGTCCTCAGAGAAAGTATATATGCAGCTGCCAGGCCTGAAAGACCGATGGATGTCTTAAGGGGGCTTGCTCATATCGATCGACATCCGAACACTTGAGAGAGGTTTGCTTACCTGTGCTGCGCTCCCTAGCTTGAAGGAAGAATTAATTGCAGTTTCAGGGCAGCCACCGAGTTTGAGGTGTGAAAGGATCTCTCGGGGCAAATCATTGGCGAGCCAAAGAGAAGTGGCCTGATCGCATGATTGTGAGGTGTGGGTCATGTTTCTGCGGCAAATATTGAACGGGAAGTGTGATATGAACTAAGCAGTGCACGCTGGTGACCTGGCAGGAATAGTATGATAGCAAGAGTCCGAAAAGTGAGTCTGTCGTCCAAGGCTGCAAGAATGTCACAAAACGAAACATGAATTGTGCGTGTCCAACGCGTTGGTTGACAAACCTTGCGTGTGAGCTCAAAACGCTCGCTAGGTCTCGGACACGATCTTTGCGACTCTGCAGTGAGACCAATTACTGACAGAGATCATGCCAACTCATCGAGATACTGAAGTATTCCTACATTCATCCGTGGTAATCGCTGAAAGCGGAGGTTTAAATGTATCGGGATAAGCCGCGAAACCGAGAACTCCCGAAGAGTGAATATTTTGGTGGACCAACTGCACAGCGGGCCTTTACTCTGTCTTCTTCGGTATGGTCTCCAAAGCACTGTCGGCGTCGCTAGCTCGTTCACTCAGAACTTCAGCACGCAATCCTGTAAGTTTTTATACTTTTCTAGGTCGTATTACTTTGATTTTCATCCCCAACTAGCGGCCCTTGCGGTCATTTGCGACAGCTGTGAACATTCCATCTCCCATTACCCAAACAACAACTCTCTCCAATGGCCTAACTGTCGCAACAGAGTCTCATCCTCATGCACAGACCGCAACAATCGGTGTCTGGATTGATGCCGGTTCGCGTGCCGAGACCGACAAAACTAATGGCACTGCCCACTTCCTTGAGCATATGGCCTTCAAGGGCACCAAACGTCGCAATCAACACGCGTTGGAACTCGAAGTTGAGAACCTTGGCGCACATCTAAATGCGTACACCTCTCGCGAGCAGACCGTGTACTATGCAAAGAGCTTCCGAAAAGATGTTCCGGTCGCCGTTGATATCATTTCCGATATTCTGCAGAATTCCAAATTGGAGTCTACAGCCGTTGAGAGGGAACGTGATGTTATCCTTCGAGAGCAGCAGGAGGTCGACAAACAGCTCGAAGAGGTTGTGTTCGATCACCTTCATGCTGTTGCCTTCCAACGTACGTATCTCGCTTCGATCTCGTACTCGCTTTGCACTCATTCATCATCTCTTGTAGACCAACCGCTCGGTCGTACCATTCTTGGCCCCAAAGCCAACATTCTCTCCATCAAGCGTGACGATCTTGATTCCTACATCAAAACCAACTACACCGCCGACCGCATGGTTCTCGTTGGTGCTGGAGGTGTCGACCACCAGGAGCTGGTTAACCTTGCTGAAAAACATTTCTCTTCGCTTCCTATCTCACAGAACCCGATTCCTCTTGGCCGTCTTGCTCACCCTCGTTCGAACTTTGTCGGTTCGGACGTTCGCCTCCGTGATGATGCAATTCCCTGTGCACACATCGCCATTGCCGTTGAGGGTGTTGGTTGGAGTTCACCCGACTACTTCCCTATGCAGGTAATGCAGAGTATTATGGGCAACTGGGATCGCTCCCTCGGGGCTTCTCCTCTCCTCTCATCCCGCCTTTCCCACGTTATCTCATCGAACAACCTTGCTAACTCATTTATGTCCTTCTCCACGTCTTACTCCGACACCGGTCTCTGGGGAATTTACCTGGTGTCCGAGAACCTCATGAACCTTGATGACATGGCACATTTCACTCTGAAGGAATGGTGCCGCATGTCTATGGCTCCGACTGATGTCGAGGTCGAGCGCGCCAAGAGTCAGCTGAAGGCCGGTTTGTTGCTCTCTCTTGACGGGACGACTGCTATTGCCGAGGATATTGGAAGGCAACTTGTCACCACTGGTCGTCGTCTCACTCCACAGCAGATCGAGTCTGCCGTCGATGCTGTAACCGCGGATGAGATCAAGCGCGTCGCACAGAAATATCTGTGGGACAAGGACGTAAGAATCTCTTCCCGAACTGAAGCTGGATGCTTTTACTCAATCACTCCTTTGCAGATCGCTATTGCAGCTCTTGGCCCGCTCGACGGCCTCCTCGATTACAACCGCATTCGCGCAGACATGTCGTCCTTGACATATTAAAGGTTAGTTTTGTTCATCGTTTGCATTAGATAGCGTACTCACAGTTCACCGTCGCAGGATAGTCATGTGTGATTGTTATTGGGACGCTAGCTAGACGATATGCTGTTCGCTGTTGTTTGTTCCGAGTAGACAGCGGAATAAATGACTTTTAATACCACATAATTTCTCGAGAGCAAATCGATCGGTACGAACGATAGGGGAGTTGAAGTTGAACTGAATGAGGTATCACTGATGAGTATCTTCTTCCACGTTGGGATGATAACCCAGGCCTCGTGGTTGCCCTATGGAACATTATTCTTATTTCCTGTGCATCGCACGGTTCCCCTCGTGATCCCCCCAGTGGTGAGCATTTATAAGACAGTTCAGCTGATAGTCCTGCACAGTGGAGAAGAACTTGAGAACAGGGAAGGGCGACGACTGCGATCTGGTTTCGTATCCGACTCTCGCGATTTCACGGTGCTCGCCATCGATCAAGCAATCATATCCACCATTTGAATTCACACCACCGACTAAACATCGTTGCTTCGGGAGCGGTGACCTCTGAACAACTTCTGAAATTAGACTTCCCTGCGACATCTACGGACCATTCTTTCCAGAGACAGCTGGGTAGTTGCTGGATTTTCGTGGAATACAAAACCTCTTATAATCAGTTATTCCAATTTGAAACGTATACTCTGTCAGGGAATGTTTAAGTTGCAGATAGAATTAAGGTTTAAAAGCTTATGTAAGGTTACGCTCCATATTCGGAATCAGATTACCCCTGCCCACCTCTTTGTGTTCAGATTCAAACATCCACGCACCATCACTTATCATAGACACAGATTAACGATCGTCCGAACCATGACACCCGGTGCTATTGTGATGATGTCCAAGATGCGCGCTGTTTTAATTAAAGACGGTCAGGGTCCCATCGAAAACCTCTACATTGGGGAGACAGATAAGCCAGTCCCAACGAGGGGAGAGGTCTTGGTAAAGGTCCGTGCCTTTCTTCATATTATGGATCTACGAAAATTGATCTAGTCCGGTATGGAATATTCGTGGTAGATTGTCGCATTCGGCATTAATCGCTTGGACCATTACCAGCGTCAGGGAAGCTACCCTCCACCCCCAGGCGCTTCCTCTATTCTTGGTGTGGAATTCTCTGGGCGTGTGGCTGAGCTCGGGGAAGGAGTAACGAGATGGGCTGTTGGGGATGAAGTATTCGGTCTTGTGGGCGGCGTTAGTCGATTGCCCAAGCCAAGGTGTATGTTCTTGACTGACTAAAATTGTCACGGGGTACCTCAGGGAGCTTATGCGGAGTTCGTAAACTGTGACGAAGGACTCTTGTTGAAGAAGCCCGATCACTTATCTTGGGTGGAGGCAGCCAGTATACCAGAGTGCTATATTACAGGTGAGCACGGCAGATCAGCCAAGTAAGCAGTCGTCTTCGGTTCTGACTACTCTGGGACCATTCTTAGCCTATCAAGCTCTTGTGAAGTACGGGGAAGTCAAGAAGGGCGATCATGTACTCGTTCATGCAGGCGCTTCTGGTGTAGGCATTGCGGCTATCCAAATAGCAAGAGAATCAGGAGCGTGAGTGTTCCGGTATTCAGTACCCCGATCCTCACTGCCTTCGATGCTGTTCTGCTTTGTTCTGCATGTTCTTGCTGAATACGTATCACCTCGTATTCACAGGGCAACCGTTACTGCAACGGCGTCTACCACAGAAAAACTTAATTGGCTGCGGTCTATTCCTAACGGGGCCACGCATACCGTCAATTACAGAACTGAAGACTTTGCCGCGGAGGTGAAGAAAATGACCAATGGTAAAGGTGTCGATGTTGTCATAGATTTCGTTGGGCAAAGTCATTGGGCCAAGAATATAGAATCCCTCGCCATTGATGGTAGGATGACGATGTTGGCTACTTTGAGTGGTGGGCATTTGTTATGTCTTGAAGTCCAAAAACTCGTGACTAAATGGTTGGCTAGGGAGCGAGGTCCCCTCGGTCGACCTAAGCCCGATCCTTCACAAGCGTCTCCGCATTCAAGGTTCTACGCTGCGTTCCCGTAGTCTACAGTATCAGACCGAGCTCATCGCAAGGTATTATCATAATATTGCCTGATATGATTCCCTTTCAGACTGATTTTTCTTATAAGCTCAAGTTTCCGTGATATGATTGATAAGGTAACTGGCGCCAACGGAGGTGGCCCGCTGCGGACCTACATTCACAGAGTGAGTGCATTCTTCTGCTTTTCTCATCCCACCGGACACGGACATACAACTCCACAGGTGTATCCTTGGACAGAGATCCAAAGTGCTCATCATGAGATGGCTGACAATAAGAATAGGTGAGCACTCTGTCTCCGTCGGAAGATTTAACGGTGACCGAGGCTTCATTGTTAGCGTGAAGATAATTGTTGAAGTTCAGTAAAAACTCGAACAGCATCAACACGTTCCAAGAATCTGCCAACTCTTCGCTTAATTCGGGCGCTTGCTTTTATGGGTAATTTTTTGCACGGCATCAATGCAGGCAGTGCGAGATGGAATCAATAGCTGCTGCCAGACAGATTTATTTATTGAACGTGAACTACGTGATTCAACATGAGCTGTGGGCTTTGGAGTCATCGGATGTCAACGTCCGCTTACCACAGTTTGGAACAGGCAGTAGAGTAAGTACGACACCAGTGATCAGTCCAATAGACGCGTATGTTGTGGAGTACGTTCGTTGCATGTGACTATAGAGTCGTCGTTGGTGCCATATGAGGGGTGCACCGCGACGAGGATGTGAAACTGAAAGGCACAGCATGGCGCAGCTTCAATCTCAAAGGACTTATCCTACCAGTATGTCAGATGAGAACTTCGCAAAGAATGAGCAGATTGGATTAATGGTGGCCGTTGATATACTCCGTAGAGGTACAACATATAAAGAGCCAGAAGCGCGTCCAGCGTCCAGCATGTCTTATCATTACATGAGGATTAGTGCTTGAAGTGGGGTTTGAACATTCGAGAAAGTGTGTGACATACGCGTTTGGCCTGGCAATGAGGGACGTCAACTACTGTTGAGCCATGCTCGTGCAGCTCGATGTCTTCACCGCTTGGTCTGCCAGAGAAAAGGTTTCTAGTCCAGTGGAAAGGGCGGGGTCGAGATGGTGTAATGTGGGCATCGGGGTGTATGGGGTGGAATAAAGATGAAAACTGGCCACGAAGGGTGCTTATATGCGATGCCCATGATCGAGGGTGGAGGTGGTGCCGTGCAGAAATCTAAGAATATTGAGGTCAGGAAAACGATACTGGATGCTGACTGGATGAGATATTAACCACGTACGTGAGCGCGATCTGGTAGGTCGTCAAAAAAACCTTCGGGTACCCGGAGCTGGGGGACGATGATTGGCTGACAGACTGGATGTCGTGTAGCATCAGCCTATAAGAGGTAGGTCTAAATGCAATGAGACCTGAGGATGAGAGTGTTACGTACAGAGAGATCGAATGGCCGGACTGGACGTCGTGTAGCATCAGTCTAGAAGGAATAAGTTTAAATGCAATGAGATTTGTTTATAAAAGTCACGGACGGCGGGTAGCGGCTTGTCGTGCTGGTCCAACAGAAGTTCTTCGAGGCCAGCTTCTTTGACTATCGCACAAACATCCCAGGTATATGCGTTATCATCGTCATAGCCACAGCCAGTGGCTAGTAGCTTTCCATCTACCGAAAACGACACAGATTTCACGAGAGGTTGATGCTGGAGGGGTGAACTGATGGGCTGGTTGTTGCTGAGGTTCCACAATCGCGCCGTCTTATCTTCCGATGCACTTGCGAGGATGCGGCCATTTGGAGATATTGCAATGGCAAAGACACCCTCGGTGTGCCCTTCCAGCACTGCAATCTGTTTCCAAGTTGTCGTATCCCATGTCCTAATCGACTGATCGTATGACCCAGATATAAGCGTTTTTCCGTCCGGGGCCTCGGGCCAAACCAGGAAAAACACTTCTTCTGTATGTCCTTTGAGAGTGGCGACAAGCTCACCTGTCTTCAAATTCCAGATTTTGACATGGTATTTGTTTCCAGTGTCCCAAGGCTGTTCGTATCCGCCAGTCGCAAACATGGTCATGTCTGGCGAGTAGACGACTGTGAGCGCAGGGTGCCCTGTCTCGATTGGTGTGAGGATCGTCTTTCCGCTCTTTACATCCCACTGCTTTGCAGTCCCATCGTCAGATCCGCTCAAGACTCCCCGGCCATCTCGACTCCAGCAGACAGACGTCACTCCGTCTGTGTGCCCCATCCATTTCGCGACGACTTTGCCTGTCTCGATGTCCCACAACCTCACTTCGCCATCCTTACTCCCGCTAACCACTTTCTTCCCGTCCGGAGACAACGCCATGGTGAATACTTCACTCTTTCCGTCCCGCCAGTCGTTTCCTATCTGTTTTCCACTCTTCAAGTTCCATACCCGCAGCGAGCCGTCCCTTGAACAAGTCATCATGCGCTCTCCGTCTGGCAGATGTATGACGGCCTCAATCCAATCGGTGTGTCCCTCAAATTTCTGGCGGGGCAGAGTTATCTTCGATTTCTCCTGCTTTCCAACGACTCGGATGGGTAAAGACATAATCAACTACTAGCCGCAGCTCCGCCTTAGCTTTCATCCAACAAAGTCCAAAATTATCACTTACGACACTATGTTCCTCAGCTGCTCACGACGTATTAGCACCAAGATACAAAGAGCATTTAGGTCAAGAATGCACCGGAAGTTTGAGCTGGTACGTTTAAAACGTGTTGTCCTCGCGTTCACTTCACAGCTAACAGCATATCTTGTGTAACTGAAGCGCCCAAGCCTCATTTCTGATCACGAGTCGCATTCCATCAGCCACAATCTTCTTTCCACGACGGACTGACCGTACGCCCTTCGCGTGTCCCGTCACAACCCTACCTGATGCAACTTCACTCGTCAACATGTAACCAACAAAGTGTAAAACTGCCCCTCCTCACCCAACTGCTCTTCGAAGGTGCCCGTCATCTCACCAATGATACCAATTCGGTGCGTAAGACGTCCGGAGATGACGCTATAGTGTACACTGCATTCCTTCGTCCCATCAGTCATCCCTTATCTGTTTGCCACTCTTCGAGTCCAAACCCGTAGCGAGCCGAATGATCATCCGCTCTCCGCCTGGCAGATGTATGGCGTCCATAGATTATACCAGTTTGTCCTTCAAATTTCTGGCCATGCGTTATCGCTGATACCTCCTGCCTCCTAACGATGGGTCGAGCGCTGTTCCGTTTTATCCAACAAAGTCCAAAATCATCACCTACCACGATATCTTTCTTGACTGGTCTCGATATATTGACACCGAGATACAATGAATGTTGAGGTCAAGTCGGCGTCACCAGAAGTTTGGGCTGGTACGTTGTCCTCCACGTGTTCATGTCACAGTTTATGTTTAGGCTGTGCAGGTGAAACACTCAAGTTCCACTTCTGATCATGAGTCCGTCACAATCTCGATTCCCGTTTTTACTGCCCGACCAATGATATTCTATGTTAAATCGAGCTTCAGATCGTAAATCTGCATCTCCAGCCAACTACTTCTCGGACGCGCCCGTCACCGCCGAGTGGCCGATGCTCGATAATACACATCTGGTGTGTAGGACATACATTAATTACCGTGTTCCCAGAGCACCGGAACCTTCCCAATCGCTGATACTAGCCTTTGTTGTTCTTCACAAACTTTTGCGTGAATACTGCGGTATAGCTTTGGACGTAGATCGCATTGAAGGCCCTGTGGCTTCTTGAAACAGTCTGGATCGCTCAGAGGCTGATGTTCATCAGAATCAATGTATTTCCTTCGGATCCAGGCGGATTCAACGCTCAACTTTGGGATTGGCGTTGCTCAGTTGTATGCCCATCTCCATCAGGAGGGCTGATCGATGTCTGGATCCTGCGCTATGCGGAGCGGATCGTTTGGTTGGTCAAGTGCTGGGTGCCGTCGGAAAGGTCTATACCATCAAGCATCCTCGTTTTCGCCATGCTAGCGTGTTTTAAGGAGAATTTAGAGCTTTAAAACAGTTTGTTCCTTCTCTGTCGTTTGCTGGGCGTTCGCACAGAGGACGAAAAACAAACCAAAGTCTCAAAACTCGCCAAGAATGAGCTCCTAGTCATTAACATTGGCGCAACATCGACTGGCGGACAAGTACTGAACATGAAAGGGGATCTCGAGAAGATTCAAATGACCTCACCCACATGTACCGAAGTTGGGGAGAAGGTTGTTCTCAACTGCTCCCGATGTATTGGCACCAAGACATAAATGGCGTTCAGGTCAAAAGTACACTGGAAGTTTGAACTGGTACGCTTTACACTGTTATCCTTGTGTTCACTTCACAGCTTCTAACATAGCCTCAGGATACCAGATTGGGAACCTTCAGTGCATCACTCGCTCGATCCTATACAGTATCCTCACTTTTCTCATATTTCATCCCCTCAAGATTTAATAATCGCACCGTATTCTGTTTATATTACAATTACTCGTACATACATACCCAGCATTTGTCTATTAATAGAGGTTATTCAACAGTTCGCCTGTAGAACTTGCTTTTCTCGCTCACCCTGCGGCAATCTCACGAGCTAACACTCGGTCCCAGCGCGACTACTGTATGCATGACCTCGTTGGCTTGCGTTAGACGAAGCTGGACTAATTGTTGCATAAGCTCGTCCAAAATCTTGTTGTACCTTGCAATCAGATCATCCGTCTTCAAGACATTTCCCCCGAAAACCATCCCTGTGATAATGGTATAAGATTCACAATTTGCGGAGTGCAATAGCTCGATGACTTACTAGGGCTCTTCTTCTTCGAGTAGTCCCTGATGAAACACGCGCACTCTAGAGTCTGCTGGACGATCTGTTCAAGGATACTGCGCTCGGATGAAATCCGGCTAGGAATGTCGTCTTGTGAGATGAAGCGATAGACTTCTTCTAATTTCTTGAGAAGAGATAGTACCGATTGATCGCGTTTTGTTTGAGCGCGAGGAAATACCTAAGTATATAGAGTCAACAACTGCTAAACAGGAGGGCAAAACTACATGTACTTTGGATGCAGCAGACAGCATACCCAGTGCCATCTTTGCATAAGGATGTACCTATGCAACCTGATCAGCTCGCTTCCAACCAGGAAGAGTGGTTCATACATCCACAATATTTTCAATGGCACTATCAAAAATCTTGAGTGGTTGGAGATATGTGGCCTGGAAATCGTCTGCTGCAGCTAAATTTGCTGGGGCATCGCTGGCTGCGGATACCACAGAGGTGACACGTCCCCCGAGCAGTCTCATACCTTCCACGCCCTTAACGGCATCCCGAAGTTGAGCATCAACTAATTGGGATTCAGGAATTTCTTCCACACCAGAAGGGGCGGCGAGAACCTGCACGACCACCAAAATAATAAAAGATGAAAACCAGATCGTTTGGCCCAAGTACCTTCGATGCAGGTTCGCCAGATGCTCCTTGGTTCACACGACCAATTTGATTCTCACTGGCAGATGTGGTGGGCTTTCCACTGTCGGAAGTATGCAGAAGCAACACATCCTTGGTGGACCTCAGACAAGTTCAAGATCAAGATGATGACCACCTACCTCGATATTCTGATTCGATGGCGCACCTTGAAGATTGACGTCCTGGACAGCAGGCGTTTGGTGGTCGGAACACTTGAAGTATAATATCAGCCATATCCCAACTCCACCAGCATTCACGTCGACGTACGGAAACTTTTTTCGTCACGTTCTTAAATTTCTGCAGGGCCTGCTGGAATCCGCTACGGTGCTGGATCTGGAACAAGGATGCGTCAGGAGCAGTGCGATGTTATTAGTGTTCGTCAACAGTGATCTCGTGAGGGCACATACCGAGCTCTCGCCAGCAGTTGCTTGTCTATCATCCCTTTGCAGGGCGTTCTGGTCCTCAGTCATAGGACGCAGATCGTCGCACAAGTCCCGCATAGAGGATAGTAATACAACATCCACGGCAACCTGAGCTACACCATCATCCGCAAGGATCGCCTGTCTTTCCTGCAAATCGACCAGAACTGTATGCACATTTGCGTGGAGATCTGCAAACCACTTCCTCGGAACACCACACGAGGTTGTCAAATTCAACCTTGTCGCTGTCACTAAGGCTGGTATTCCATCGACGTAGTCATCATCCATTTCGACATATCTCGCAAAGTCCCATGCATCTGCGATAAGTTGCCGCCACCTCTCCTCGGCAGGACTGAAAGGGAGATCCTTGCCCGAGGACATGACGTGGCCGAAAATCTTAAGAAGGTAGAATCTGGCATCCGAACAACGCAGGTGATTGCCGTCAACTAGAGAAATACACTGTGCGAGATGGTCATCATGGATCAGACGTCTACACCACTCGTCCTTTTTTGTCAAGTCATAGATGATGCGGATGTAGCAATTGTCTCGATCAAAGTGGCAAGAGGCGTCGGGTCCAGTATCGTGGATTATCCGGTCGTCTGGGCGTACAGCAGTTAGAAGAGCGCGGGAAAGTGTATTCAGGAGTTCTGCGTCGTCATCCTGTGACATCGAGACACTGGCTATAGAAGCTAGTTCTTCTCGAGCTTCAAAAACAGCTCTAAGCGCGCTATGCCGGACTCGGGGAGGTCTGGGAGAGTCCATACAGCGGATAAGCGACCTGATGTAGGACAGTCGCCTGGTAGAGCTCCCTAGTCCACGCATGGCGCTCAGTGCTAGCAAAGCATCACCTTCTGTTTCATCGTCTGTGGGGTACTCTGCACCATCCGCCAGGTAATCGACGAGCCAATCGAATTCTTCACAGCTGGGCGTATGCCCATCACTGTAACGCCATTGTAGATCACCTCTCCAAGTCAACTCTTCATCGTCCGGACATGAAAGTCTAAAGGACAATCCATGGACAAGCATTGTTCTCAGAGCAGTACGTGCACTGGCCCGATGCTTCGGTTTAGCGTCTTCTGCCCATGACTTCTTGAACTGATTGTAGGCGGCACGACCAGCCATGAACGCATCGTGCACCAAACGGCTTTGGGTTGTCTGAAATTTATTGTCTGAATAAAATTCCAAAAGTCCCCGACTGATTTTCCCCGACTGGATGCAAAGATGGGCCATAGCTTTGCCATACTTTACATATAGCTCTTCCTTGTCAGTGTCACGACACGCCATAAAATGACGACGTAAACGTGCGAAGACTGTTGAAACATCAAGGCTCGGGGGCCATTGCACGCAAGGTACAATCATAGCCGCAGCCTCGACAACCTCCGGGTTCGTCAATGTCTCTAGTATCCAGCGAATGGCGGATGATTTGGCAAATCTACCAGTGTTGCGAGTCGATCTGAATGTCTTTGGAATAATTTTTTGGCAGATAGCCGTAAATAACCCTGGCCCTGGTGTCTGAAAAGGACTGTCCGGACACAATGCCGACATGAGGATAATGCCCACGTAGAAGAGAATGCCAAAAGCTGTGGTGCAGATGACAACACTGGATATCTTGGTTTGCTTGACCCACACGTTGGCACTTAGCGAGAGGCCGAAGAGCAGGAATGAAATCTGGAGCAGCACCAGGAATGTCTGCAAGACAGCCCTTAGACGGAAATATTCTACTCCGTCTAGCTTCATCTGCCTGCGCATACCGCGCTCTTCGAGAGTCCCTCGTCCTCGATTTGCCATGTAAGAGTGCAGCCATTGTTTTCCCAAGACTGCCCCAAACGCGGCCAAGACGCTAAACGCGAGGCTAGCGTAGGCAAGTGTTTGAATCCAGACCGTCAAAGAGGAAAATCCCGTATATGAGGAGAGGGTGTTGATGTCAGGCACAGAATTTGAGCCATTGACAGATATCTGAATTAGATGGAGGAGGAGGACATTGGTAGTGTCTCCTGGATTAGGCTGCGTCCCGACAATGAAGGTGGAGTTGACGGCTGCAAATATAGCAGCCTAATACGCCTGTGAGACTTGCATTGACCGACGTAGAAAGAAACGCACGCAAGTCAGAATATTGCCCATATCGTCATCAGCCCGCCCGACGAGGTCATAGTCGTACTCATTCGAAACTTTGTTGTACATCGCCCAAAACTTTAAATTGTCATCGCGTTCTTCTGATCCTCTGAGGGCATCAAGAATCTGCATCAGCGTATTTGACCTTTGAGAAAATATAGTTAGACGTCTAGTGTAGCGTGCTGATAGTTGACATTCACATATCCTTAGCAAGGCTTCCTTCGATGGACACCACAGTATCCTCATTCGTGTTATTCAGCTTGATCGCATCCTGGATCTGCTCCGGGGTGTTTGGCCTTCGAGACAATTGTAGTTAGACGTCAAATGTACCGTGCTAGTTGGTTGATATTTACATCTGATTGGCCGGGTATCCCTCAATGGATACTATACATTCCTCGCTCGTGTTATTCGGCATTACTTCATTCCGTGGGGTTGCGCTTGCCATGTCTTGGGCTGGGGGACATAGGAAAGTAGGGAGGGAGAAATGGTGGAAATATATAGTTAATGCTCTGCACATCAAAGAAACACATTCTTATCTGACGCCAAAGCCCTGTAGCCGATTGCGCCGGAACACGAGGTGTCACAGAATCAAGTCCCCAAGGCAGGCGTTTGAAATTTGCCGAGACGCCCATCTTGATTCTCAAGAGCCCGCAGAAGTACTGGTCCAGTACCTAGAGGAAGCGGAGGAGAATAGTCGCTGTTCTGGCGTCAATTCTGACACAGAAGCATGCTCTTATCTGACGCCAAAGCCCTGAGGCCGATTGCGCCGGAACACGAGGTGTCACAGAATCAAGTCCCCAGGGCGGGCGTTTGAAAATTTTCGAGACGCTCATCTTGATTCTCAAGAGCCCGCAGAAGTACTGGTCCAGTACCTAGAGGAAGCGGAGGAGAATAGTCGCTGTTCTGGCGTCAATTTTGACACAGAAGCATGCTCTTATCTGACGCCAAAGCCTGCTGCATATGACCGACGGTCCCAGGGCAGTGAGACACGAGGTCTTACCGAACAAGCATAAATTTTGAAGCAGAATCATTTGCACTGTCTTCCTCAGTATAAGGATGAGCGCGCGGTTCTCCATCGATATTCATTGTGTTTACAAGCTAGGCAATGATGGTCAGGCACATACGCGAGGAAGTAGATAATGTTCTAAGACACACATGATGCATGACGCTTCGCTATCGAAATGATTTTTGATAGTCACGAATTCACTGAGTTAAGAGCGAGTCACTGCTATCACGTAGTGAGGTTGGCAAATTGCATGGATGCTGGGTGGACGCCAATATCAATGAATCAACAAAAGAGCCGCTGATGTGTACAAGTTGATTGGCTGACGGACATGTCCACATCGGTCTACATATGTTTAAATGATTAATGAGATCTATTTATGAAAGTATCACGCACAGCGAGAACCGACTTGTCGTGCTGGTGACTGGTCCAACAGAAGTTTGTCGGGACCAGCTTCTTTCACTATCGCAGATTCGACGTCCTGGCATGTGCACGCATTTTTGTTACTACAGCCAGTGGCTAGTACCATTCCATCTGCCGAAAACCACATGTTGTCGAGGTAGGCTGGTTGTTGTCGAGATTCCATAATTGCGTTGTATTGTCCATTCAGAGATATGGCAATGGATTTGATGAAGTCTGCCCAGCACTGCGATCTGCGTCCAAGTTACAGGCCATCTGGGGACGTCCAAGCCAGGCACCACACCCGTCCTTCAACAAGCTTACCGGTCTTTGCATCCCGGATTTTGACTGGGCAAGTACTTACTATTCAAAAGTTGTTCGAGTTGTAAGCTTGCGGATTACCAATCGTTTGACGCCGGAAGCTGCCGTTCCAACGCTTACCTCTACTACCATCAACTCACCGCCGCTATCAACCAGTACGGACCTCGCTTCCACGTCAGCACTAATCCATCGTCGCTACCAATCCACACGACCCTCAGACCCTTTTTCCATCACTGTCACCCCATTCTCAGTTCGCCGCTCCGGACTCTGTCAATAACTCTGCGCGATTCTCATCATTCTGTCAATACCATACCCACTCATAACACCACTCACTCAGTTGTTTCGTACTTTCTTTCTCTACATTCTATTCTACCCTGCCAGGCATGACGCCACTCCCTTCAGCGTCCATTTTCACATAATCGTTCGGCCTATCCATACCCGAGGACTCTTGTATCACAGTATAAGTAGTCTATGTACAGTCCCTACTACCAGGCAATAATATCTAGCATTGAAGTCTCACTCTTGCATTCGTCATCCAACATTATTGCTACATCGTTATCTATCGTTTCAGACGCCACATTCCATATACTATCATCATCGTCTTTGTTTATCTAACACTACAGCGCACCCACAACCTACAAAGTGGTCTCCACAACCCTACGCACTTGCGAGACCTTATTAGGTCCTTACGGAGTCCACCAGTTGCAAATATGGTCATGCCCGGCGAGTAGATGGCTGCCCACACATTTGTGCCTTGTCTTGATCGGTGCGGGAATTTTCTCTCCGTTCTCTACGTCCTATTCAAGTTATCTTACAGATACATTGTTAGATCCGCTCAAGACTCACAGACCATCTAGACTCCAGTAGACAGACGGGCATTCCCTACCCATCTCTCCATCACTTTGCCTGTGTCGATGTCCCACAACCTCACTGCACCATCCATACTCCCGCTAATCACTTTCTTCCCGTCCGGAGACAATGCTATGGTCCACACTCGAGTTTTTCCGTCCCACCAGTCGTCTCTCATCTGTTTTACACTCTTCAAGTTCCATACCCGTAGCGAGCCATTGCCTGAGTAAGTCATCATCCTCTGTCCGCCTGGCAGATGTGTGGCACTGTGGACAGAATCGCCGTATGCCTCAAGTGTCCGGCGGGGTGTTATCATTAATGTTTCCTGCGTCACAACGATGGGTAAAGATGTAATCAACTAGTGCATGCAGTTCGTTTGAGCTTTCATACACAAAGTCCACAATGTTAATGATCACTTACGACGATTATCAGCTCTTGACGACGAGACCCGATAGGCGTATAGCTCAAAAGTACTGTATTGGAATTTTCAGCTGGTACGTTTTACATGTGTTATCCCCATGTTCACTTCACAGCTTCTAGCATAGATGTGCAATTGAAGCGCCCAAGCCTCATTTCTGATCTCGAGTTGGATCACCAGTCACAATATTCAATCTACGACGAAGTCACCGCACATGGAAGGCTCGCAACGGTCACCTTGCTTTATCAGGAATCAGGATTCAGCAATCCCTGATAACCTTTCAATATTAACCCTCGCTGTCTTGAATTTCCAGACTACATTTCTCCCCACAGGGTGTCTTTCGCCACAAACTTTGCAGGCTCAAAGGACGGCCTCGCACTGCTCGATTACTGAAATTCTACAGTGCGTGGATGGTCGACCGGTCAGCGATGGGCATACTCTTAGGCTAAGCTAAATTACTCCTTTCTGTCTTGAACATGATGGACCCAGCGTCTTCATTTCACTGCATCGTCGGTCTTTGGAATGATACTCCATATTAGTGCGCCCTTGATTAGAAACGACTTTCCCATTATACTTCGACAATGTTGGGAAAGAAGGTGATCAAGCACCTCCCGATACTCCCAAATTCCTCGCAATGCGATTCGAAGGCGAAGGACTTATCCGAAGGTCGTTTACATAAATGAAAGTGAATATCGTTTGCGTGGTACAATGGGATCCAGGAGACGACACTTACTGTGTATGCCCCATTCCATTTCGCGATAACCTTGCCTGTGTCTATGTCCCACAACCTCACTCCGCCGTCGTAGTAACCCCTGCTAACCACTTTCTTCCCGACCTTCACTTTCTTTGTCTCGCCAGTCGTCACTTTCTATCTGTTTACCACTTTTCAAGTTCCATACCCGCAGCGAGCCGCCCCTTGAACAAGTCATCATCTGCTCTTCCCCTGATAGATGTATGGCGTCCTCGATCCATTCGGCATGGCGTTATCGCTGGTGTCTTCTGTCTTCCAACTGCGGATGAAAACGTCTTTCATATAACAAAGACCAAAGCCAACCCTCACGATGATATGTTTATTAGCAGGTCTTGACGTGTTGACATCGACAAGAAGCGCCTGTCAATTCAGAGTTGAGTTCACTGGGGAGCCCGAGCTTTGTTCGAGCTGGTACGTTCTACATGTGTTGTGATCCACGTTGCATTCCATGCACCACACGTCCCACCCGTGACCTTGTCCAACACTCCTTCACTCCACTATACTGACCCCTATGTTCACTGCGCTCCGTTAATATGATATGCTAAAAAATTGTGCCGCCCCCTTGACATGTAAATTAATCAACAAAGTGTAAAGCTGCCTCGCCCCAGCCAACTAACTACTCCTAGATCGCTCTTGCCATCTCACCGATAACTTGAGCTATACCCATCTGGTACATACGACATGTGTTACCTTAGCACACAGGAAACCACGAAAGACCCAATCACTGGTACCGGTCACCTCTTCTTCACAAGCATGATCACGACGCCACCAAATGCGGGTCTACTGGTGTAGCCGAACGCAATAACCCCAACGCTTCTGAAGGCCTTCCTGTGACTGGCTTCGCTTTTGCGGTAGAATGGCAACCCCCAATAGTAGAATCAATTTCATCGCACAACGCTCGTATGGTTACAGCTGCTGCTGGCAACGACTCGAGACCACACTGGAGCTACATTGTATCGACGTTTATTTTCATTTCGCTTTTGCTCTGTATTCTACTGGATTGTAAATCGCAAAAAACGTTCTTTACGACCAAAAGCTCGCTCGCACCTACTTACCTTTCGCACGGATCTATTTGCGCACGGTCAACTATACACTGCTCTATCCAGGGTTCGATGTCATCAGTCTCCCGTAGGAAGTAGTTACGAATATGCACGCAAATATATTACTTCAAGTCAAAACACGGTGTCCAATGGCAAATCAGTGCCGAAAGGCCCAGACCAACACACTAAAGATCAACAATATTTACACCTCGCTTCCGCCTCTGGATGTCCCTTTGGGCCGATGTTTCAATATCCACGGGTGTCGTGCGACATCAGTTAATGGGATTCGCTCTTCAGGATTATATTTGAGTAGCTGCAAGGCAATCAGGGTCTGTAAATTACTAAGTCACGGCATGGACATACCTGTGTTATCAGATCTCTTGCATCGGGAGAGACAAGCGATGGAATTCTGAGGTCGACTTTAGCTATTCGACGATAAGTGGCTTGAATTACAAACGTCAGCTAAATGAAAGGGTAAGTGTAACAGGCTGCTTACCGTTAACGCTATTCCGATCTTCAAAGGGAGGACTCCCAACCAAGAACTCGTATGTTAGTACACCCAGAGCCCAGTAATCTACCTTCTCATTATGTTCCCTTCCCTCGACCATCTCAGGTGGCAGGTAATCGAGCGTCCCGCATAGTGTCATGCGTCTATTGCCGGGTGCGTGCACACTCCATCCAAAGTCGCCTATCTTGAGCTCACCATTGATTCCCAACAACAAATTCTCCGGCTTAATATCTCGATGAATGACGTGCTTGCCATGCAAGTAGGTCAAAGCATCCGCCATCTGGTCGATATATCTCGAGCTCCGTTTCTCTGAAAAGCTGCCATGCTTGGAGAGCTGTTTGTATAGCTCGCCCTTGCCGGCGAACTCGAGCATGAGGAAGATACGTTTCTCGTCATGGAAGTAACCGTACAAGCGGAGTACATTGGGATGTCGAAGGTTTTGTTGAATTTCAATTTCACGTCGAATCTGTTTCTCGACGCGAGACTGGATGATTTCGGATTTGTACAAGCATTTGAGGGCGAGGATGTATTGCGGCTCGCATTTAGTGCGGACCATGTACACGCGCCCGAATTTTCCTTTTCCTAGAGGGCGGCCGATCTCGAATGAGGGGAGACTCCACTCTCGAGTGGGACGTGTTCTGAGGGAGATGTTGATGATGAGATGCCACGAACGTTAACTTCACTCACCCCAAGACACTGGAATCGAGAGCAAGGGCTTCAGCTGCCTCTCCAAAAACCTTTTCACCCCTCTTCTCGTTGTCCTAGCTCGAGGCCACCATCATACTTGCCGATGTCAAGTTGGAGCTGGGGTTCTGAAGTAGTCACCGCTTTACTAGTTCGAGCTGGAGCATTTGTGTTCGTTTGGTTGCGGAGAGCAGATAGTTGAGTAGGTTTTGCTGTAGGAGGATGGGGTGCGGCGTATTTTGTGAGCAGTTTAGCAACATTTGTTTGGGAAGGCTGCTTGGTATGGCCGGGACGAGAAGATTGCTGGTGCTTCTTCGAGGAGATTTCGAGGGCAGCAATTTGTTTAGTTACCGCACCTATTGATGCCATGTTCCGGGGGGCAAGTATACTTTAGAGCGAGAGGCTACGGATGTTAAAGGGATGCGGCAAAACGCGTGGCCGTGCAGTTATGGACTTGGTTCAAGTTTTGGAGCCCCACTCACGCGTTCAATCACGTGACCGACCTTTTAATACAGCACAGAAAATTCTATGTATAGTCTTTTGGTCCAGATCCTCTATGTCGTATCGTACGACATCCTTTTATGCTGCTACGTTCTACACGATATCCTTCAGAAAACCTCCTTGCATCAGCCGGTAGGCTGGTGAAAGCCATTATTTGTGCGCACGACCCCTCTCCTGGTACGCAGATGACACTCCCGTACATGACGGGGGTGATTGTCTTTCATCAATATCCTCCCACACTTGGGCCACAAACACTCCACCTTGAGGCGGTCTTCATCTATAAAGATACGACGAAGAGAATTCATGTCATACATCCCGAAAGCGCTTTTGGTGTCAGATACAACCGATGCTTCCATGGAAATACCTGCGCTGGTTCCTGGACCCATGTCCACAACGTCCAAAGACATGGGAGAAACTTCGACAGGAGCGACAAATGGCACAGAAGGAGATACGAAGTGTCCGAAATGTGCATTGTAATGCAAAAAAGGATTAGCTAACTGTCTGAGAATCAAGATTGCCTCGTTAACGGTCAGCTGTTGACTGTGTACCGCCTGAAGACGGACAAGGTAGGCTTCAACAAACGATGCCATCTGTGTGTTGACCGTTGGAGGAGGAATATGACTCGAGACAAAGCCGCTGTTCCATGATCTGTGAGATCGTCAAGTACTAACATAAGCCTTGGAGTGGATGGGACTTACTGATGCTCCGTGAAATTGTTGGATGGAGACAAGCCTATGGGGGAAGCCAATTCTACAGGCGAAACACCTGGCGTAACATCATTGATGCTGTTGATCGCGTGGTGAGGGCGTCAGAAGATATCAGTTGAGTCAAGGTTAAGTGCTACTCACATCGCTTGAAAATCCTGGCATGGGCCCATGGGATTGATAACAAACCCTTGACCGAAGAAATCAGTCTGTCACGTTTGTATCAATCTGGCAGCTTTTAAGGTTTGCTGTCAGCTCTTCCAATGTGCGGCATTGTGAATTCATGACGGGTGACTATCGAGAAGATTAGAGCATTGGGTCATGTTCAGAGTAATTTATACAGCACGTTCGAAGATGCTCCGGCAACCAACGCAAGAATCAAAGACCGATCATGAGTCACAGCAACATACCTTTAGCAAAAGTATTACTCAGTGATTATACAACATGAGGCCTTTTTTTTCTGAGTCCATGAGCAGTGTTAATGCTGCACGGTCTGATACACGTTTTGAGTGGTCAGCGCACAGTTTGAAGCCTGTATTCCTGAGTCACCAATATAGGCAATTCCCGAATGGCGCATTAATATAGAGAAAGCATCTGAAATTAGTGTTTCAAAATACCTGGAACAAACTGAAAGGTGGATTCTGGCCAGTGTGGCCCTAAGCACGACATTCAATGTTATGTGCTCCCAAACCAAACTGCAAACCAATGCTGACTTGCGAGGCGAGGATGAAGTTGATCAAGATAAAAATTGAAGGAAATTGACGGCGTCTTCCTAATTTTACTTTTGGCCGCTCGGGCTGTCAAATGCGTGTCTTAGCAAACCAGTTGTCAGAGTGATGCTGGCAGTGCAGCTCCAACATAATCGCCTTGAACGTGCAAATGACCGAATGTAAGCTACGAATTGCATCAAAATTTTGGTCCATGACTTGCAGGATTGAAGCTTACAGAACGAATTTGAGTAGATGGAGTTCATCCTAGGACCTACACACCAAGACTCGGGGTGTTAGAATATGCGATTCAAGTCACTGAGAGTTACCAGTGGTCCTAGTACTCAATAACGATTTTATTTGGCCATTTTATTTCGTGCGCGAAATGTCAGATCGAATTTGAATAGATGGACCTCATCCTATGCGCCAAGACTCGGGTGTTAGAACACGCGATCCAAGCCATTGAGAACTACCAGTGTAAGCGGTGTGATGGAACGTACTGACAGGTGCCGACTCGCTATTTTGATCTCTCACGTGACAATTTTTTTGCTGCGTCCTGAGTCGTGCTCTCCTCGAGGCCCGCCATTTGTGCAAATCCTTCTCCGACGCGCAGCAGTTACGTGAAACTGACAAAGGCTCTGGTGCTGTAACACATGGCGAACACGAACACCGTGGCTGGGTCATCTACCTCTATGATCTTGTCCGGCACATTCTCTGATTACGCGACCTCTATGCAATCGGCTGCACTGGCTACAACTCGTCTCGCCGCTGCTACACTACCACCAGACATAGAATTCCACCGTTCCATACATGTGTCATTTGCTGCAGAGCTTGACTCGCTGTCCATTCGAGTCCTCCGGCTTACCAACAGGCTTGTGCGACTTGCAGGCTCTGTAGATAGCAGTACTGTGGGGCGTGGCACACTGGATGGCGAGGAGGACGTCCTGGACGGTTTCAAATCGTTGATTGTTGATCCGGTGGACAGACTTTTTGAGAGGACAGACATGTGTTTGGATGATTATTTGGGGCGTAAGAAAGAGCCTGCTATCACGGTTCCCGCTCTACCAAATCAGAACAACAATTTATCAAAGGTACATCCAATACTGTTTGAAGTTCGTAACTACTAAGTACTTATTGTTGCATAGAAACCCCCAGCCCCGAGAGGACGCCTTGACCCTGCGCTACAGCATGCTTCCCATCTACCGAAGCCTCAACTGCTGTTCAATACAAAAGCGGACAACTGGAATGAGTCACCGTATATCCCGGCCCGTACTCTCGCACATAAGTGGTGTGCCCGTGTACCGCTTGGATACGTATTCCATGACCAAGACGAGAGTGGTGGCATGGACGAAGAAGAAAAACAAAAGCTGTTCGTCCTTTCTCAATTTGCGACGACTGTTGTCTTAACTCTTGCAGATCGGCACACCCCTATTATTATGAGCTCACTCATCCAACGTTCCCTGATCATCTCTTCCTTCCAACCCCTACCACCATTCTTCCTACTTCTCTCACAGGTGCCGACGTCTCGAAGCACATATATGTCTCGACTCCGTCTGCTCTCTTATCGATGGCTACAAAGCTCAAAGCAGCGAAGGAAATTGCTGTCGACCTTGAGCACCACTCATACCGCACATACAGAGGGTTTCTTTGCTTGATGCAGATTAGCACACGCGAAGAGGATTTCATAGTCGACTTGCTGGTACCAAGTGTACGAGATTCGTTAAACAACACACTCGGTGAAATTTTTGCCGATCCAGAGATTGTCAAGGTGCGCTTGCGTAATTCGCAGGGGGCAGGTTTGTGCTTTATTAATTCTCATGACTCTTAGGTCTTCCACGGCGCAGAGAGTGATATCGTGTGGCTCCAGCAAGATTTCAATATTTTTGTCGTTGGGCTGTTCGACACATATCATGCCTCAAAGGCGCTAGACTTTCAGAAGCATGGCCTTGCGAATTTGCTAGAGGCATTCTGCGACTTCATACCCGATAAGCGGTATCAACTAGCCGATTGGCGTATTCGGTATGTCAAAATTATCTTTGCCTTCTCTTCTTTCCTTCTCCAAATCACAGGACGGATCGTACCTGGGGTGACGCCCTTATGTTTGATGCCTGTTCTTATTGGGATTGATCAAACCTATTTCAGCCAGTTCTATCCCTATTAGATTATCACTATTGCTTCACTCCTATCTTCACTCGTTTTGTCCTTGAAGGTATTGGAAGGACCAACAAAATGTTGATTCTGTGGAACCAGCCGCGTCTATGTTATGTGTGAGCTCCACATGATGAGATTTCTGTGCTATTCTGTTTCTGTATACGTTGTCAACTTTGCTTCACCTTCAACTTGATCCACTTCCTCTCGATGATATAACGGCTAACTTTCAATCTGTGAAGTCCATTACCAGAGGAGATGCTCACATATGCACGCTCCGATACTCACTTCCTGCTATATGTCTATGATCGACTTCGACTCTCCCTTATCGAGCGTGCACAGATGATAACTGCTCCAGAAGCATCTTTTTCGACCGCAATATCTACTATAATCAAAGGCACTATATCCGACAAGCCGGCGCACGTGCTATTGAATGATGTATTGGCACGTTCGACTCGCACTGCGCTAAGGTTATATGACCGCGAGGCATACGACGCCGAGTTTGGCATAGGTACAGGTGGCTGGGATACGCTTGCGCGGAAATGGAACAAGAATTCATTGGCCAGTAGTGCTAGCGAGATCAATGGAGTACGAGGTGGCGTAATTGGAGAGGTATACAGGGCAGTGCATCGGTGGAGGGAGGATATAGCAAAGGAGGAAGATGAGAGTACGAGGTAAACATTGCCTCCATATCCGGGGGACCATGGTGAAGTGGTCCACAAAATTGGCGGGCCTCCTCTGCTCATATATTGACTGACCTGGTGCCTAGATATGTTCTCCCAAATCACCAACTTTTCATTGTGGCCGAGCGGTCACCTTCCACTGCTGCTCAACTCCTCGCGCTCTTCTCACACGCCAGCGTTCCGCCCGTCCTACGACGAAGAGCAGGTGAACTTGCAGAAGTCGTCAAGTCTACTGTGGAGCGAGTAACGTCTTCAGAAGTTGCTGTTGAGGCCATCGCGGTGATCGCGGATGTCGAAAAAGTCGACTCAGCTACCTCAACTGAAGTTGTTGCAGTTGAAGAAACTGCAAAATCTAGATTGTGGGGGTCAGTGAAAGTTTCTTCCTCAGTTGTTCAGCGTGCATCCTCCTCCTCTCTTTTCGGCCTGCGGACCGTAGCAGCCGACGAAGGAAGTTCATACTCGGCTTCGCGAAGTTCATTATTCGGCACCGCATTACCTTCTCGCATGACGCCTCAAGTAAGTTAGCCCACTCGCCTGCATACTTTTATGATTCGATCATCCTTTCAGAGCTCAGTACCAATTATATCGTCCAGTAGGAAGAAATTTAGTGACCTCGTGACACGGATACATCGGACCCTCGTCATTGCACCCAACCAACCACAGGCAAGCAAACCTCTGCATTTGCACATTTCTTATCTTTATCATTTCTTAGATTACTCAAGCCCGTTCTCAGACAATCTCCCAATCCAGCGTCTCCTCGGGCTCTGTCTCGACCCAGCCAGCGATGTCCATCTCTACCATAGTAGAAGCAGAAGCACATGACAGTATCCTTGGACAAGCAGAAATCCCGTTCATTCCTACCGATCAGCGGCAGCCCCGTCTCGCCCCTGTTTCAGATGATACCATTGTAGTCGTGGGTCAGGCCAGGCAGAAGAAGCGCAAACGGATCAAAACTACTGTTTTGGGAAAACCCCCAACCGGAGATCAGGATGACACGGGTGAGGATGTGGTATTTGATTATGCGACAGTGCCGAACCTGCTGGATGATCTCCCACCGGCTCCTGAGGAGCTCGACACGAGGAAGAAAAAGAAGCAAAAAGCCAAGGGTACGTGACCGGTTGTTTTCTCGATCTCCTTTGTTGCAATCATTCGGTATCCCGTAATCTCCCTTCACCTCTATATCGCTTTATCATCCATCCCCTTTGTCCTTCGGCCGAAATGTTGTATGCGCACGCTTACCTGACTGATGACAGGTACCGGAGTCATAGAGTATGGCAATTTTCGCGCACCACCGCGAGATATGCGCGAGGTTAAGAGTGGTAACAAAACTCATACATTTAGATGACAATTCATCAGAATAACGTTGTATCTGTGCCTTCACATCTTGGCAGGTGTTGTTTATATGCTATGTCGCTCCTATGTGCGATCTAGACAACGTCACTTCTGCTCTCGTATGAGTGGGCACCATGATGAGGTCTTCGAACAGGGATTGCTGTTGTGCTATTGGACTCGACTTGCCGCCTGAAAAATGTGACCGTCAACGCTTGACGGCAGACGGACTAAACCGGTAATATCTTTGGAAATCTTGGAACAGACTTGCTTGGAGTTCTGTCGTAACAATTTCCGGCCGTGGATAGCCAGGCTAGATTACCTTCATGCAAAGGTGCGTACACGGTGCATTTTTCGGTAGCCGTCTTGTCATACCAGCATTGCAATATACTTGGGAGAACGTAAGATGAGCTTGTGAGTGACTCCTTTGGCTCTATAAGAAGCCATACGTCTTGCATCAGAGGCCACCAACTTCCACTGCTTAGTGTGTAACTGATGGCTACTCCGACCATTGCAAAAGAGACTTCTGTGTCCGAAGCCAAATCGCTACCCCATAACTCTGATGTCAAACCGTCCCCTGACACCAAAGATACAATCGATATAGAACATGTTCCAGTTAACGATGATCCACGTCAATGGAGTCGTACCAGAAAAGTGCGTTAAAGACATGATGCCCTCAACTGACCAAGTTGACGCTGTATCACCTGTAGACCGTAACTTTGTGCATTGTGTCCCTGGCTACAATGGTGTCTGCGTTAGCGGGTAACATTCAAAATCGTTCGTCGCATGTCTTTGCCTATTGGATGGTTTTGATGGTTTTGATTTGACGTCATCTTACAGCCTCGAACCTTCTGATAGCAAAAGATCTACACGCGACAAATGATCAGATCAGCTGGACATTAGCAGCGTTCATGCTCATACAAGGCAACTTTCCACTAATATGGAGTGCTGTAGCTGAGATTACAGGCCGCAAGGTTGGTCGCTTTTCTTGATCTACTTAAGAATGCAGATCTCAAATATGGTAGGTCGTCTATTTGATGTCTTCAGCTTTATTTGTAGTAGGGAGTGCTGTCCTAGCACTTTCAAAGACCATCGAGGTGATGATCGGCATGCGAGCACTTCAAGCAGCAGGGTGAGCTCTTATCTGAAAAGCTTGAGCGCGGATTGATGTCCTGCAGATCAAGCGCTTTCTTGGCTATTTCGGCTGCGACCATGGCCGATATTTACGAGACTTATGAACGCGGGACCATGATGGGCGTCTTCTATGCTGCACCCCTTTTAGGACCCGCACTTGGCCCTATAATCGGCGGGTCATTGTCACAGGGCTTCAACTGGCGTGCAAGTTTCTACTTCCTGCTGGTCTGTGGAGTAATCATCTTCCTCTCCTTCCACATCCTGTTCAAGGACACATACCGATGTGAACGAAGTCTCACATATTGCTCTGCCCTGCAACGACGTCTTGCCTCCCAAGAACCTGTTCGGCGTCCCAGCGAGTCTACCATCGTCGAATCCGAGTTTAGCGAGAATCAACCACATGATAAGGACCTTGAGAAGCAGTTCCAACTCCCGGTTATTCCAGAGGAGACTCCATCAGCGACCCATACAATAGGGCCAGACGATATTAGGCTATCAATAAAGGACATAAACCCCTTTCCCCCATACTTTCAAATTTTGTCGCGAAAGAATAACGTTCTAATTCTTATTCCTAATGGTGGGTGGAGGCTGGTTTCCCGTTTTACATGTCACTAAAACTTCACTAGGACTTATCTTTGGTTTCAACTATTGTCTATCATACACGTGCGAACGCACTCTCGCCAATGCGTATGGTTATAATGCGCTAAGCGTTGGCATGGTCTTGCTTTGCCTGGGCATTGGTGAGATCCTCACCATCTGGATTGTGGCATAGACTAATTTCTTATCAAGGGAGTATCGCTGGGAGTATAATTGGTGGGCGTTGGTCTGACCGGGTGGTTGGGAAGATGAAGGAAGCAAACGGAGGACAGTGGTACGCAGAAGTAGGCCTTTCTGAAACTCTTGCACAATAACTTTCTTAATTGACTTCTTACAAAGATGCGATTAGAGAGCTCGAAACTGGCGATGCTGTGGCTACCCCCATCTATCATCGGTTATGGCTGGATGTGTGATAAACATCTCAATGTAGCTGCCATTTGCGTTATGCTTGTCCTTGTTGGATTCACATCTATGTGTGTGGAACAATTATTCGCGGTCATGGCTGCCCTGACATCTTTCAGATGGATGTACGCAAGTACATTAGCGTACCTTGTTGATGCCAACCCTGGTCGCTCGGCCGCAGCAGTGGCCACGAATAGCTCGTTCCGAGGAACCCTGGCTTTTGTTTCAGCTATAATTGCTGTACCACTTCAAGTAGGTTTCCGTGCTATCTGCTGTATCTCACAAATCCTGACGCTAGCTCGCTCTCGCCATAGAACGCCTGGGGAGATGGCATATTGTTCACGGCATGGGCTTGCGTCTTGGCTGCTGCTGAGTTACTAATCATAATAGTGGTGCACAAGGGAGAATCATGGCGCAAGGAGAATGAGGAGAATGAGCGTAAAATGCTAAGTAAATGAATATTCACTTTCGATATTGTTAGACATATGTGGAGCATGCAGGGCAGGCCTATCTAGTTAGTTGCAGAGCGATAGAATCAAGTATATGTAACCGAAATAAAATATCTAGTATCTCAACTCTGCGTGGCACGTGATCAATGTCCTATACGTTGAAATGTAACGCGTCGCGCCGGTAACGGTCTAGTGACGCCGTTGACGCGTGCGCGCAATGGCTAGGCTTCCAAGTTATTCACTTGTACCGCTTCCAGGTTTGCTGTTTTCAACAAATACGAGTTCGGAAAATTGAACGTTGTAGCTCTGGATAGCAGTTGCAAGCACCACCGTGTTCGCAATGATTAGAGCGCAAACTGTCGTGGCTCGTACACCGAGTGCGCTTCTTGCTTCTCTTGATCGTTTTCATTTGCAGTCCAAAAGGAAAGGTGATACGCTCCTCTTTGCCCTTTCCGCTCCCTCAGATGCCCTGTCTATCATAACATCACATCTAAAATCACATTTTCCTCGTCACATCGGATGCCTATCGTCTCCGCTACCGGCGTACCGTTCGTACATCATGTGTGCTATTGCGCTGCTAGATGGGATTGCATTCCGATCGACAATTGCTGGTCGCGCTGATCCCCAGGTTGGCCGATGGCATGCTGCAAGGCACTCAAGTACACAACAACTACCCGCAGCACAATCGAACGTTTTTGGGGAATTTAACGGAGATTTGGGCCGAATTAACTGGGAGGATATATGGGATAGGAGCGCCATGTCTGCTCAGGAGATACCCGTGGAGCTGAGAACGGTGAGGTGGGCCTGAGGTTGCCCTGTTTCCATGACGTATTGGCTTTATACATCCTCCAGACCTGAAGATGTGTCTTCTATACTGTATTTCTCGGACAAAGCCCCGGAAGGCATTGCGAAGGCACTGAAGGCAACTTTTCCGCATTCACATGAGGCGGGTACATCATATCATCTGATAGAGCAAGATATTTACACTATTTACACTATCAGCTAGGTTTTCTAGCGTCGTCAACTCCTTTCATCACAGGTCGGCCAGTGACGCTTTTCCACGATGGCGAAATATACTCAGATGGAGCAATTGGAATTGCCCTTCAGCCTTCTCTGGGTCATACTTCACTAACAGTCGAATTTCCTGGTTTGGTCGATCTGACTCCGGATTTGCACATAACAAGGTACCATTCCTTCCTCCTGCACCCCGTCATATGCTTAGTTGTTTGAGCTCTGAGGGGAATCTCATAGTCACGGTCGATCATGGAAATCCTACACGTCTCCTCCTTGCTGCAATGTACAAACATGGCCTTGACAGTCGTAACGTCCTGCTCAAGGACGATGAATTCTATGTTGGCGTCATGAGTGGCGGCAAGGTACGAAGTCCGCGTTTATAATTGATCACATGCACATCGTTATGAAGGTAGAACGGTTACATCGTATAATCTCGGGTGACCCTTCACGCGGCACCATTGCCCTTGGGACAATGAGTGCACCACCGCAGGGCTCCATCATAAGAGTGGGTCTTTGGACATCTGAATGAATGTTTGCCTGACATTCTGATAGATGCTCTATTTGCCACGGAGGGATGAAGTGACCCTGAATTTGGATGGAAGCACATCCATTTCGTTCGTCGCGACACCTGACTCCTTTGACGATGGCCCTCCGTCCTCAGTCATTGACAACGACGTCCTAGTTATTGATGGAAATTTTGTTGCTGGGTCTGAGAATGGGTTTATGTTGAGAAGAGGCGCCAGGAGGATGGCTGGACCTGTACGTTGCCTGGTGGGCAGGCCTGCCTGCGTTGGACATGAAACGAACTGTGGCCGATGTTGGATCAGTCCACCTATATTTCAGAGCCTCCATATTGACTTTCTGTTTGTCAAACTGTTTTTATTTTTGTCCTGTCATTGTCTACGGTACTTCCCCCTTTGATGATTGCAAGTTGGTTAATTACGTGACCCATGAGAACGGTTATTGCCGGATTCCTCATGAACATACAAATAAAAGGGAAAATGGCAATGGCCGGATTCCACTGTGAATCCATACTTGGCCTTGCAAAGCGAGGTGATACTTGAATTCCCGTTTTAGCTGGGTATACCGTGTTGTTCGTACTTTCCTCAGCCCGACAAGCTCTTTCCAACGCACAGACCACCACCGTCAATGTCACACAGCGTCAACGACGACGTTGCCACCGCTAACGATGATCCCCCACCGTTCACTGGTCAAGAAAGCGATCCCGAGGGAGGTGCTGATGACTTAGAGGTGTTTTCTGAAGATAAGGAGAACGCAGTGAAGTCGATCCAACAAGGGGATGCTGCAGGCGAGATTGAAATAACGCGGTCTTCTGTTTCTTCTAATGTCTCTTCTTGTCAAGATGCCGAGCCTGACGTTGGCGAGACGCATGATGCAGCTCATGGTCTTCCACCAGCCCGTCGCCCTTCAGATTCTGATAGTGGCGAATCGGAAAAGGGTTTGAAGCGAAAACTTGCTGACCGTGGCACGAGTCAGGGGCCGGAGAACCTGGTGCCTTTGCCCTCCGCCGAGCCTGCCAAACGTCCTAGAGATGACGCCAACAAAGATGACAACCCTCGCGAATCAAAGAGACCGTCGCCTCCTCCCGAACAGAAACCTGCGGTAGCAGAGACATCCGTACCCAAATTCGTCCGTCACTGTCTATTATTCAAGAGGCTTTGCTGATGAATTTCTTATCAGGGAGGGTTTATGGCCTATGCTGCCGCTGCATCTCCGTTTGCTGCTGTCAAAGGTCAGAATATATTTTCAGGAGCTAGTTCCAGCACGTCCAAAAAGCTGCCTGTTTCGCCATCGCCATCGCCGTCACCTTCCCCTCTGCCGACGAACAATGCCCCTACGCCCTCCCCCTTTGCGGGCTTCGCCTCCTCACAGTGGTCCGTACAGCAGACGCCGGCGAGCACAGCAACCAAGCGTACGGGCTTCGAAGCCTTTATAGGTTCCGCTTCTCCTTTCGCAACAGCAGGTGTTTCTCCTTTCCCCTCACGACCTAAGTCACCATTACGTGCAAGCGGAAAAAGCGTACTCGGAAGGAGCAGGTCGCCCCCGAGACGTACTCCTCTCAGCATGACCAGTGCATTCTCGTCATATGCCAGTGGTGGCGTGCAAGCTTTGTTTGCTGCACCCCATCCCAAGCGTGCGAGGGCAGAGTCGCCCAACGGAGGGTCGTCACGCAGTTCTCTTGAACGGACAAGCAGCACTAGACTGAATGTATTGGATTCAGTATGGAATGGAAGCGCAGATGAGAGCGGAAGCGGAGAGGAAGACGATGAGGAGGAAAATGAGAGACCGCCTTCAACATTTGGTGAGAGACTGCGTGCAGGTAGGGATGACGAAGAGGACGAACCTAATGAGGAGAAAGAGAGAGAGAGGCTTCAAGAACAGGACGGTGCGATGTTTCAATTTATTCAAGAGCAGATGTCTAAATATGTGGCAGTTGTAACTGGCGAAGAGGATGAAGAGACAATACACCATGTGCGCGCCAAGCTCTATGCCCTATGCCCCCAGAACCAGTGGAAGGAGCGGGGCACTGGCCTCCTCAAGCTTAATGTCCGACGTTCGGACGGTGGAGGTGCTCGTCTTTGTACGCAAGTTACGTCATCTTCGGGGCCCGTCACTAACATTGGGTATCAGTGATGCGCAAAGAAGCAGTCTACACGGTTATACTGAATGTTACGCTGTTCTCCGGAATGAAATGCTTTATTGCACAGGATCCACGATACATCCGATTGAGCGTTATCGAAGATGGGGTCACGACACATTACAACCTCAGAGTCAGTTGTTTTCATTTGTGTTGTTTTCACAACATCTGTAGTGACCCACTTGCAGGTTTCAAACGCGAAGATTGCACAAGATTTGCTAGAGGAGATCAAGTCGAATATTCCAGCTTGACATCCAGAGTACCCTTATGTTACTTTACTGTTCATCATGATCATGCCTTGCTACATTTAACATTAATGTTGTCTTTATGTACAACCACAGGACGCTCGCTGTTCCCTATATCGCATGTCTACCGGTGGCAAGGAGCCTCGGAATCACACATCCCGTGGTCCTAAATGTTGCGCCTCGGAGCTCATGGGACGTACATCGTGTCCGGCGGTAGCGCCCAAAGGCGTTGGAGAACTCATCTTGGACGTGATGCATACCTTCCATCGTACGTTGACCGATGTTTGTGTAGCCCTAATCACACATTCAGTGCTCAATGAAGTGATCTGCCATTTAGACCATACCAATGTAGTAAGGAACGACTCGAAGGTAGAGTTCATGTTGGACCAGACTCGCAAGTCTTTTTTTATCTCTGAGCCTCAGCAAAACCTGGTCGACGACTCGACGAAACATGCTAGATGATTGTTGGCTGAATTGATGAAGCTGGCGCTCACGGCCAGCAGTCAAGGTCCAGTGCGGGGGAGTATTCTTGGAGTTGAGCACCCAAAGGGGCAGCTGTAGACCATCAGAAGGGTTTGATGAGTCTGCTGGCATGTCACAAGTCTAGTCCTGACCGCTTGATGACAACCGTACCATTTATTCAGTGCAGATTCCAGAACCTCCATTGAACCCTACCAGTACCAGGTGCATCCAACCTGTCCTGCGACCCCGTCACAGTGGCAACATAAGTCAGCACTCCCTCGTTCGCATGTATAGCAGCCACTCACGCGTCGAACAGAAGTCACAATGCAGTGGATAACTGATGCGAATTCCATCCATGACAACGGAGCGTCCGCATCAACAACTTCGGTCTCTGCGTCAGCTTCTTCCAGACTGCCAGTAACGGCAACTGCTAGGGATTATGTCACAACTGTCACGGCTGTGCCATGCATTGAAGAATACGCTGGAGTCTGGAGTTCGGATCATATTTTATCATGCAACGCTCTCAAGACCGTTACCTCGGGCAAGCGGTCTGCCTTCACCACAAGAATGGCAATGATAAAGGTGCCGAAGATGTTTCTTCACCCATCATCACAAAATGACATATTATTCAGGTATCTTGCTTCATCGCACATTTTCGTTCTCATTCAACGACACGTGGATGCTTGCCAACATCAATGAACATTTTACGATCTAGGAACATCTATGCTTGATGTCACTGAGAGGTATTATAGCACTTCTGAACAGCAAATTGTTATTTTACCGCTCAGATCATAAGGCAACAACTTACCTGGGCCTACAGATGGGAAACTACTGGGATGGAAATGCACCCGGTCCACGAGATTATTTCCTTGCGGTTCAAAATGATCAACAATCACTGTTTGACGGATGTCCGTCTTCAAGGAATTTCACGTAGCGCCAAAATACGAAGAAGTCGCTTACAAACTCCAATTGCCACCACTGATGGCCCCATCCGTCACCAGCGCCCAACAACGGCATCCTGGACATTGTCGATATATCGTGACTGGCTCTGAGAATAGATTTACGTTGAGAAGTGTTGCCAAGCAGAAGCAGAAAAGCCTGGCAATGGACAAGTTCTCTGGCTATCGGGTTGTGGGCTCATTTTTTTCAATTTTTAACCATGCGACTTACGAATCGTTATTTAGACGGACACGTCACTGTGGTGTCCGAACATGCCACCTCGATGCATCTTATCTCGTCATGGGTTTTTTCAGGTGAACTATCACCACTAACATCAACACGTGCAACAATCCATAACGCCCCCTGTTCCTCTGACAACGTACAGCAGGTACTCTAGTGCAATATCACCAAGCAGCGCTAGATACACGCAATTCCACATTCCTGTGCTAAAAGTACGAGTTTGTGGAGCATGCACAAACCTTAAACATGTCTGTCCTATCTTCAAGTTATCCTTTAGGAAGTGTTAAGCGCTTCGAGACATGGCAGTACAGGATATGTTTCAGACCGCACGATTCATTCGAAACAGCTCTGGAAGCAGCTAGGTTGACCGGTCTGTTTTAACTTTTCATGCATGATTATAGATAACAATTTGCCAAATCGGATCGCTCTTTACTTACATAAACGAATACATCCAGTGGATTGCACTATCGAATTTTCCGCTCCACCGTGACGTTGGCAGTCAGTTGATATATCACGTATAGAAGCTAACGGAACTAGCAGTAATAATGGATGTATATCACGAAGCAACTATGCACGCCCACACAAATCGAGCGCCGAGCCTCGGTCCTGTCACGTGATTGCCAGCAGTATCGGACTAGTAGTATTGTAACTGATGTACAGCTTACTTTGTCCCCGGTAAAATTACAAGAAAGGCTCAATGCACGATGACCAGGCCATCTACGCTCACGTAGGCTCGGGTATCAGAAGTACCTCGATGGCTCAACTACGAAAAAGTAATAAAAGCAAACTATCTGGTAACAACAACAACATAGCACATTGTCTGTTGTAAGCACGCTGGCTTACTAGAATTCCCATGATCTACATAAATGCTGTCCGCAGTACTGAAACACATGCTTTCAGTATCACTGCCTGGCGTAACAGTTAAGCGGACGTCAGTCTTGAGCTTGAGTCTTGACTCAGTTACATCCGTGATTCCGTTCCGCTACGAGTGCTCCACCACGTGTACACGTTTAATAACCCCATTTGGCGATATCGGCGAAGGAAAGGTCCAAGCTGAGTAATTTGAAGGAGGCTGCCAGTGGTCACTGAACAACTTGAGCCTAGGCCTAAGGCCTGAGCTCGGTCTACATCAGATTGCTGCAAGTGAGATCACTACAGCTTTACACGAATCACATGGGTTCGTTTCAACCGTTCATGCGAGGACTGAAGCACTGACTCAAGACCTCACTGCTTCATCGTGGCTACTTGTGAGCCATGTAATAATTTATTCGATTGAATATTTGGTCTCACAAGATCACTCACAGGAACTCTTGATATACTCCTGGCGATCAGTGTAAAAATGGTTTCGATGACCCTACGAGAAGCGGAAGGAAATCTTGATTCTTCAAATTCAAGAGCAACTTGCGCTTCCTTACCATGATGGCTCCCTGGAGAGTAAGAGATTCGTATGAACAGAATAATGGCCTAACTGGCATACAAATAATGCCATGTAACAGCCTTTCTGATTGTTGCCAAATCGCAAAGCAGTGGTATGTTTGAAATAGTTGAAATGGCAACTCACAACCTGCGGCCCGGGATTCAACAAGTACCTGCTAACCTTGGGACAAGAACGCATAGACTCAGAGCACTGGAGGAACTTTGGATTGGTGTCACAAGTAACGAGCCTTTATCCACTTCCCAGGATGTGCGACCTTTCAGGGTCAAGTCTCGAGTTGTAATGCTGTCTCTTCCCAGCACTCCACGTGGTTTTACCAGGTCCCTACAACATCTATAGCTCATATGCGCTGGTAAATTTGGATATACAAGCATAACAAGGTATCCCTGCTTTTTTTTCACCGCAATATGACGATCCACTCCGAGATCCGCGCCCGATTTTAAGTTTGGCGGTGGCAAGGCAGCACGTACGACCAATGTATGACTTATCTTGTAGCCGCTGACGCAGCCCTTTTCTCCGCAGGCACGGTTAGCGTGCATCTGTACCATAATCAAGTCGGAGCTGTGGCACGTGGCAAAAGTCAATCACTTCTTGACGTTATCCCGAGGTCTGCCATGACAATCTTCACACCGCTAGGGCGTAGCGCCCCTGCCCATGGCTCACGCATCAGAGAGTTGGCCAGCTGAGATTCGATATGTATCTCGGATCATATACGGTTCAGAGGGAATATATTTCCGACCCCTTTTGAAACTTGCAGTAAATTCAAAGTATAAAGAACCACGCGTCCGAAAAAAAAGAATTCTCCACTCTCTTTTTGAATAATGGAAACTCATACTCCGTTGGCAGCGGCGTTGCTGATGACTGGATGCAGGCAAGCACGCCCTATTGACTCCTACGAGAAACCATTCTTTGAGTTCACGGACTCCAGTATCGCGAGCCAAGGCTCCTTAAATCACTCCGGCATGAATTATTCCACATCTCCATTAAGGTATGCCTGTTTTTATGTCTCTCCAAGACGATGATTTACCATGTGGCCTCAGCTATGATAACAACCATCACCCTCTAAATTTGTTGGAGAATCAATGTCACAATTCTGTTTGGTAGTCCATATTTTTCCCCCTGGAACATTTTGCTAACAAGATGATAGCCTGTCGGATCACCATTCACATCATTACAGTGGTGTTACGCATGTTTCGTTGCCAGATGAAACGTCTCTCTTCGTTGCAAACTATCTCTGCCAGTTGCGCCTGACATTTGGGACGGACATGACTCTGGACCAAGCGATTCGAGTATGTGGTGGACAATGTGACACTCCAGGTCACTATAATCACTTCTCCTATGTGAATATCGCTTACACTATATCTAATCGCAGACGCAAAGCCTACACACGGCCAGGCGGGGAGAGATGTTTTTGTTTCGAACCTCAGTTCACCTTCGATGAGCTACACAGGTGCCCAATCTAACAGATCGGCGACTCGTCAGTCTACACCCAACGAGAGGGCTTATTTCAGGTCTAGTGCTGTCACACAGACTAATCACGAGATATTCCGAGACGGTGGCAGATTAAAGGTCAGGTGTCATGAAGGCCCTTGCAGCGGCAATGTATTAATGAAGGACAATTATGCCCGACACGTGCGTGAGCACCATCTTGGTGGGAAGAGGAAGGCAGGAGGGAGCTCTATACGGCGTGTCAATCCCGGAATGAAATGATGGGCACCCTGCACCACTATGGCTGCAGCACGGAAGATTGGCTGATGTGGAACCAAGACACGGCCATGTCAGGCTCTTGAAGGGCATGCTGCATTTATTTTATTTAACAAGGTGTCTCTCCTGTGGATGTGATATATGATACCATCAATTTACGCTATGCTTTGCACAAGGTGCACAGCTTCGCATATATACAGACAAGGCTGAGCAAGGCCGCTCGTCCAAAAAAGGGTGCTGTGGCGGCAATAACCGAATCGGACACGAGTTGGGGTGCGTTGAACTTACTCATCACTGCCGTCTACCACCACTTCGTCGTTGTCGTCTTCACCGTCGACGAGACACTGCAGACAACGTCGAGCTCTGTACCAAACAATCTTCTACTGTAACTTAGTCTTATCCTTTGTTTCATTCTTGTTCTCATAACAGTAAACAACGCTGCCATCCAACTTGGCTTCCTCGCATTTCTTCTGAGGCTAACTGTATACCGCCAATTTCCTACTCCCACTCTTTTATATTCTTTCTGAAGTCGAACTAGTACAATGGGCCAAACTCCCTCCAGGATACAGATTCGTCGCAATGGCATTTCACAAGCGAGATCTAACCCACCATCCTCTGAATTGCAGTCATCGTCCGAACCTTCAACTCCCGTTCTCACTCCTTCATCGTCATCTGTACCAGAACCTCAAATTACGGACATCGCAGAAACAAAACGTAGTCGTCGTGCATCCCTGCCGCACCGCTTTCTTTCATCGCTTACTCCCAGGACCTCAACTCCACGCACCCGGACAGACAGTTCAGCTACTCAGTCCTCGCAGCGCAAAAAGTGGCGGCTTTCACGACGCATTTCTAAATCTCGGACAGCCAATGACATCGCTGTTCGTGAGGTTGCAGAACCTCAAGACGAACAGAACGGATCTCAAGACCCTCCTGCGGATGTAGAGAGCGGTAAGGGTAAGGCGAGAGAGGATAAAGCTGTGAATGACTTTCCATCAGCGGCAGAAGCATCAATATCCCCTAGTCCACCATCAGAAGAGGTGGTTCCGACTATTTCGGGTGGACGATTGGTTGACCCGGCATCTGACATCTCGTTTCAACCTATTCCCTCAATTTCTCGCCATTGCTCGGAGGACGACGAGGATGAAGTCGTCATTGGTCCAACTACAGAGTTGATTGATCCATCTCCTCAAGTCCAGGTCCCAACCGTAAACCAGAGCGAAGGCCCGCCATTCATGCCTCCGATTACTCCCGCTGGACCACAGTCTCACGTAGGCACAACTACACAGCCCTCAGGTCGTCAATTTCCACCTGCGGGAACACTTGTTGTCGTGCAAGGTGTCGTGCATACCACTGACGTGTCCCGCGCTTCAGAGGTAAATACCGCCAACAACAACAACTCGAACAATACGAGTTCCGCGAATGATGGCAATCTGGAGCCACCGGGAATTTCCAGGTCATCCTCCATTACACGCCAACGATCGTCTTCTACCCCCGGTGATCGCTTGCGCAATCGATTGTCTGGAATTCTACCCCGCCCTTCCAGCATGCTACCATCTGTACCACTCATGTCAGAAGACGGTGCTACTGCTGCTGATTATCCACAGCAATTACCTGTTGACATGCAGTCAAGTACGGCCTCCCTGCCTGCGGGGACAGGCGCTAATGCAGGAGTTGGTCCGCCAGCCTCCGAAACGTCTAGCGCCAACACCGGCTCACTTTCGCCGAGTAGCATTGATGTATTGGGAACGTTGCTCAGGTATGCATTTTACTCATTCCACGACTTGCCTGCATTATGCTCCACCCCATCACACTATCTGACTGATTCGTGCGTATTGCGTACAACGACGCTGACTTCTTTTTAACCGTAGTGTCGCAGCAGCGGCAACGGCTGCTTCTCTCCTCACGGGGACTTCCGAGCCTATTTTTTCTTCTGGACTCGCGCCCTTATCTCAATCACCAAATCAACCTCCTCAAAGTATGTCAGATCGGCCTCTATCGCCTACACCTACGGGTGACGCTGGGCGTATGCGTCATGTCTGGAGTAGCTTACGTGACCGCCTTGGTCTACGCACGCCTGGAATGGGAGCGCCTGGTGCTGATGAGGGCACAGGTAGACCCAGTCCCCGCGATGCGCGCGAGCTTCTGCTTACGGAGATGGCTCGGGCTTTCAATTTGGGTCTTGGCCTAGGGAGACCGCCTGTTGTTCCTGATATGACCAATGCCAGCGGGCCCGCAGTGCCCGCCGCTGAGCCACCCTCCGACAATGGAAGTGGGACCAGTGACGTTCCAATAATGCCCCCGCCTGGCAGCTTTGAGCGTTTCCTTGTCGATCTTCAATCAGATCTAAGGGTTGCGCTTGCGCAAGACAGTGTCCCTGTTGACGCTGACAGCGAGGGCAATGATGAAGGTGTGGGCGACGAAGATAACCATGAAGGTGAACGCCATGAGACTGAAGATGTGCTGGACGGTACGAGTGACAACGAGTCTCACGACACCGCCGCATCCGACATCGATGATAACATGCCTGAACTTCAGAGCGTTTCTGACGAGGCGTCTACTATCTCGGACGCCCACACTGCCCGGGAGAGCCCAGGCACGAACAATGACAATATAGGACATAGCGAGGATCCAGATTTGGAAATTGATAACGCCCTAGTCCATGATGCCACAGCAACCTTGCCTCGCATTGCCCACGCTGACACCCTTTCTGGAGAGGCGGGTATAGACATAGGGTCACAGGATACTTCATCTGGTTTGTCAGGGTCTCCAACAGGACCTTTATCATCTCCTTCATCTGGTCCCCCAGGTGTGAGTGCTTTCATTGAGTCCTCCACTGCTGCACAAGAGTCTGCTGAGACAGACATGCCATTCCGAATTCCACGTATCTCACCTGGTTCTACGTCGCGCACTGAGCACACGCCTATCAACTGGTGGCGATTGTACCGTTTCCCTGCTATCACCGCGCCAGCAAGTCGCAGTACACAGGCGCACACGATTGTACAGCAAGGATCTGCCCCACAACCACTACCACACGTGGATGGCGATGGGGTACAAAATGCAGGTGGTCCACCAGCCGCTCCGTCTTCACTTCCCTTTACTCCCTCAGAGATGCCGGATACTACGCACGCAATGCCAGCCGCCGACTTGACCGCTGGAGTACAGCCGGGTAACGGTAATGAACAACGTAATGTCGTCATTCCTGTCATCGTCGTGGGATTGCAATCAGTGCACGCAGAACGTCAATCACCTATGCCTCCACATCCTCACCACCACCTTCATCCCCACGTCCATCATCAACCACCCGATTTCGCAGACGAGCGCTCCACCGAAGGAGAAATGATGGATTTAGACTTTGGCAATGAATCTGGGATGTCTCCACCAGCCCCTATTCCTCCTGCTCCATCAGAGTTTCTACCTGAGGATACACGACAATCTCGCGGTCGCTCTTGGCAGTCTCGTGCAGCAGATGCCATCAGGAATTTACGTCCTGGTCGCAGGGCCGCTGTGGCAAGACAGACAGCGTCAGAGCCCCCAGGGTCCAGAACGTTCCTCATTTATGTCATTGGTGGTGAGTTCACCCTTTTTGCCCTGTTTTCAAATATGGACAGTTATTTCAGGCTACTACCCACCCGATCACCAAATTATCACAGGCGGGAACTTGGATTCGTTCGAGGCATTGTGGTGCGTACGCGATGGAGGTGTGGTGTCGTGCCATGCTCACTTTCATGCAGGGAACTGGCCGAGCTACTTGGTCAAGTGAAACCACCCACTGCTTCGAAGGAGGAGATTGACAAGTCTGGGCTCGAAGTTATCAAGGCAAATTCACTTGAGGAGTATGCAAAGGACGGACGTGTCGCTACTAACTGCGTCGACCGGGTATGGAATCACGCCTTTACCATATTCTTCAAGCTTGCTTACCTTGCATATAGTGTCTCATATGTCTTGATGATTATGTGCCGGACGATGACCTACGTGTCTTAAGCTGTAAACACGCATTCCACCAAGGCTGTGTAGATAAGTGGCTCCAGACAGGAAGGAATAACTGTCCTGCCTGTCGCACGAAGGTACGTTCATTTAGCAACAAGCAGCCAGTTTTTCACAAGTTATTTCAGGGCGTCGACAATGAGACTAGCCCCTCCACTGAAGCATCCGCTTCGAATTCAACCTTGACACCCCAGCCAGCAGCCGCATGATGGCTCGCATCCTTGATTAAGTAGTATTTTCCCTTGCATCATCTTTTCCCTCATCTCGATTGTAACAAACCTCCGCATCCGATCTGTCTTGCGATTCGTGTAGCAATTCCATCTCTTCATCGCTGTTCTTTCTTCAGCTTATTATAATGCTACTGAGTATCGTCGTCCACACAATTTATCCAAATAGCCTGCTGCCACTTGTACTGTACGGCACATAGAAAAGGTCATTTATCACTGAAAAGGTCATAGTGTCCTGTGTGCTATCCTCAGTACTTAGCATAAAGCTAGGCGAGTGTGGGACACGAAGGTTTGTGCTATGCACGCTTTCCAGTAACACCAGCCTCTTTGAGTCTGGCGAGAAGCTCGTCCACGCTTGCCACCTGGACGTCATTATAAGTACTGGAACATGCTATGACGAAATGGAGGATCACCTTGCCACCACCAACGCGCTTTGGAGGTTCTGTGACTTTTATGGTCTCTAGTCTAGGCGTGAGGTCCACTCCAATTTCCGCAGCCGTCAACTTCTCCACAGGTTTCTTCTTGGCTTTCATGATATTGGGCAACGAGGCGTACCGGGGTTCTTGGAATAGGCATAAATTAACTGAGTGATAAAATATTGTGAATAAAACACACCATTGAGCCTGGATTCAAGAGCGCCCGTCAGTCACTGAGACACTCGTGGATACATGCAAATGGACTTGCCGAAGATCTGTTGTTATGATGACAGGAAACTTGCACCTGAGCTCCTCAAGACCTCCATCGATCTCACGAGTGATGTTCGCAATCTTCTGCTCTGGGTCTACCTCGACCTTGCTCGCAAATGTTGCCTGTGACCATCCCATGAGTCCAGCGAGCATTTGACCAGTTTGTCCGGCGTCATCATCAATAGCTTGCTTGCCCAAAATCACTACGTCCACGCCCTCCTTCTGTCGTTCGATGAGGGCCTTCAAGGTCTTCGCGACACCAAGAGGTTCTGGGGCCGGAGCAGATTCTGGGATTTCGACGTGGATGGCAGAGTCAGCACCCATAGCGAGTGCGGTGCGGAGCGTCTCTGCGGACTTTGGTGGACCGATGGTGACAACCTTGATAGATTTCACTGCATCCTTTAGGCGTTCTCGTATCCGAATGGCTTCCTCCACAGCTATAACACGGTCAGATAACTGTGCCCACGGAATACTGACGGAAAACGTACCAATCTCATCAAAGGGGTTCTGTAATTACTCATGTGAGCCAAACTGGTTTATGAATTGTGGACTTTGCCATACCATGGAATGTTTAACATTGAGGTCGATGCCTGTCTGCTCGGGATTCACGCGGATCTTCACGGCATAGTCTACCGCCCTTCCAAGTGCATCTTCAGAGCTGGAAGGATAGAGTTGTAATTCATGCGCACCTCTTTATAGGGACTAATATATTGAGCAACCGCACAGCAGAAGGCCTCATCCTCAATCTATACTCGATGCTCACTGAAAAGTCAAAGAAATCAGGTTGATGATATGTCGGAGTTCGGATTCGGAAATGAAGACAACTAATTTTTACGTGTTTAGCTCTTGTGTTCGAGCCAGCCGGGCAGAATCAGCATCACTACAAATTCAATAATACTGGTGTGTGACTGCCACATCTTGGTCGGTCCATCTGCAATTAATTCCTATAGCCTTTCATATGCACCATTACAAGTATCCTGGCCAATATTCTCATCCACACTCTAAGCCGTAATGACCGTTGCTGACTCACACTGGAATCCGACTAGGGCCGAAGTCGTTTCAAGCTCTTCCTAGCCAGACATTTATAGACGAAGGAATACACTCGCGACTCGTTCCGACTGATAAATCTCCCTCTTGGAGCATATTACAAAGGTCATAATATGTTCGTGAGACTGGTGCACACTTAGTAAGTTGATAACAGAATGTATGGACAGATAACAGGATTGACTCCATGATGACTTGGATGGTTTGCTCTTCCTATTATTAGTTCGACTTCACCTCCTATTAGCCGGGCACCCGATATTCCGTGGCAAGCAGACATTCTGGACGATTACGATCCTGAATGTAGCCCTCGGTAACTTAAGTTGGTCGTTCAGGGGCCTTCCTCGCAGCGGCTGTCTGATAGCCGGAACGAAGCCAAAGTTCTATAGGCATGTCACTCGATCGGCTATGTTGTCCGACGCACGTCACTATAGGTGAGGATATTTTGATCATCGGCACCAGCAAAACCATGTGCGCTTTCGTCACCCGCTTCATTGCTGAACCATCTATAAAATATGTACTCTCATACAATCTCAAGCTTTAGCTCCCGCATCTGACAACATTTTACGCCCATGGCAGAAAGTCAGAGTACGACTTTGTCGCCTACGGAGGTCCAGAGTGTGGAATTCCAGGGTACAGACGCCCAAACGCATGTTTCCAGTGCAGAATCGTCAAAAGAACCTATCAAGCTTGATATAGAACATGCCCTGGTTGAAGATGATCCTCGAATATGGTCGAACGCGAAGAAGGCGCGTCCTTTCATCTTGATTTTGTAACTGGAGGCTGATGAAACATATCTATCATACAGAACGTTGTATTGTTCATCATATCTGGAGCATCGATGATCGCGGGTTTGTGCGCGAATATACAAAACCGTGAATTGTTTCCTTAATGTCATTGCAATATCGGCTGAACAGCCAGGGGATAGCCGCTAATGCTCAGATTGAGCAGCAGCTACACACCACCAGCGGAGATATCAGCCTGAGTTTGTCTCTTTTCATTCTCATTCAAGGCAATTTCCCTGTCGTTTGGAGCGCAATTAGCGAGATTAAGGGCCGCAAGGTTTGGATTTCTGTGTCTTGAGGGTTTTATTTATTAATATCGCCGAGCTCAGATGGTGTACCTTCTCTCCGTAGCACTGTTTACACTTGGATCTGCAATCGTGGCAGTATCCAGGACCATAGGTTTGGTGATCGGTATGCGTATTCTGCAAGGCGCAGGGTAGGACAGTCCCTCAATCCCTTAGTCCCTTGCTCACATGGAGTAGGTCAAGCGCGGTTATCGCTATCGGAGCTGCCACTCTGGCCGACATATACGAACCACATCAACGAGGAACAATGATGGGTGTCTACTATTCTGCACCTCTCCTCGGTCCTTCATTGGGGCCAATTATCGGTGGTGCACTCGCACAGGGCCTCGGTTGGCGGGCGATTTTCTGGTTCCTAGTCATCTGGGGAGGTGTAATATTTTCGGCATTCCTTTTCTTGTTTAAGGACACATTCCGGAAGGAAAGAAGTACGACATACCAGAATGTATTGAAGAGGAGGATCCGAGAGCAACAGTCGTCAGAAGCAAAGGACGAGCCACGAAAGATTTCGGAGAAGGAATCACAAGTGAACGATGAAGAGCAGACGAATCCGAAGGACATTGAAGCGCAGATGAATTCGAAGGACCTTGGGGCGCAGACGAGTTCAAAGGGCATCGAAGGACAGCCGACAGTCATACCAGCATCAGCCATCAGAGAAGTAAAGTTGTCCATGGCTGATGTCAACCCTTTCCCTCCATACCTATTGATTATCAGCCGCAAGAACAACTTTGCCATCTTAATACCATCAGGTGTGCTCTCAGTAATTCTTGCTGAAGTTGTTCAAAGAAAGTTTATGCCCTCTTTTAGGTTTGCTTTTTGCATTTAGCTTTAGCATTACGTATACATGCGCAAGGACATTGTCGATGCATTATAATTACGATGCTTTGAAGACTGGCCTCGTCTTGCTTGCCTATGGTGTTGGTAAGCGAATTACAAGCAACCTACGAGCGCCTACCTGACGCATTTATTCCAGGTAGTGTAACCGGTAGCATATTGGGTGGACGTTGGTCCGATAGGACACTTGCTCGGCTAAAGGCAGCGAACGGAGGGAGCAGCTTTCCAGAGGTGACTCACTATCTTCAGCTCAGCATCTGTCTCCATGTTTGACGCGAATTCATGCAGATGCGCCTCGAGAGTACGAAAGTCGCCATGGTGTGGTTACCTCTTTCTGTGATTGGATATGCTTGGGTGTGCCAAGAACGGGTCAATGTCGCTGCGATATGTGTAATGCTTTTCCTCGCAGGATTTTTATCCATGTATGTTTCTTTCGTTTCACACTGTCTTTCGCTCTCATCCGGGATAGATGGATCTACACAAGCACCCTGGCATACATCGTCGATGCAAACACTGGTCGCTCATCAACGGCAGTAGCGACCAACAGTTCTTTCCGCGGTCTGTCTGCTTTTGTTGCTGCTGAGGTTGCTGTTCCTCTACAGGTGAGTCGACGTCATGATAGCTTGCGGAACATCGGATCTGAGTTTGGTTTAGGATAGTATTGGCGACGGTGGTTTGTATACGCTCTGGGCGGGGCTGCTGGTCATTGCTAATTGTTTTATCTTACTGGTGTTGTACAAAGGCAGGAAGTGGAGAGAAGCCAGTGCTGAGCGGGAGAGGCAGAAGCTGGATGGCAAGTAGACGATCATCATGACTTCCGAGGTTCCGATGTACCATAGATGACGATAGACGATACTATATTAACAGAATTAACTGCTTCACTGGTATAGAATCAAGGCTTATTCGCCGTCAATTTATATGTGCATCAATTTCTTTCCAGAAGTGTGATCACTGACTGGGGTGTCGCGGAGTTGACTATCATCAAATTCATTAATACAGTAACTGCCAGCGATGGATCCGAGTCCGTGTTCAAGTTATTAGCGTTCAAGTTGACGAGTCAGTTTTATGGCTTAGATTGCCCACACAGTATTGAAATTGAACGTGCTTATCCTCGGGTTGGGCTTGGTCCAATAATGTCAAACTTCCTGGAAGCCACTACTAGACCTGCCTACTCCCAAAGCTCGCGAACTCAATATTGATAAAGGTGAATCATAATCGATCGACGTCTTAACTTCTAAGATTAACCTGGTCAATTGGTTAATTGCATATTGAATATACCCATAAGGTGGGCCCCAACTGGAAGCACCAGCCCGGCCTGCTTCTGCGTTGGTCGGTATATATTTAGAAGCAAAGATGAATCATGAATGCGACTCCTGCTAGTGTGGTGCTATTGGATTGTGTGTGGCTGAAATGATAAAACGCCGATCATGCCAGAAGTCGTGATGTATCATTTAACAAGGAATAAGTTTAAGAACCAATAAACCGATAAATATTGTACAGAAGCAAGCGGAAACTTTCATGTATTGTGGTCTGCATCTTTCACCAAAGCATGCACATGCACACGATGAGGTAATGGAAGAAAATTAGTACATGAGGTCTCCAACTGCGGACGGAGTCCCGTCGTCGTTGTAGAGGCACGATCCGGTTCCGATAAGAGCAGCGCCATCAGGGTTGTTCGTTTGGAGGAGCGTTGGCGAAGTTGCTACGAAGGGGAAGTAAAGTTGAACGTATGACGCCTCATCAAGGAAAGCGAACGCCTGTTGGAAGAAGGTCACCCTACACGATACATAAGAGCATGAATGGTGATAAAAGAGGTACTGCATCGTAGCTTACTGATCTGCTTGACCATCTGCAGGGTTCTGGAGAGCAAACTCCGTGATGACGAGTTGATAATCCTGGGTGTTTGGTGTTGTGAGATATAGATACCACACGCGCAAAGGAGACTTACGGGGAATTGACTATTGGCCGATTGTACGTAGCTCTGGAAATCCGCAAAGCTTGTTCTGCATTTCGAAATTCGAGTAAGTTGAGGAGATACACCAAACAAGCTCTTGTTACGTACCCATACCAGTGCTGGAAAATATAAAGTTAACGTCAAACAGAACGGGATCGCATACAATTACGCACCAAGTTGATGTAGTCGAAGTAGCACTGTCCTGCACAAGCGCTGATCATTTGAGAGACCCAGCTAAGACCCTCTCCAGACGTTACGCTGTTGGTAACAGCAGGGAGGGCCTTCTTGATCGCCTAAAAGCACGGATAAATATGCCATAGTCTTGAGTAAAATTTGATGCAGTAAGACCTTACCAGTGGGTTGACGTATTGAATGTACCAAGAAGCGGCCTCGCTTGGGGTGATACCGTTGATATCAGGTTCGTTCAGCGTAAATACGGCTGTAATAAAACGGGTCAAGCTAATGTCTATCCACTAACGAGTGGTAACGAACTAGCCCAGCCTTGTGCTGCTTGACGTGATGCCAGATCTGCGATAGGACTGGATGAGCAGTCGGTGCAGCGCTGCATGCCGATGAATCCGAGGCCACCGTTTCCATTGGTGGAAGGCGGAGCGTATGTCTCATAATCGTAGCTGTTTACTGTTAGCGAGACTGCGAATGCGAGTATTTATCTAGCATACATTGCAACAACTTCTCCATCTCCGTTATTGAAAACACCAGGATCGCTGGAAAGAGACGAGTCAGTGAACCTAATGGAGCATGAAGTATGAACCTATGTACAGTGTTCCATCGACTGTTCGGTCATGGTGAGCAAAATGTGCCTGCACTTGTAATTTGAGATGAAACTCACAGTAGGTCCAGCATAGGCCACGCTTTCCGGCGAGAACGATGGGGACGAAGAGTGCTACAATTGCGAGTCTGGCGGAGGTCAACATGGTCGAAAATGTGTGAGGAAATGGCAAATACCAAGCCTATTTATACTTTCAAGTGTGGTGGTAGCATCCTCCAGGAAAGACTGGGATGGTTAGGCACGGCCGCATTAGTGTGCACATGCTTTGGCAACAGCGAGCACATCGGTATACCAGCGCTACGACTGACGCATCTGAATTGGGCACAAGTAGCATATGGCTTGCTTGAAAAATGATACTAATGAGGTCCCAGTGTATGGTTTACATACAAGCTGTAATGATTACCGAACTGAGACAGGTATGCGCAGCCAATGGTCACCCGGATCCGCCTCTTTATTTGATATCCAGACGAGTTCGGAGAAATATCAGCATGGCGGTAATAGCGGGACCATGTGAGGGGCGGCCTGTGACGAGTTATGGAGACGCCATCTCGGCAGACCAGTACAATATTAATAGCAGGGTGTTCGCATCACCTATTGTAAACTTGCGTAATAAGCAAAGACAGAAATTCAGCTATACTTACCACGTTCAGATCCTGAATTGACATGATAATAAGGATGGAGGAATGATGTGGATTGATTCTTAGAGATTATCAGCTGCGTAAAATGTGATGGATTATGAATATACATTGCCACTTTACTGACAAATGGAGAGGTACCTGCAAAGCTGGTTACCTCGTGATGAGCTCCATCGAGTTTTTGATAGCGTAGTCTGAACGAGAAATCTGATAAGCGCGAGCGGCGTGGAACGTTTAGTAGTTATCTGAACGTCACAGAGTAAGTTCTTCAGTACTGGGTCATGGTTACCCGTGAGCGTGGCATAGCACCTCAACATTAATATTTATGTCACACAATGTAGTGGGCATTATGAAAAGGCAGAGGTCTGGTTGGGAAAGTCGCGCGGCTGGTGTTTCGTGGTAGCATCGGAATTACTAATCTAGGCCAGGCTTGTTGGGACCGAATTTGTCGCCGGGTAAAAAGCACTTTGAGCAGACAAGAATCGGGACTTGGATTGAAACACCTACCATTCCCGACTTCGAAGACTATAGATCTAGACTCCACCATCAATGCATGGCGCGCTCACTATAGGTTTTGGCAATTTATAGGTCTGTGGTTTTCAACTTTAACGTGTCCAGAATATGTTCAGTGCGCCAACCGGCTGACAGTTCCTCCTTTGGAAGTCACCGATGACGTCGACCACATACGATGTCCTTTTTCCTGACCTGTGATTGGTCCCCCGCCGCGTCGTCGAAACATGATAAATAGCGCTCGTCAGCCAGGATGGACGCCAGTGTTCCCTCTTCCCTCTTTCCCTCACATCGCTATCAGAGATTACAATACGCTCTTTATTTTCTATATTCACATACTATTCAGCATCATGGTTCAACTAGCTCCTCGCTTCGCCGCCCTCCTCACCTTTTGTTTCCTCGCGTCCGCTACTCCTGTTAGTCCATACGTGTCTCTCAGCGTAGGCGTGGTCAATCCTACTCCGGGTCCTAACGGCACTCACGCCAACCACACCGCAATCATCATCGGGTCTACTCCAAGCTCCAATGAGACTCACGCCAACCACACTTCTAGGGCTGTCGCTGTCACCAACGAACACCCCGTATATGTCATCGAACAACACCCGAGTTCGCAGTCCCATGAACAGGCTCAGGGACAAGATCCAGTTTGTCGTCCAAACTATACTGACACTGTCAAGTTTCTAAATTGATGGTGCAGATTACACCCGGCGTACAGAACACCCCCAGCGTGCAACACGACGTTATCGTGGATAAGAATGCCCAAGTCCAGCCTAGTCAGAGTCAAGCCAACTCAGTACGTCGCCGCACCTGACGAGCACTCATCTTTCGCTGACTTGACCTCACAGACGCAGTCCAATAGCGCTGCTGCTACAGCAACTCCCTCTCAAGGCATGGGCAAGAGGTACGACGATGGTCAGTACCACCCGAACCCTTCGTACGATGACGGCCAGTACCACCCCAACCCCACATACAACAATGGTCAGTACACCCCTACCGCAACGGATACGTCTTCTCCCACCCCTACTCCCAGCCCCACCCAGACGTATGACGACGGATTGTACCATCCCAATACATCTTACGATGATGGCCAGTACCATCCCAATACAGCCTATGACGATGGCCAGTACCACAACGCCGCTGTCGTCCCCCTTGCGCTTCCCGACCCAGTCACGTCTGTGTTGGGTGTTGTACTCAATATAGTACCCGGCACCGGAACAGCGACCCCGACATCCCAAACAGGCTCCACTGCCCCCGCGACGACGAATTCTCCAACGACAGCAGCCTCCTCCACGTCTGCAACGGAGACTGCCACTCCCACCGCCACGTCTGGAACCACTACTACGGCGGCGGCCGACCCCACTGGAACTGCAATGCGCACCGTAACCGGCGCCGGCAAACGCTCGGACGATGGCCATTACCACCCTGATTCGAAGTTTGATGACGATAGCTACCATCCCAATCCCAAGTTCGACGACGGCAAGTATCACGTCGGTACCACCGGAGGCAAACGTTCAGACGACGGCATGTACCACCCTGATTCGAAGTTTGACAACGGTCAATACCATCCCGATCCCAAGTTCGACGACGGCAAGTACCATGTCGGCACCACTGGAGGCAAACGTTCAGACGACGGCATGTACCACCCTGATTCGAAGTTTGACAACGGTCAATACCATCCCGATCCCAAGTTCGATGACGGCAAGTATCACGTCGGTACTACCGGAGGCAAACGTGCGGACGACGGCATGTACCACCCTGATTCGAAGTTTGACAACGGCAGCTACCATCCAGATCCCAAGTTCGACGACGGCAAATATCACGTCGGTACTACCAGAGGCAAACGTTCGGACGACGGCATGTACCACCCTGATTCGAAGTTGAACGACGGTCAGTACCATCCCGATCCCAAGTTCGACGACGGCAAGTACCACCCGGGGAAGCATAATGCGAGGAGGGGCTTCACGCATCAGGACAAGGTGCGCGCGAATAGGAGAAGGGCTGTGCAATACTAGGCTTGGGAAGTTGTAGGCGCTATTTATTGGACTTTGATGCAAATGTCACTCTTTCACATAAACCTGAAGCTCTCCCATGTGTGATTAGGACTAGCGGGATCAAACATTTGAAAATAATTCAATGGGCGTATCCGCGTTGTGAGCCTCTTTCTGACAGCGTACCCAAATTTATGTCCAAATCAGGGAAAACTCCGGGGGAAATCGGACTGTTTTCTTTCCTTCTATTGTATCTGTGCGGGGTGCGTTTACTTGGCCAGTAAGTCGCGAGGTCTGCAGTGGCTTTGCTTTCCAATTTTGTTGTGACGGTCCTAGCACACTTCGAGGCAAGGCCACTACTTCGGGTTTTCGGACAGTCCTGTCTGTCCAGTATCCAAAGCACAGGCGGTCAGGCAATCTGAAACATTCGATCCCCTTCAACGTATGACTCACAAGAAAGCATTGCCAAGGCTTCAAGCCTTCTACTTATAATATAAAGGTCATTGTACCTGGGGCGTTTGTGAGTTGACTTTAGCTTGTGTCTTAGCTTCTCGTGATCGCATGCGTCCTCAAGTTGCCTAGTCCATAGTAGGCTGCGCGTTCAGATTCTTCAAGACCACGAGTGAAGTCACCCTCAAAACCTTGTCTCCTGATACTCGTTATCTCAACATCATTCTTGATGGAGTCCTCAGTGAGATACCAGACGTGCTGCTCCACTGGAAGACTAGTTAATAATCACCCAATGTTTAGCTGTGATTAGCGCCCGCAATGCACGCCTGCCTGCAGATTTCAGAGATTCTGAGAATGATTTTTGAGGAAGTGACACAGGTCACGAATAGCGTCGTACGGCCATCATATACTACTCTATACCACCTGGCGGTGACATGTCGAGCTTTCCGAGGGCCGGCACTGGACATCCTATGGGCACACATACTAACGCCGGACGTGCTTGTCCTGTGCCTGCCTCAGGACGCTCGCTCTCAACCCATACGAGAATTGACCCTGGAGAGCTTCGATCAGTTCGAATGCACGCCTTCCAGAATCGCTGCAGCATTCAGGGTGGTGAGTCAAGCCTTTTCTTCTTTTGAATGCAATTCATTTATTGTTTGTCGATTTCAGAGACTTCTCAGACCCTTGACTGATGATGATTGGACTACCTTTCGAATGTATGCGCGTCGCGTGCGCTCGCTCACTTTCGAAGAATATAACGTCGAGTCCTACAGCATGATGAGAGATCACGGGTTGCACGATAGTGCTGCACTTGCTCTCCTGGGCCCTTCTGCTTCGTCGCCCCCGCCGTTTCCTCTCCTTCGCGAGCTGTACTGGTACGACAAGCGCGATGTGCTTCTGCCTTGCCTGCAGCGCTGCATTTCCACCACCCTCACACGATTGGTCATTCATTCGGAGCTTTGGCCATCAGCAATGGTCGATCTCGTCGCAGGCCTGGGCAAGGCTTGTCCTAAGATCAAAGAATTTCGTTGTTCGATGCCGACTGCTAGTGCATGCGCCATGCTTTCTGATTTCGTCACCTGCTGGGATGATTTGGAGATCTTGGAGACGGGAGCGGTGAATGTGCAGGCATTGCAACATCTTGCATCGCTGAAGAAGCTGAGGGAGCTGAAGATCCTCGTGCCAGAAGATTACAGCCTGGACCTGGACCCCACATCGACGTTCAGCGTCATGTTTTCGTTGGACAAGTTCAGCATAACTGCTGCAAGTCCTGAGCTGCTTCTCGCTTTTTTGGTGCCCTTGCAAATTTCCGCCAGGAGTGGGCATTTGACCGTCGATAAAGCTTCAGACGTGTTTTATCTCGACCGACTACTCTCCTCCCTCACAGAGCACTTCAATCCCAACGTTTTAGAATCGTTGAATGTTGAGGTGGATCACCCCACCGACCCTACCAATCACGCCCTTTTCGAGCTGACTGCTTCCGCTTTTCGAAATATTCGGGGCTTCACAAAGCTCACCAATCTCGATCTCAGTTCGATGCATGTCTCTATCACCGATGGCGAAGTTCTAGACCTTGTTTCCGCTTGGCCAAAGATAGAACATCTTTACCTTGACACGGCCTGGGACTGGGGAGTTGCCCACTTGAAAGTGACGTTTCACGGGCTTGCGGGTATCCTCGAGCGCTGTCCAGATCTACGCTCCATAGGGGTCAACCTAGATACCTCAGCTCTCCACGACTCACCTGCCTACGTTGATCATCGATACATTGGCATCACCCGAGAGAAAGTCACTAAGCTAAATGTTGGGTCTGCGGAATGCGACGATGTTGAGGCCATTGGTAATTTTCTAGCTGGGATGTGTCCCAACTTGATTCACATCTCTCGTGCGAGCTTTAATGTTGATTCCGACAATCCTTCCATTCATGATGAATGGTCAGAAAGGGGTGAAAGATGGAGAGAGGTCGAAGGTTTCATCGCTCAGAAGAGAGGTGAGCAATGGTGAGTGCGCTTTATAGTCACATAGTCGTGCCTTCATATCTCCCAGTGTAGGATTATATACCAGTGGTGTATGATGTAAAGAATTGGTGCTGCTGACGACTGCTAGTGATCATGTACACTGATATTCAGCAAGGTATGTAACCGAACTTATTGGACTTTGATGCAAATGTCACTCCTTCACATAAACTCTTATATTCTCTTTCATACAATCATGACCAATTGGGCGTGTCTGCGTCGCAAGCCTCCTTGAGCAGCTTTCAGCGTACCTAAGCCGGCTGCATGACGTTAACTTTGAGAACGACCACGACCGCACTGGATCCGCTTGAGAATGTACTAGTGTTGCCGCCGAGGCGAATCGAATCGAATCGAGGTGGGAAATTGCAGCAACACAACTCGGCACTTACGAGTTGTAACGAATTGTGCCTCGTTTGACTCGCGAGTTGGTAACGAGTTCGGGAGTGATACGGACCGATAGTCCAGCCAATGAGAAGCCAGTGACACTCGTACCACCAATGACGATTATTTGCAAGTAGCTACACAAAAAGCAGACAGAACTAATTACAATCAATTTCCCTTGCATTCGCGAGCAATTGATCGAGCTCTCGAAGATCCCCAGTAACCATCAGCTCGTCAACTGCTCTTAGGATTACAGGTCCACATATTGCGTCGTCTTGCCTGTTAGCCACCAGGTCCGCTGTAAAATCGAGGCGGTCTTGCTTGTAGACGAACTTCAGAACTTGAAGTGCTTCGAGTGTGGTCAGAGATAGGTTACTGCGCCATAGAGTGCAGGTCTCTTTGCTGGATGAAAATATACGCTCGGAAGGCACAAACGAAGCTTGAGCAGGTAGGACATCCATAGCGACGCGAAATAGAAGCGGGAATGTGTGCTTTAATGAAGGAATTGTATGGCATACCTCCCAGAAACGAACTATATCTGTTGTGCGCTCGGCCGTTTCGAGTAGTAGACTTGCATCTTCATAACGAGAAAACTCGCACTCAGCATTTTTCCTGTCCTGTTTGAGTTCCTTGCGGATGCGTTCCTCTGTGGTTTCCGGTGCCGGCGAGTGCACCATTGGTTCAGAGACGATGATGGTGGTAGTCGGAGGAATAGTGCTGGTACTAGTAGTGGATGCTGAGAGCCGAACGGTTACATTGAGGCTGTTCATGCGCCCTTATCCAGCAGACAAAGACCGAGAAGCAATCGCTGTTGAATTGGTGAGCTCCCGCTGTGATACCGAGCGTGCGGATGGTTCCAATCACAGGGGATTACGATGTATGGAAGTGAACTACATCAACTCGATTCTAACTCGCGAGTCCGACGAATTACAACTCGATTCAGCTCGGTAGGTTCGAGTTGAAACGAATTTGGTCATTTTCGAAGCGAGTCGAGTTTAACTCGATTTGAACTCACCTCGACAACAACACTAGTTGGTACTTAGCCAGTGAATCGCGAGGTCTGCTCTACTTCGGAGTTCGTCCAAGGCCTAGGCCAATCCCTCCGATCGCAGTCAATTTTAGTCAATTACGGAATCCGAAACACTTCGATCATCATCTTCAACAAATAGATGCCATATGATTCACAAACTATTTGAAAAGAGGTGTCTTGGCGCGTTCGCGAATTGATTTGAATTAATCCGAGTATCTGAACTTTCCCACTAGTGCAGACTTCGGAAGTCTTAGCTTCTCGCCGCGATCACAGGCGTCTCACAGATCCTCAAGCTGCCTAACGAACAGTAGGCCACGCATTCAGATTCTCCGAGACTCCAATCAATATCTACCTCGAATGACCACGACTCAATACCTTGCCTTTTGACGCTTACTCTATTACGACAATTTCTGGCCAAGTCCGGTGAGTAGCAGATTGTACCAGGCACGCTGCCCCGCTGGAAGACTGATGAGAACCCGCACGATGTCCAGTCGTGATTAGTACCAATGCATGCCTGCCTATGGCTCCCAGAAATTTTGATAGCCATATTCACAGAACTGATACAGGTCACAGAGAGCGGTGTTCAATCATCATTTGCCACTCTGTATCACCTGGCGTTGACGTGTCGAGCTTTCCGAGAGCTGGCGCTGGACGCCCTATGGGCGCACATACAAACGCCAGACATACTTATCATGTACCTGCCCCAGGACGCTCGTTCTCAACCCGTAAAATTTACTAGGGGAGGTCGCACCATTTTGAATATCGGATACAGTGCGGTCAGTTTGGTGTTCTTCTCTTTTGAACCTAGTTCATGGTATATCGATTTTAGCGGCTTCTCCGGCCCCTGGTCGAGGATGATTAGGCTACTTTTCAAAAGTATGCGTGTCGCGTGCGCTCGCTCACTTTCGAAAGATATGATGACCAGAAATCTCGCAAGCTGCATGATAGCGCTGCGCTTGCTCTGCTGAACTCTCCCGCATTGCCGTCCTCGCCGTTTCCTCTGCTCCGCGAGCTGTACTGGTACGACAAGCGCGATGCGCTTCTGCCTTGCTTGCAGCGCTGCATTTCCACTACCCTCACCCGACTGGTCATTCATTCGGAGCTTTGGCCTTCAGCAATGGTCGATATCGTCGCAGGCCTGGGCAAGGCTTGTCCTAAGATCAAAGAATTTCGTTGTTCGATGCCGACTGCTAGTGCATGCGCCATGCTTTCTGATTCCGTCACCTGCTGGGATGATTTGGAGATATTGGAGACAGGAGCAGTGAATGTGCAGGCATTGCAACATCTTGCATCCCTGAAGAAGCTGAGGGAGTTGAAGATGCTCATTCCAGAAGGTTACAGCCTAGACAAGGACCCAGCATCGACGTTGAGCGTCATGTTTTCGTTGGACAAGTTCAGCATAACTGCTCCAAGTACCGAACTCCTTCTCGCTTTTTTATCTCCCTTGCAAATCTCTGCGAAGAGCGCGGAGCTATATATCGACTCATCTCCAAACGCAGATGATCTCAACCATCTACTGTCCTCCCTTACTGAGCACTTCCAGCCCAATATTTCAAAATCGTTGCGTGTTTGGGTGAATCGCCCCACCGATTTTGACGATCACTCTCTTTTCGAACTGCCTCCTTCTGCTTTCCGAAAGATCCGAGCCTTTAAAGAGCTCACCAATCTCAATCTCAGTTCAATGCATGTTTCTATCAGCGACGACGAAGTTCTAGACCTCGTTTCCGCTTGGCCGCAAGTGGAATGTCTTTACCTTGCTACTGGCTGGGACTGGGGAGTTACCCGCTTGGGGGTGACATTTGGTGGGCTTGCGGGCATCCTTGAACGCTGCCCAAATCTGCGCTCCCTAGGGGTCAACCTAGACACCTCGTTCCCCCATGACTCACTCGTCCACGTCGATAACCAATACACTGGCATCACCAGGGAGAAAATCACTGACCTAGATGTTGGGTATGCGGAATGCGACAATGTCGAGGCCATTGGTAACCTGCTAGCTGGGATGTGTCCCAGTTTGACCCACATCGATCGTGCGCGTCCCATAGATATTGATTACGATGATCTTTCCGATCAGAATGAATGGTTCGAAGAGACAAATAGATGGAAAGAGGTCGAGAGTTTTATCGCTCGGCAGAGAATAGAGCAACTAGAGTAGAACAGTGGTGAGTGCGCTTCACACTCATGCAGTCACGCTTCTCACATATCATAGTGTAGGGCAATGATATACCAGCGGGTTGTGTTGAGAATTTTCTTTTACGTTGTACAAGATGACTACCACGTAATTCTGTATATTCGAAGGAACCACTCAACTTTCATGGTGGAGACATCGCACTGGCATACTGAACTAGTATGATGGTGTTTTCCTCGTATGTGGACACGAATGCATGTCGATTGAATTATTATGTAAACCTGCGTACGTGCTATCATTGTTATAACCCCTGAGACTGCACGAAACAATGGCCCCTATGATCTCATCGTTGTATCATGACCTCATCGAACTCAAACTTCCGAGACCACAAACTTCACCGGAGCCAATCACGAAAACAAATAAAAGGCTAGGAGGCTGCTTAGCAGGAATATTCACAAACGTTTCTGTCAAGAATATCTTCTCCCACCATTATAAGTTACCCAACCATGTCAAACACACAAACCTCGCAAAGACACACTCTCTCGGGAAATAGTAACTTGCGCAACACAGACTATACTGATCCTGCGGCGCAAGTGAACCAAGGCATCATTGACGGCAGACCTGAAGGTTTGTAATAATAATATTGTTACACTCTCCAAACTGCTGACGAACGCATAAATGTTTCAGGTCAGCAGCCACGCGCAGCGCCTGTTACCCTTGATACTTATGTTGACGAGGACGCATCGGCTAATACACCTCTTGTGACTCGGGCTTCAGATACGCTAGTTGGAGCTACCTCAGCTGATGTCCACGACGGTCTTGGCCATCCTGGCCAGGGGATGTCGAGCAAAGAGTTGAGACATGATGGTCAACCAGGGCGGAAGCGGCATGGGCAGGGGACGATCAGTTCGGTCAGGGGCTGGCAGGGAATGGTTTCAAGAAGTTGGATGGTGCGAGTGAGCGTAGATTTGTTGCCGCAGAGTCTGACCTTAGGGGAGAGTAATCGTCATCAATCTTTGACAGCGCAGACAATGACTTGCTGCGAGTATGAAATATAATACATATTGTTACGCACGTTCTGCTGTCTCCGAGTCTGCCCTGTACTCGCTGCGACGCGAACATGAACATTTGGTATTGTGTTGTCGGGTCGACATCGACTTGCTTTAATCTCCGCAACTCGGTCTCAATTAGTATTATTGCGCATAAGGAAGTGTCGAGTTTCCGCAGGTCCCAGACACGTCGTCGAAGTGAGACCAAACTAGGTTTAAACAGGGAACCCGAGAAAACAAACATGTCGGATCTACGGTATATAATATCAACGAAGATTTTAGGTTCAGCCTCAACTATAACGTGTTCTCCCAATTCCAAGTTTGCTGTTTACGCACCGACTAATTTTTGCACACGTGTGTGATAATCACCCAGACACAAGTAGGTGAATATTTGAAGCGTGCACATGGAGCAAGGCCCAAGCTATCGAGTGCTTTGATAGGTAACTAGATAAAGATAAAACACGTCATCTGTGCAAACTCGATGGCCACTCCGAGTCCAACTACTAGTTAGGGCAGCAGGTGTAGCATCTTAGGCTGCTGTCCCAGACGAGGGCCTGTACCTGCCCCGCAAGCAGCGTTATTATCAGCAGTGCCGCAGGTGTAGCAGCCTAGGCTGTTGTCCCGAACGAGTCCCCAGCCTCCTGTCGCCGGGCACTCAGAAACCTGATTAGCGCAAACATGTTGGCATATATCAGCAAGATCTGCATTCACCCCGGCGAAGGCGGCGAGGATGGTGAGGTAGTAGGTGAACTGGAACTTCATGGCGTCTAGTGCCCTACGCGTGTCAGTGATGACCGTCAGTGCCGAGAAACTACCCACCGTATGGTGAGTCACTGGCTGTGTGATGTACGCAAAGGCGCTGATAGTGGCACGTCTAAAGCTGAATATGAAATAGATATGATGTTCAAGTTGCCCAAGTCAAAGGGTTACTCACTTAGATGAGGCGATTGTCTTTGAGAGTTTAGGATTTGCTACATTCAATTTATATCATAGCACTGTGCGGCAGATCTAGTTCTGCCTAAAGGTAAGTATACACGGCAGAACCGCGTCAGAGACAACAGACATGTCGCTACCAGGAACTAGACGAAACGTTTATGCAGGGTATTTCATTCAAGCAGCCGGGATGACGCCAAGGGAGCCCTGGCCAGCTGCTACGTCGTACCAGATGGAATTGACACGGTCCTGCTGCGGTCGTGACACGCCTTTACGCGGCACCGTCACAAAGGCCAGGATACCCAAACACCATTTAGGTCGCTTGAAATGAATTCCAAACACTTTGAATCCTCATAGGCTTCACTAATGATCAACATATGAATATTTGAATGTCCATCTACGCACAGGCCGTGGAGTGTTGCATTCACCTCTCACCAATTTTACAGTGCTTGTCCTCCGTGTGCGTACTACTTGGGAATGTTGTCACGGTGTGCATCTTGTGTTTGCATTCAAGTATTACCTCTAATCGGTTTACATAATCATTGATCTAATGTTTGTTTTCAGATAGCAGTGTGAAGTATTCTCTCACTGTATCAAGCCTCGGCCCAAGTCTGGTGCAGCTCTGTACTCTGTACCACCAGTCTACCACGTCAAACCCTAGCCATGCCATGTCAAGCTTCAGTCAGGCTGTGTCAAGCACCACTCATACCACGATAAATTCTCCCCCTTCGCAGCTCCGTACTAATGTAAACCTCCACACTTACCTATGCCGCGCCAAGACCGGCTTGCATGCCGCGTCACAGGCCCGTCGAGCAAATTGTACCGCATCACGGCGCATCAAACCTCATCCATGCTGCGTCACTGCCTCGTCACCGCTGCGTCAAACCTTCGTGCCGCATCAAACCCAGGTGGATCAATGCACTGGCAAATACCGCGTCAACCCCATCCAAAGTGTCATTTTCAGCTTGACGTCAAATTCTCTGCTCAATACTCTAGCCGCCTGCTCCGTGATCTTGTTCGCGTGAACATGGAGGCCACTTCTAAGACCCATTGCTGACGAACTTTGGATGAGCGAGTTTTATGTGACGGATCCCCTGTTGGAGTTTGACGAAGCGAAGGACCAGGAGGAGATGTTGTATCGGTGATGTCAGACCAGGTACGAACGTAGTCAAGCGTCGCTCGGCCAAGCTTCGTCCTTCACTAAGTTTCAAACCAATATCCTTGGCATTGCTCTTCCTATTCTACCCGTATGTTAAAAGAACATCCCCGCAGTATGAACATCTCAGTTTTTTTACCGAGACTGAGATGTGAGCCTTACATTATCCGTTCCTTCGTTTACGAGTTAACAATGTTCTTAGAATACACTTCTCCTATAGGTACCTACACATGTACTGAGTCCTTTTACCAAGACTGAGACAATACATTCTCTTATAGCTCCTTTCTCCGTCTGCTCCCTGACTCTCATTGCGAGATCCCCTAACCTCGTCACTTTGTAACTTGGGATTCCTGTGATGCTGATAGTTGAGTTCACCAGCAGTATGGTTTAGATGCTGGTCAATATCACAGGCAGTGGAATGTGTATCTCAAGTTCTCAACATTCCTAATGAGTGGGTTCTGGGAAGAGATTACAGTGAGAGTGAACTTGAAGCAAGGAAAATATTACCTGGGTCCTGCTCTGTTCAATAGGTCTCCAACTGGTGTGATTAACAGCATGGCCCCTTATTCAACAATAACTCTGATGCCATGTCTGCAGACAAGCTGTCTGATGTTGTAGCTCCTTTGCTACCAGCTGAAGAATGTGCACCAGCCAACATTCAACATGCTTCGAAGAGGGTCCAGAGAGGGAGGAAAAGAAAATAGACATTGCCTGATGTAGCTAGTAGTATGAGTCTCTAGTGTAGAACACTGGCACATGAGTGGTGCACATCAGGGCTTGTCAGTGCCAAGAAAACAGCCATTAGCTGATATGGCTAGTAGTATGTGTGCTTATGGTGAGTAAAATGAAAGAATGGTCATGAACCTGTGCAACTTGATGTGGGAGAACATACTATCACCCTGATCTGTAATGCACAATCAATAGGTAATGCACAATGCACTTCAGAACTCACAACTCCACATGGATTTCATTTAGAACAGCTGAAGAACAGGTATTAGGCATATGCTCAATATGCCTACCAAATTTAAATTTAAATCGATGCTGTGGAGCCTTCCTGAGATGAAACATTGTGCAAGTCTACCCAAAATGAGTAATTTTTGGACACTAAAATCAAGATCCACTCAGATCTCATTGGCCTATTAACATAGAAACTTCAACATATATAAAATACACCATTCTAAATCTACTCCAGGTGTTTCTATGTCAATAGAACAGCATCACAGCGTGCTATTCACTATTTATGAGTGCAGCGTGACAGTCATACTAAATCAGGAAATCACACTGTCGGCTTGGTTGAGTCTCTGCTTTGTTGTATTTGGCAGAGTCGGTGGCAATGTTGGAACTCATTCGCTTTGAGCGGTGTCGGACTTTGGATGCTATTGTGTGTTGGCCGAGGTGCCGCGCGTGATATAGTGCGACGAAATTGTGCATTTCTATTGTGTTTTCATCTCAACTTCCGCTGCTGCCACTGCAACAAGCTCGCAACAAAATAAATAAAATTCTTGTTGGGTCCAATGTGCAGAGACCTAAGGTAAACACTCAAGTAGATCCGATACAAATATGTGTTGTTGTTGTGATGTTATCTAGCAATGAGTGAAAATTGTGCATTTCCTTAGACCGCGTCAAAATGGCTACATCAAGACTACAGCTGATATGTCTTCAGGCTCTTGAGTAGCTACTTCAACGACCACATAACCTGCGGACAACCACTTGCCTTGATCGCATTTTTGGCAAACCTGGTACCATATACTGACTCCCCCCTTAGATGAACCGCCCTATTAAATATTGTTTCAAACCACTTACAATGTCACATGCTGAAGCTTCTAAAGGAATCAAGTTTGCTCCAGTTTCTAAGTCCTACAATTCAAACAGACTGGTTTCATTTCCGTCACTCCTATGGAGCAAAGTTCGCGGACCGCGAGATATTCTAGGAGGAACCTTTCTTCTTGATCGTCTATAGTCACACTTCAAGGTCTGGCTTCAGTAGGGTCTGGGGTTGCCACCTGTCAAATTCAAATTGTCGGACATCGGATCATAACGGTAAATCGACCAAGGGTAGCAGGAGCCACTGGTGGTCAACTATTTCACTAGATGGCTAGTACTTGCATGTAAACGAAGGAGATAAGAGTAGTGCTGTACCCGACTTGCAAATGATCTCGGTTGACCTAATAAATTAGTCCCCACATTACAGCATATTATGCCTTCTTTGCGATCAACGCCCACTCAATTCCCTGTCTTGTGACACGAAGCACTCGCCTCCGTACGTTTTTACCTCATCAAAAAGATCCTGTGATTGCGGTTACGGGGAAGGTGCCAAATCGATACTTCATTTACCATATAATGGGACAGCAAATTTCATCAGATGATAGTGCTCGTACGCGAACTTTGTTGGAAGACTCGGATACGCCTATTCAACGGTCTGGCTCTATCCTGGAATCTATGCTCAACTCTGTTAACGCGAGCGAGCCGGTTCCGTCAGCCGGCTCTCAGGCGCACATCTCGAGCCAGATAACCTGCAAACAATCTTCACCTCGCAAATTCCGGGAAGTTATCAACGAGGTCACTGCTCCCCTGACACTGAGTCTAGTGCTCGAGAATAAGGGTAATGTTGCTCGTGATCATCTTGCGTCAGAGCGAACCTATCTTGCCTACGTTCGCACCAGTCTCGCATGCGCAAGTGCTGGAGTAGGTGAGACTGTGACTTGTGTATCTCTGTCCATGACAATCACTTACAAGTAGAGGCGAATTAACAGCCCTCGTACAACTGTTCACGCTTTCCAGTTCTACAAACGCACATATCCATGATCAAGGAAGAATTGACCCACAGCGTTTTGCTCGACCACTTGGCGCCACGGTGGTGCTTTTGGGTTTGTTCATCCTAGTTTATGGCGAGTCCTACAGTTGTACTGGTGCCTCATACATCCTCATAAATTGTAGGCCTCGTACGCTACTTCATGACCCAGGCAGCTCTCCTACGGGGTTTCTTCCCGGTGGCACGCAATTCCATTGCTGCCGTGGCATTTGCCCTCGGGGCCGTCGTTGGCATCGTTTTTGGGGTATTAGTTGCCGGAACTTGAGGCTAGAGCCCTCCTCTCTCTTGTTCACACCTGGTCTTTCGCGCACACAGCCCGAAAGGTAGTACAGTTGGCAGAACTTGAAGAATTCGTCGCTGCACCCAGTTCTGCCATAAAGGGCCTGGCTGGTTGAAAAAAAAACAATCTTCTCGTTGTAGATTGATTAATCTTTACGTCCCGTAGTATCTGATATGATATATCTGGAACTGGGTCTACCACGCATTTAGCGAGAGATACATCAATACTATTGGTTACCACCACATCGGCCGATTTCGCGGGCCGCATCATGCCGCGAACGTCACAAAAAAGCCTTTGTCGCAGCCTCAAAATTATCTCATTGTTAGATGGCATTCATTCAAGCTCATGGGGCATTAATTATAATTTGGTTTTTTCTTAAGTACCTTCAAGATTTGTGCTAGACAAAGTATGGTTTTTGAGGATGCACGAGATGTAGGGAAAGCAATAATTAAACCTTACTTGGTGATGTCATCTGGACCCGAGTCTTGCCAGACTGAACACCAATTTGACTCCCGGGCCGTTGTTCAATGAGTTCTACTTCAACATGAAACACTTGGCTTCGAGCCGCAGTATCAGATTTTTATGAACACGACCCTAGATCTGTATCCCATCATTCCACCAATGCCAAAATCAGTTCTTTCCTCGATCTCTGATACCGTCACTCTTCTTCTAAATACCCCAATTGTTCCTCCGCATCCCAAACGAACAAAGGACGTTGCACTCACCGAGTTGCCTCGTTCGACTCCTCGACGGCGTGCGGAAGCACTGGAGCTAGAGAGATCTCGCGGCGTAGATTTGGCGGCTGGAGATGTACTTCTACAGGTAGGCAATTCAGGATGGCTCTGATTCTTAATCATCTAATAGCCTGGGCAGAGGATATCAAACGAAAGCGGGCGCACAAGTACACAGGAGTCACGGAAGTAGTGATCAGTCTGTAAGAGACGACCTGCCTACTGGGGTGATGGAGCCAGTTGTACATCAGTTGTCCAGGCGGTCATCGTATATACAGGCAAGTATGACTTATACACACTCAAATTCCTCAGTTTTGACCACGCATCATCAGGAGGAATTAGATCCCGACCTACATCTAGCACTGGATGCTGAGCGCGCAGCGAGCCGGGCAAAAACAGTAGTTCAGGTTTGCATATCGTAACACCAAGTTGGTTGTATGATCCCCAAGCTGGTGTGGCTAGAGCTGATGGGACAGCAAGTCTAGTCAAATGGTTTCATCGATTTTGTATAATTATCCAGCTCGTATAATACAAACACGCTACCATCAAACTCCCATCATTATCAACGCAAGTCTTCAGGCCTCAGGCGTGAAGAACGTAACGCGTATCACTTCTTGAACACCTTCAAGAGTACCAACCTCGTTGTGAGAACCAGTGGAAGTTTTGAGCAGGGTAATTCGTTCCCCAAAACCATCGAACCTGATCCATTAACCCAAAGTCGGGGATGACGGTACGGGTCACTAAGGATTCTCGTGTTTCCCTTCGCGTGACCAGTTGAGCATGGTACTCGTTCCACTGTTGTGTTGACCACGACTCTTGGCTTGCTGGCGGCGAATAGACAGGAGGGAGATATGATTCCAGGAGAGCATCAAATAGAGCGTCGGAGTGGGTGTGTGAGATATCCCAGTCATCCTCCGCGTGCAGTAACAATATTGGTACTTTGAGTTTCTGGACGCAAATTGGTGAGGTGTTACCTAGGAACAGGACATTTACATACCGATATCACCGACAAAGTGTCAAACTTGTGAACGAGAAAACTCTTATAGATACCTTTGAGACGTACAAAGTCAGGCTATGTCGGCGTTTGGTGATGTTTACCAGACTTACCAGCCGCTCGAGGTATCATGTTAATGGGTAACATGACAGGAAATACACCGAAAATGTTATAGGTATCTATCAGGGTATAGAGCGAGGAGAAAGGAGACATAAGGACGGTCCCTTTGAACTTGACACCGTCTTCAGAGAGGTCGACAGAAAGCCTGGACGCCACTGCAGTTCCCAAACTGTGACCAACTATAAGGATATCCTGCGGTGAAGCACCTTGCGCGATCAGCCAATCCCATGCAGCTCTTGCATCTAGTGACAAACCGTCCTCTGTAGGTGTACCTGGACTATCCCCGAATCCACGATAATCTATTGCTAGGACATTTGCGTTCAGGCGCGAGGTAAACCCTGAATATAGGCGAACGCGCATGCTTAGAGCCCGCGTGGCAGCATTGCCGTGGAAAAAGAGTACAGTTGGACGCTGTGCCACGGCCTCTGAGATGTGCAATTCTGCAGCATATGGAGGCGGTGGAAAGGACAAATTATGATATATGGTATCTGAGAGAATGAACCATGCGCCGAGGGTGTGATTGTCTGCGGTCTGAATCTTGATGTTTGCCGTTTTCCCAGCTAACGTATCCACAATCAATCTAATGAGTTCGAAAGAAGTGGACGTGATGGAGTAAAACGTACGTGCAAGACCATGCCTTTCCGGTGCATCAAAATGTGCGTTCCAAGGTAGCTTCAAGGCGTTCATGTACAGAATGCTTAATTACGTCTCGAGTTCTACATGCGCAGTTGTAAAGGATGAATGATTGGACTTACTGGGACTGGAACCAGGGCACTGCTAGAAGGATGACTGCCCCAAGGTAGAGAAACCCGAGGACCGCAAAACCCCTTCTAAGCCTTGCAAACAAACCATCGTTGTCTGGTTGGATAGACATAAAGATTCAACCACTACTGGTACTGCGACGCAAGTTTGGTCGAGAACTTATTTATTACCTAATACTCGTCTAAACCCTGTCCATAAACCAAATTCATTCGTGCGGAGCTCAGATAACCATAAGCTTTAATGTTGTGGTCCAAGCCTACTCATCTGTCGGAAGTATTCTTTGTGTTTCTACTTCTACCCTTGTGCGTTGCTTCTCTCCACCATCTTCTGTGCAAACATCTAGTACTCGCCGAGGATGATCCACTCCTCGGTTCATGCACTCCTCAACGGAACTTTTGGCAGTTGGACTGGCATTTGTGCCCATGCACACTCACAGCCCAATATTAATGCCCTCGAAACCTTGAACAGTACATTTTCTTTCTCCTCCACGGTAATTTTTAGTCAGTCTCTCCGCCATTGGAAACGAATTGCAGGTTGCAGGGGAAGCTATGCAATATCTAAAATACCCTTCGGTGAGGAAGTATGGAGCATGAACTGCACAATGCAGCGTCACGACTACAGAAATTTATTTCCAAGATGTTGCAAAACTGTCCCCACCCTAAAATCTGCACACACTCATATTCAATCGTGGAAACATTCAGGGACATCAACGAACCAGCTAGCACAGGTTACAAACTCTTGCAACCCGACCCTGCCCCCGTCCGTCGCACGATGACTACTTTGTAATGCGTCGTTGCAACCTACATAGGATTGCGTGCACGCGGACTGCGGTCATTATTCTCCTGTGCGAGCTTCTCCGTCCCCTCATGGTCCACATATTACTATCTACGTATTCTGGCTATGGGTCAGTTTTCATGTTCTCTTCTACGACCACACCAGTCACACCATTGATTTCTCTCACAATTACCCCTTCTGGATTCATTAGATAGCTCTTTCGAGTGATCTGCGCTGGTCTCTGCTAGGTTGGGCAAGCAAACACCGTAAACAAGTAGCATCGTGCTCATGGACCACTTCTTCGGATCAGCGGTTTGATACAGCTGCAGGCATTCCTACGATCCACTGGTATTTCATCTTTACGGGAGGGTCAAGAGAGGCACAGCTGGTCCAGGTCTCGGTACGATCACCAGATTACGTCTGTAAATTTGTTGCACGCGCGACACACGCTGCATCTCATACTAATCCGTTGGCTCCCGAGGATGAATTTATCCCGACATTTCCATCGAAGCCAATTGCTCGGCCGAGAGATTATCGAATGCAGGAAAATGCAAAGTACTTTTTTGAATTTGTGCTCCTAGACAAAAATGTCTGATTTACCTACGGACAGTGGTAATTGTCGGGCATGGACTCGGAAGTGTACAAATGGTCAAACGGGAATTGCAACACATTCACGACAGCAATCCAGATGAGTATGCTTGGAATGATGTTACTCGATTAAAAGCTCGAGAATGCTGCAGAGCCTGCGGGGATTGATAAATCCTCAACAGAGGGAACCATTTATGCTCGCTCGACAGTACTATGGATGGCTCGTAGAGCGAATCGTGCTTGACAATCGGGTACGTGATCTTCGTGTTGACACTTCAGCTTGGAATGTAGAATGCAACACATCTCGTTGTGCCGTATAACGTTGACAATATTTATCACTATCTTCGAGGAGACGTCTTGCCGTTGTTCCGCTTGCTGCAAGGTTCACGCCTGATTTCTCCCGCACCGCAGTAACTTTGGCTTGTCGTGACAGTATTCTCCACTTGGCGGTCGTAAATATCCCAGAAGGCCTCGAAGTCAGTCCGTTCGCAGCCTTTCCGGAATGCCTTGTCGGAACCCTGACGCGCGAGTGATGGACCTCATGGGCTGTTGAACTCATCCTCCGGAAGATTCAGCCAAAGAAACGCGAATTTGGATCGGCGAGCGGTTCTTTCCGCGCAGATGAGTCCAACCAGGAGGTAGCCCTATTAAGAAGTAGGGCATCTGAGATCACGTTTCGACCATCTGAGATCCTGTTTGATCTCGATGACGAATTCCTGTTGTAATGACCGCACATACGTGCTAGGGTTGGAGAAGTACTATTAGGAGACTGGATAAGGTGAGAGTCGACTACAGCCAAGACCTTCCTACACTATAATGTCCGTGTCCCATTTAGTTAACCGCAGATCTGTCGCCGTCCCACGTAGCATGTAGTGGAATGTAATCTTCACCCTGATTTGAAATTTTTTGTTCCATTTAGGACTTCGACTAAGTACTTAGTACTTGTGTCTTATTACATGTAAATTTATAATTTCCCTGACTTCAACGTCCAGCCTTTCCTGTTTCTGTCTCTGATCCCTATGACTTTGTACAGAAACCAAATGCCCATAAAAGTTCGGCCTATGGAAGAACAAGCAAAAGAGTCACCTGGATCGAGTACCCTCTTACAAAATGCTGCTACAACTCGTCAAACTCCTTCTGTCCTTCGTAAACTCGGGGCGGGCATCATATCAGACGTCCGCGCTCGCACTCCTTGGTATTTCAGTGACTGGACAGATGCATGGAATTATCGAGTCATTCCTGCGACTGCCCTCATTTTCTTTGCAAAGTATGTCAGTGAACTCTACGCATGTTCCGCTCTCACAGATGGGGCGTAGTGTTCTACCTGGCATAGCATTTTCGCTAGACTTAATAGAGACGACCCAGCAATACACAGTTGCTGAGGTCCTTATATCCTCCTTCATGGCTGCGTTTGTGTTTTCCGTATTCGGCGCGCAGCCGCTTACAATCGCGGGCGTCACTGGTATGCGCGTCTGTCACGATGTGACAATGTCCTGTCAGAGACTGGACTATTCATAATTGACTATTTAGGACCGGTCACAGTTTTTAACAAGACGATATATGACATCATCAACAAGTATCCCGATGCACCAAATTATCTGCATTTTGTGGGTTGGGTTTACCTTTGGGCTGCAATCATCCATTGGGTAACGGCCATTTTGAATTGTGGGTAACCTTTCCTCTTCAACGACTTCGAATTCAAAGTTGATTTTGGCTCTCAAGGGTGTAATTTTCTGAAATATGTCACTCTGTTCTCTTGCGACACCTTTGGCTTCTATGTTTCCTGGGTGTATCTCCAATACGGAGTACAAGTGATCGCTCGACAATTCAGTGGGGATTTCGAAGGTGCTTTGGTGGGTATCATCCTTGCCCTCCTGATGCTCGTAACGTCATTCTTGTTCCAACGCCTTTCGGAGACCACGTTATTCCATCGTCATATCCGTCGTTTCTTCTCGGATTATGGAATGCCCATCTCCCTTATTGCGGCTTCAGGCATGGCATACTGGGGCCGTTTTGGTGCTTCTAATCCTACTACGTTACCAGTAGGCGGTGCGTTCCAGGCTGCCAATGGAAGAGCGTGGCTTGTCAAATTCTGGGAGCTAGATGGGAAATGGGTCGGCATCGCGCTTCCCTTTGGAATAATTCTTTGGATCCTGTTTTTCTTTGATCACAATGTCTCGGTATGTCCCACTACTCGCATGCGGACATCCAGGCTCATTCCTTGACAGTCCCTGATTGCTCAGGGTTCGCAGTTTCCTTTGCGGAAGCCACCCGGTTTCCATTACGACTTCTTCCTTCTCGGTATCACAACATTCATGGCAGGACTCATTGGGGTGCCAGCACCCAACGGACTTATACCTCAAGCACCTATTCACACCGCCTCCTTGCTCGTTATGGGAAAACCTCCCCAGAAAAATATAGATGAAGAGCAGATCACCAGACCATCCTCGCAATCTGACCATGCTTCCAACGGTGCAGTTATAAAAATGGAAGAGTCATTTGACTATTCCGTCAGTCGGCGAGAAGCCCCTATCGCCGTTGTTGAACAACGAGTTTCCAATCTCGCCCAAGGTTCACTGTGCCTTGTGCTACTTACCGGTCCGTTTTTGCATATACTGGGTCTCGTCCCAAGAGGCGTGCTGGCTGGCCTGTTGTAAGATTATCCACTGTCATTTGATTCCGCTGATTATGGCGTAGCTGGTTCATGGGCGCGGATGCGCTCAAGGGTAACGGAATCACTATCAAACTCCTGTACCTCATACGCGACAAGACCCTCACCTCACCTGATGACCCACTGCACAAAGTGAGGAAATCCCGGCTATTGATGTTTGTGGCTGTCCAACTTGTGGCCTTCGGAGCGACATTCGCGGTTACTCAGACCATTGGTAAATCGTTTGTCATCTATAGGTTGCGATTTTGCTTTAATTTCGGAGCAGTTGCTATCGGCTTCCCGGTCATAATTTTACTTCTTGTTCCTCTTCGAACCTACGTGATTCCGCAGCTCCCCTTCACACAAGAAGAACTTTCTATCCTCGATGGTCCCACAGCTTCTCCATTTGTGAGTTCGTCGCTCTTACGCTCGCTCGAAAGCTCATGTGCTTGATGCAGACGATGGAATCTGTTGGCGGATCTCTACACGCCGCTTGACCGTTCTCAACTGCTCATTCTCTAGCTGTCCATTGCTCTCGTGTTTGATGCTGAAGTACTATATTGTTCTCCAACGAATTCCCGTTTATTGTAGTCAAGGTAATATTGCTCTACGTTTGTAGACAGTGCGTACTGCGTGCGTTCGTTGTACAGTCTAGATGTACGTATAAGATGAATCTTCGTTTCGTGCCGGTTAAGGCATTGTGAATGCATCTAGGGGGAGTGCGCATAGTCGAGAAGCTCGCATACATTCTTCAAGGTGTGATCTCGTGCCATGGTCAGACTGATTATACCGTACTGTGCTCGAGATGCAAACGTTATCTAAATACGTCTCCACCTGTCTCCATGGCCAAAGGAGCGAGGTGACCCTTCAGATCTGATATCTTCATGTCTGTACAGTTACCATAAACGGATTGACGAGGGTGCTCCAGGATGCTCATGCTGGTGTGCTTGCAAATTGTTCCGCTCTCGATACATACTAAACATACCCGGTCAGCAGATCAATATGGTTGCTATACACGATTGCTTTGGGTACCATGCGATCCGGTCTGTTCCGAATCACCGATGGGCTTAGGGAGCGTTGGCCTTGAGGGCAAAACCCACGATCCTTCTTCTTGAGACATGTGACTTGAAGCCGTCAGAACACTGTGGCTATACTTGACTGCAGTAAGTAAGGATTTCCTGGGTCCTACTGTCGAGACGCAATTCCCAGGCACGATTATGGATATATGATAAGATTGGCCTATTGAATTCGATTTGAACACCATGTCTCTCATACACCGAAGCACAAGAACAACGACTCTAAACAGTTTCAGGTAAGAACTGGGATGATCATTTAGACAGCTTCGCGAAACCGAAATGTCTGGGACTCCGGGGTGCTCGTGAAGGACAGGAAGTACAAATCTTAAAGCATTGGCTCGGCTAATTGTAGGTTGAATATCTTGACCACCGTGATTGCCAAGCCACAGTGTCGTCAACGCAGCTACGAACGACCGAGCCACCTGCAGATAAATGTGGTGCATGAGTACAGGTAGATTGAGCACGACTGGCTTCCATCTACTAGTATCAAGGTTTGACTACAGGAGACTAACTAGTGGGTCATCTTGCGTGGAATCCAATTCCGACATACCGTGCAACACATGTTCAAGCATTAAAATGATTACATGCGAACGCAATGGGCCAGAGAAATGCGCTCGAAGGCGCCCGAGAACCGAGGGCCTAAAGGTCGGTCGGTTTTTTTGTTGCCGAGGAGGATGAGTTTCGACATGACCCTCGCCGAGGGCAATCGCGACGAGTTTAGCTATAGAGATTAGTGTAATTCTGTTATCTGCACTGTGTAGGATTGGGCCGCCCAATCATTGAGACCCAAGTTGTTTGCGTGGGAGGTTCCTGGCCCGAACAACGAAACGACACAATGGCCCACTGGGAGTCATCATGACACACATGCATGCTCCTTTTGCGATAACGTCTTCGTCAAACCGGCGGAAGTGAACGAAGTATCGAGACGTATATATACGTGTGAATGTTATTTAATATTTGTATCCACTATCAATGGGCCACATGAGTAACCAGCTAGCTAGGGGATTTAGGGGGGACGCCGATACTTACTATGGGGTTGGGGTTGGACTCGGAGTCTCAAGTAAGTTCAGCTCAGCACCGTCACGTGCATTGACAATCTGGAGTCGGGAACTAGCGCTCATGCCACCACGATCGCACACTCTCGAAAAAAAAATCACCAGTTCCTAACTTACTACGTAGTGCAAGTTAGGGATATATCCATGCATATGGTGGCGCTGTATTGCATCCAGTTCGCCGTCAAGACTACACGACTGTCAGATTTTGACGCATGGACCTGCGTCCTGGAGGGACCTGGGCGCAAATGGTAATATCACCTGAACGGATGCGAATTCGAAGTTATGATTGTCGCTTAAATGGGTGGCCAGCGCTACTACGAGTCTGCTCCGTGGCAAGTACTCTTCCTAGATCCACTGGCAGTTGCCCTTCCTAGTCCTCCGTGTGCGACGCAATCATCAGTGTACGATCATCATGTCACAAGATACAGACAACCAACTGTTGGGCGTCGTGTTACTCGTTCGTCACGGTGATCGACAAGGGTTTTATCAAGACCCTGATACCTATACTGCAACTGCTACGCAGATCACTCCCCTGGGCAATGTACGTTAGTAATGCTGGGCCATGTGTACTCTTATCGATTTCTTGTAGCAACAAGAGTTTTTGCTCGGCAGCGATCTACGTTCATTATACTTGAACGAGTCGTCGCCTTCGTACATCCCTGGCATGAGCACAGGGCTATTCAACCCGTCCCAGGTGTACATTCAAGCAGACTTTGGAGACGAAAATGGAGTCATTTATGATTCTTGCGTATCATTAACGCAGGGACTTTGGCCTGCCACATCCTCAAACAATATCACCCTTGCTAATGGGACGATGATCACGGCTCCCCTTGGAGGGTATCAGGTATGTGTTGCTTGTGATATAAGTCTCATGTTCCCTGACTGACATGTTGCAAAGTATATACCTAGTGAGTTCTTGTAGATACCTCAGCAAGCGCCCGGTGCTCACACAGGGTAGTCGAGACTGTGGATCCAAACCTGAGTATAGCATTGGAAGGTTTCGCTAATTGCAATGTTTGTCAAAAAAATTCCTTTAAATTTTCCCATGATGATGATATCTTTCAGACCTTCAACACGCATACGACAGAGTTTTATAATTCATCCATCTTTCAAGAGATGGCTACACAAAGCGCATCTTTCTTGGACTCTCTGCCTCCTTATCTGAATGGAAGATCGGTCCAGCTGGAGAATATGGTATGTTGCGAGCTAGTTACATTTCATCTATGTTCTGACCCCAACTGTTGTAGTGGAATGTATGCTTACCTGCTCTTGATGCAGCGACAGGCTGAATTCGCCAGCAGATATACGACTTCATGAATGTGAATGATATTCACAATGCCACCTTTGCCAAGGCTCTCCCAGCTACATACCTAGCGCAAGTACAAACTTTGGCTAATTGGCACGAGTACAACGTCTTTAGCGACCAGTCCATTGGAGGCATCGGGAACAGTACGTCTAGTTTTTGAGAAAATATTCGCTAATTTGTGACGTTCGCCCTAGTTGCTGGTTTGGCTATTCTGCCATCGATTCTCAATGGGTTTGCAGATGTCATGAATTCTACAAATCCTGTGCAGCTATCGATTACCGCCATTTCATATAAACCTTTCCTCTCCCTCTTTAATATGACAGGTGTTGCTAGTGCAAACCCGAGTCTTGCGGGCATTGGTCAGTATACCAGTTCCATGTTCGTCGTGAGCTTGACTGACACGCAGCCAGTCAACTATGCTGCCGCCGTTGCTTTGGAACTGCGTCAACCTTCTGAGAGTAGTGAACCTGTCATCCGTTTCAATTTCAAAAACGGAAGTGACGCAGACTTCGTGACATACAACTTCCTCAACCGCACAGGAGATGTCCCGTTATCTGCTTTCATCGATGCTATGGCGGTGAGTCAAGATGGCTGCTCTAAATTTGCCTCGTATTGATATATCTCCGCCAGCCTGTTGCGATAAACACCACGGCAACTTGGTGCAGTGTTTGTGACAACAACCAAGACAGTGGGTGTGCTGCTCTTGCTCTTGCGACAGAACAAGGAGAAGCCGCTGCTCGACCCAAAATCAGTCCAGCTGGAGCCGGCGTCCTTGGCGCGGGTTTGACTCTTATAGTCGTTGTATTGATGGGCTTCACCTTGGCTTTCCTCGGAGTATTGACGATTAGCAGGTTTAGGGGGCGGCGATCAAGGCATCCCGGCACAGTATGTGATCTCTTTGCACATTTACTCCGATTGGATTTTAATGTCAATGTTAGTTCGAACTCAAAAAAGACGGCGAAAGCATATGATTCAGCCATGTGAAGATGAAGATACCGAGGAATGTAAGAAGAAGCTAAGAACGAATGCACCTGTAGGTCGTGAAGATGTCGATAATTGTGGAAATTGTAGTACAATGTGTGTTGTGTCCATACTTATGCCACAAATGTAAATTCTATGATCAAATCCTTACCTCCAATAATTGTCTTCGTCCGGATTGTCGTACCGAAGATCATCTTCCGATTCAGAGCTTTCATGAAATATATCTATAGGCAGATCTCAGACTAAACCTTCGAATGAGGCTACGGAAAACGTACCACTCCCCTCACTGTCATCCGAATCATCCTCATCTGGATAGTCATTCTTGTAATATTCCTCGGCTGGGGAATGTCGCGTCAGATGAAGGATTTAATGCCAAACCGCAGATATACCATTTGAGTCTTCGTCAGCATCATCTTCCTCTTCGGACTCCGAGTCACTAGAGTAAGGATCATCCAGTGAGGGAGGAAGGCCTTCACTACAAGCGCAACAACATTCCAGCCAATGATTTCATCACGCATTAAGTCAAACTTACAGTGTTCCGATATTGGCAACTGAATTCCATTCGCTGAGTGTGCAAGGGCGCTTATAGAACACGTCCCAAACATAGTCCTCCGCTGGGGGAGCAGCGGAGAGAACTTGTGAGGGCTCGTCATTCACTGGAAGGCATGAGCATGCAAGACATCAAGAAAAGGGAAACTTACTGCGCAAGTAATTCTGTAGCATGGGTAGGAATTTCTCCATGTCGGAGTCAAAGACGGGAGACGTAAGCTTCTTATCAGCTGGAACGGCATCATACATCCTGAAGTCACTTGGAGATTGGACATCTTTCGCAGATATGACCTTTGGACTACTCCAGGTTAGACAAGTATCTGGCAACATCATGGGCAGACTCACGGACTCGTAGCAAACTTGGTGTTTTCAGCAGATTCGCGTGTAGGAACGATTGTGTAGCGTCTTCCTTCATCAGCCAGTTGCCGATGGCGTTGGGCCCCAGACAGATTCGAGACATTCGCAGGTACCGAGGGCTTGGTGTTATTTTCAGTGTGGTTTTGCGACAATTTCGAGATTTGGTTCTGTGGGGATGATAGATCTCCTATGTAACGCGAACGCGACGAGCGTTAGAGGTAATTCACCTGTAGCGTCTCCTGCAGTTGCTTATCCTCCCAGACGGTCTCTTCGACGGTTTGAATAAACTGAAAAACATCGCGACCACCTTTCGACTTCTTTCTGCGAACCCGAGACTCGACGACTGATGTCACAATAAGAACTTAACTTCGCGAAAGGGTGGCACGAGAGACACACCAAGCGCGTCGAGTGGTTCATCCGTGCGTTTGCGCTTGATGCGCACAATTGTGTACGGGTAGTTGTTTGGCTGAGCGTCCATCATGGTTCTAATGACAGGAGGCTTGGTACTGTACGCTGAAGCGGCGACACAAGGTGCTTAATGAAGCTGAAGTTTTGAAGGAAGTTTCCTCCATTTAGTGATTACGTCATCAAAATTGGCAAACGTCCCCCGGATAGAGTGCCCACCCGGCACTTCAAAATAATTTCAAGGGTGTCATACTTAACACCGCGATATGGTACAAGATGGCTGCTTACAGTTCTTCATAGCATTCGTCTATCCTCAAGGCTCACCCATCATATTGCAAATCTTTCAAGCATTCATTTTATTGCCCCTCACTCATCATCGCCCACTGCACCTTGTGTGCCGGGTTCACCGGCTGTTCGCCAAGCACCTAAGATAAGCTCCACAACATCGTCGACGCCTTGGTCGTTCTTTATGCTCGTGAAAATAGTTGGGCCGTCTCCACGCATGAGTTTCGAATCACGTCTCATCACATCAAGAGATGCACCAACATATTGCGCTATATCGATCTTGAACCTCTGCAGTGAGGGGGTATAACGTTTGAATAAAATTTTGACCAACCTTGTTGATTACCAAAAGGTCAGACTGAGAAATTCCTGGTCCACCTTTACGAGGAATCTTGTCTCCTCCCTGGAAATGCACATGAGACAGAACTTCATCGAGGATGTGACAGACATACCGCCACGTCTATGACATATATGATGTAGTCAGCTAATTCCCGGGAATAGTTGGCAGCTAAGTTATCCCCTCCACTTTCCACAAAAAGGAGTTGGCAGCCAAACTTCGCTTGAAGTGTCTCCAAAGCACCCATGTTCGCACTGATATCCTCGCGGATCGCCGCATGAGGACAACCACCGGTCTCAATGGCTAGAATACGAGGCGTCGGGAGTGCCTTATTCTTGATCAGAAATTCTTGGTCTTCACGAGTGAAGATGTCGTTCGTCACAGTAGCTAAGTATATTGAAGTTTCACAGAATGCAGAAGATCATGTGATATTTGCTCACCGATGTTATATTTGCTACGAAGCTTCTTGCATAACGCAAGTGTCAAGGCTGTTTTACCAGAACCAACAGGTCTGTACAAGGTGACCGCTGTCATGGTGGTGCATAGGTATGGTAAGCTTGTCGACTTACCCACCAATTCCGACAGTAAAGCCTCTTTCTTGAAAGTTTCGTAAAGAGTAGTCAGGAAGGTCCCGCTCCGAGAATTTACCTGCAAGAAAGTGAATGTGACAGGATTACTGGCATTGATCATACGCTCAGTAACAAAACCGACCTGCATGATCTAGGTGTTCGTGCGTATGTCCGTGATCGCCATGATCGTGAGTGTGAGGACTACCAGGCTCGTGCGAGTGAGCTTGACTTGGCTGGCCCAGATTGTTGATGAATTGAACACTCATGATCAATGTTAAACTAGTAATGATCAGCGTTTGCAGCGCTCAGTATGATTAATGATTGGTAGCGGAGTCTGCCGGCAGGTGCTGTAGCCTAGCCTAGTAGTACTATTAGCCGAAAGTGGTTCTGCATACTATATCAAAAAGCATCACCGAGTCGTGTCACATGAAGCGTGCATCACGGGCCCTGGTAGCTTACTCTAGCTCAGAAGACGAGGCTCTAGCCGACGGTCCAGAGAGAAAGAAGAAGTTGACCATTCCATCATCTCTCTGCATGCTGCTCAATGTACGCACAGGAAACTGCCGTCTCTTGCATCATCCATCATCGTACCAGTACCCGTCGATGACCCTACTCTTCATCAAGGACGAGTTCGTGCAACCCCACACGTAGAGGGCCAATATGCCGCATATGTTTACATTCCCCTCGTCGTGCACCCTGGAACTGCATTATACTCATTGGTCGATGAAGTACTTAATGTCACCAAGGAAATGGTCCCGGCCGCTCATGTCATAGGGGAAATTGTCTCATGTAGTCGAAATAGTGGTGGCTTGGTAGTCAATAGCTCTCGCAAGGTGCGGGAGCTGCACTTGTCATTGACTCGACCGATATTTCTACGCGCCCACCAAAGAGAAGAGTTCAAACAAGCCATAAAGCGGATTGCTTCACGCCGAACCCCGTACGCCACATTCATAATTCATTGCATGCTTGTGGTCTCTTACCGTTGTACGAAGTTTTCAGGCTTCATTTGCAACGTTTTCGGAACTTACAAACGATGAGCGAACGAGGGCGTTCCTTTCCCTCGAGGTGGGAGCCGGTCATAATGAAGTTCGTCCTAGCGACATCAATTTGATTACAAACTGACTTATTGTAGCTGAGAGAATTGCTATCCGCACTGTCGCCGACCCTTCAGTCCCTGCGTCAACGAGATTTTTATAGCCAACCACGATTCCACGTTTCAATAGCATGGGCTCTTCTGGACCTTGACACGTCAGTAAACGGAGACGCCAACACCAAAAGACATCCTTGCGCTTATGAAGGGGTCACAGCAGTGGAAGGCACATCGGACAACAACTTGTCCAGTAACGGGGACATCGGGGAATCTAATAAACATTTTCAGGCCGAGTATTTTCCGCGTGTTCCGCACCTTCCATCCAAGCTGATCCCGACGCTAAACCAGCGATTTGGTGCTAGAGTCTCATCTGCCCACATCGGAAGGTTCGACGTGGATACTATCGTAGTGAAGATCGGAAAGGACATCTTTTCGTGGCCATTTCAAGGCTCTCACGCCAATTTAGTCAGTTCATAACATACGCTCCACTGTGATGTACAGAAAAGACTGAATGTGTCTTCTGACTGGCTCAAGCAATGTTTAAATCATATTGGGCCATTCACGAGGCTTGATAACAATAGCTACGTTCCTTCCACTTCCTGTTGCCTGGTCAAACAGGTTTACCAGGCCAACGTCCATTACGCTTGATTCCTGTGCTTCACTACTCTGACTCAACTCTTCCCGAATCCACTCATGCCTATCAAGGAGGATGAGGGATTCTATCAGAGGTCCCATGATGCACCTCAACACGTGCAATACTGACAAAGCACTTTCCAGCTGCCTTCGTCTATGCTTGTCATGAATATAAACGGGAAGGTGTGTTGCAACTTGGTCGAGTCGGACGCCAGTTTTTGACATCGCACGATCCAGGAATGTTTCCCAGTCCTTGTACGCAGCATCAGGGAGCTTTCCCAACCGCCTATTTTCTGGTGTCTGACCTGCGCCGCGGAGCTCTTCGACATTATATGACGAAGGAGTTGCAGTGTGATTCGCGGAGGCTTCTCGTGCACCTATTAGTCCAAGGACGGGCTGAAGGAGGGCTCGAAAAACGACCTTGCGTATCGCCAGAGATGTTTTCCGGGCAGACGTTTCATTGCGGAGCCATTGACATGGTATCTGCGCAGCCAGGTGACGAGAGGTAAGGGGAAGTGTTGCTACTGGGGTTCGCTCACGGAGCGACCGTGACAACGGAAAATCTACCAGTGCAGTTGTAGCAAACCTCACCTAAACCAGCCATAAAAACCGATGCTCACCCTCAAGCGCCATCAAGTTGTAACAGCATCCTACCACGACGAGTGCCTGTGCCGTCCAAATGCGAACATCGGGGGCTGAGGGTCTACGGTGATTAGACAAGAATGCGCGAAGGACATCAGGCGTAAGCGATCCGCAAGCGTGAAGGGCAACCATCATCACAGGGACCGGTTTCTCCTCAGGTGTGCGTTGCTCAGTCCCATCGACAAGTAAATCTCCGATCATACTAGTACAACCAGCGATTTGGTTGTCTTCACCGGAGAAAAGCCAATTATGAATTGACGATTCAAGTGTACGGGGATTAATGCAGGTGGTCTGATGGGTAAGAGAACCCATATGGCTGTGTATTATGTTTTTGCTGGCAGTGGAAGCCGAAGGCACAGAGGTTGCCACGTGCGATTGGAAAAGGGGATCGTTGAAGTGATGATGTGAGTCGGGCACCTGGGTGTCCTTTCCCATTTTAAGCTGCTTCTGCATTCTTGCCGCTTCTTTTGCTTTCCAGCGTTCAGCCCCAGAGGTCTGGATTTCATTGGAATCAAGAGCTAACACGTGGATACCCAAATTTTGAAGTGCACGAGACAAATATCCCTGAAAATACAACCATTGATTATTGTGCAAAGCATTGCTGTAACTTCTAAGGTGAAAAAAGATGCACAGAAATACTAACTTGTCCTGAACCCACATCAACAACATGATGTAGTGTATCTGCAAAACCTGGGCATAAAAGTCGGTCGATATATTCTGACATTCTGGAGACCTCGTGCTCTTTCTTTGGTGACATGCCGTACGATCGATGAGCATTCCCTGGACATACAAAGCATTACGGCGAGCCAACAAGTGAGGAAGCTATTCAGGGCGTCTGGTAGGTCTCTGAAGTGTGACTAACCCGACTCGGAGGTGTTCCCAATGGCAACAAGATCTCTATTCAACTGGATGCAGACAATGTCATCGATGAGCATTTTCAAATCGGGCGGGATCTATCGCAAGATGAGCATGCTGTCTGCACGCCCCGATCATCATAAAACAGGCCTACCGAAGATTTATTACTCGGAACTTGGTTCCCCGTCCGCTGGTCATCGGACGTCACAGAATAGTAATGGAGAATCGACATCCACCTTGGGAAGCATGGTGTATGTTCATCGTCTATTGATGTAGCCCATTCCCACCAACCCTTCCAACTTCCAGGAAGCTGAAAGCCGGAAGCTGCCAGGTCGTTCGGATGGATCGAGAGAAGCTCGGAAGCCGGGAGAGAACACAGCTGCTGATATATCAGTTCGAGTTTCGACATTAATTCAGTGGATTGGCGAAGAAGACTGTAGGATTAAGGTGATTCAAATAAGTCTTGTAGTGTATGTTCACATTTGGAAAACGTCTCTCACGATCCTAATCCTTCAAGCTTCTTTTTCGAATGCGACCAGGAGGTCCATGTCAGTTGTAATTAAGCTCAGTATCCTGGGTTCTACTACCCTCCTGTCAGGCTATATATTGAAGGACACAATACACTTGCTCATCAAGCAATACCTCCTTGTACAGGCTTTACAGCCTACCTTGCTCCGTCGCTATTTTTTGTCGCGGAGATGTACCATTAAGGCACTTCAAACCACGATCTCCTTGCTGACTGGGTGACTTGGTATGGTGACTTTTGCATACAGATTCAGATTCGGAGATCTTGGCTGGTGGCGACGACCTGACTGTTATTGCTCACATACTGGATATGTACCAAGTTTGCGACAACCTGGCCAGTTCGTACTATGGGTGCCGGCGAACTCGGAGTACCGCAGTGGAAGGGGTGGCAGTGCAGCCATACACGAGACAGGTCAGGCTCGTTCACCACGCTTAGTAAAATTATAGTCACTTACAGAATTGAGATTGCAGCGGAGAATACTGAGTTGGCTGCAACGTGGTTATGGTCCGCCCGGGGCGCACCTGCCAGTATACGGGGGAAAAGTTTACCTCCATTCGATCTGAGGCCTGAACGTACACCGGAAAAAGAAAATTACTGATTGTGTTCACTCTGCTTCCGTACTTGAGGCCTTGAGGCTCCGGTATTCACGGTTGCATATATTAAACTCTCTATCCAGTGTTTTGGGATAAAGCCGATCAGGTAAGAATATGGCTCACTACCGGAGAAATCTAAGTACATCTTTCTAGCTACAGGATGTTTGGATTGAGGCCGTCTCCAAGAGCATGGTCCGCAACCCATTGACAAACGTTGCCTGGTTATCAAAAGCAACTTGGACGTCATTGGACTTGCTGGTAGCTTTTTGTATGCTTGTCATATTCATAAAGTATTGAACATTACCCTTACAGGGGAAAACTACGAATTAGCCAATACCTACTATGTAATATTCACTACTGCACGGCAGCTAGCGCACGGAACCATATCCGAAAGTTGGATACCCCTGCTAAGACTATTTGTGAGCGGGCTATCTCTTCCGCTGCTAACGAATCTTGCCCTGTGGCGGGGTTGTTAACTATGTTCCATTAGCGGCGTCATAGTACAATTATGGTGCATGCGCATGTGCATTGGATTACAGCTTATCGAGGATAGCCTTCAGAGCGCTATTGCAAAAAGGAACATTCTGAGACAAAGGGTCCTCCTGACCGTTCTTGGTATGTTTCAGCAATTACAAACATAGAAGCCGGAATTTACCGTCAATGTAGTGGCCTCCAATCTCGAAACTTCCCATTCTCAGCACATGAGCACAGACGAAATCCTCTGTCAGATTTTGACTTGTCTGATCGCAGGCTATGAAACAATGTCCTTGCACTGACATGGTGCCTGTGCACTCCGGCCAATGTCCAGACAGCCAGAGAGCGCTTCGCAAGGCTCTTCAAACAATTCCTATCAATTCGCCAACTCTAGTCGATAATGGTGGGAAACTAAAATATCTCGACTGGGTTGTTTGCGACACGCTCAGACCGCATGCCCCAGTAACCTGGACAATGAGAGTTGCGACCAAGGATGACCAAATATCAGTGACGAAACCCTTTCTCGACAGGAGTGGGGAGTCCAGGGATGTTATCAAGATTGGAGAGCGTCATCACCATACCCATTCAGGCTATCAACAAGAAGGACATATGGGGGGAACACGCTTACTCCTTCAGGCACGTTCCCTCGTGTTCTATTTTGTTTTCCCTGACGGCGCATTGAGACAGGCCTGATTGTCGAACGATGGCAGAACCCTCCCAAGCAAGCTAAAGAAATCCAGGGACTTTATTCCGATGTGCTTACGTTCCTCGAGTGGGAGCCATGGATACATTGGCTTCATTCAGGTTCGCCCTCGTAGAGTAGGTGTGCCCCGGTGCCTTTTGCTTTCGAGATTCTTAGTTTGAGGCGGACCGCTACTCACTGCGGGCTTTGCACTTTGCTTTCCCATGAACACGCGGTCACATACTAGTTCTCCTATGTGTTGTTAAGCACGCGGACTTGTCCCGTCAGGCACAGTCATAAGATAGATGGAGCTTTTCCTGGGGCTCTGAGATCGAATTACTCCGCCGCGCCATTCTGTTTGTGGAGTTGCACGTTAGGTCGATATTTTTGGTTCCCTAGGATCAAAGCATTCCTGTTCTCGCTAGTCTGTGAGCTTGGAATCCCTATAGACCCTTCAATGGCCGTTGAGAAGGCATTCAAGTAAGTGTCCGCTCTTGCATGTTATTTTATTTCATGTGGCATCAGATTATTGTCATTTGGGTGCCAATGCTGGACACTGGACACTTCCCGTCATTTATGCCGCGCTCTGGCAGTTTCCGTCTGTTTGTTTTAATTCCTCGGGTAAAAATGATCGAAGACATTCCCCGCCGTTCTATTCTGTTGATCCTGTTAGTTTTTTCCCTTCGCTTCTTTGTTCTGATTGCTGCGGCATGACTAACGTCGCTGTAGCTATCTCCCTCGTGCGGTGTTGTCGGTCGCCCTGTGGTAAAATCGGAGGCCATGTCTGGAAAACCACATGCCACTTATCGTTCGGCCTGCATCGAAGGATGACATTGATCATGTCAGTGCGCGTATCAAGTACGGCATCGTAAATTCGCGTCAGGGTTGCTGGAAGTACCCACCATCTATTTTGCCAGGTTCGTACCCTCTCGAGGGTTCTTGGCATTGATCCCCGGCGCCCAGTTCACCCATGAGAGACCCACGGCAAGTCATGTCGTATGCACTTCGCCTGATTGACGTCTAAGCGAAGGATGGGAGAAGTGCCTTGCTACTTATCTGTATGTTCTTTGAGCAATTTCTACAATGCGATTGGTTATTCCACCTCCTTGCTTTTGGCAATATAACTGATCTTCCCCCTTTCCATTCTCGATAGCTGTGCAACTAATATACCATTAAGGGTTGTACGTACGGATGGACCAAAGTCAGATATGAAGGTTAAAGTGACGCCACCACCGTTCCTGCACTTACATCATTGTTGGAATTGAGTGCGGAGTGGAGTTCCTGAAGGACCTCAAATAGGACAACGGGGGCAATGCGTAGCCATCTCAACAAAGGCGGTGGCCGCTTTCAGGAGCTTTTGGCTTCACGTGCGCATCTACACGCCCACCCGCCTAAAGTGATAAAGTTAAAGCGCCTCGCGTCGTAACGAAGGGGTCAATGGATGGAAGGAGGTGCACAAATGATGATCTGGACCCTCCGCACTGTCGCCCCATTCTCACCAGTGTACCGCGACCGTGTCGTACATATGAGGAGTGGTCCATTTGCGGTTAGCTTCGGTTAGGTCACAATGATCGCGGCGATGAGTCGACTTCAGCGGGTCAAGCTTGCGGATTGATCCATAGCACTTCTGCGAGCTATCGGAACGTATTTTCCCGAGCAGGTAAAATGAAGTTGGTCTCCTGAGTTAGCAAATCGCTAGTCTTAGCGCCGAGCGATGATCCCGTTCCAACTCAAATCGCACACTGCCATCAAACGGCCCGGATGCTATCCGGAAAGGGGAAATCTCACATCCCGAAGGCGATAAAATCAAATCATACAGGTAACGGTTCGATTACTATGGGACTTCGCAGCACCCAGATTTCATTATGAAAAGGGAGATCTGGGTCCAGGATAAGAAGCAGTCCGCTGAGAGATAGAACCCCAGAAACACAGGAATAAGATCGGCTGCAAGCGGCAGACACGAGGTGTAGACGTTCCGCAGGATCATGTGCAGCACTGCAGTGGGAGAAATATATCGCAACAGACTGTGCCCGAACCCGGTGACCAGAAATCTCTTTGTTTTATTGGGATGTGCAATTTTAGTTGCCAACGAGGAACACTTGGCAAAGGTTGGAGTGTGTGGTCTCAAGAAGTTGATACGAGTAGTACAAGTGATTAGGTGCTTTAGGTAGTCAGTATAATAATATTGTTACACGAACGGTGTTTTTCGAAAAACAAAGGGATCCAGATAGGATTCAATGTTGTTACAACGTCGTGATCACTGTGGAGCTGAATAGGCAGGCCCAGCATTTACAGACGGATGCAATGGTCCTTCGCTATAATAGGAATGCGACTGCGAGTCCGCCGAGTGGGCGGGCAACCTCGGCGAGCTCTGGGATGGGCTTGAAATGAAGCCAGGAGACAATGACGAGTGGTGATGCTGTGCAGAATACAACGAGGACTGATTGTGCATATTGTGAGACCCAAAAGGGTTGGGTGGAAGGGAGGGAGGTGCGGACATCGGAACGCCCGATGGAAGATAGCCGGACTGCCCTTCACTCCCAGAATGATGATGATGTCCAAGATTGTATGTGGACAGCCCAAGTCTATTCTGGGAGTATTCTAGACCGCCGCCGCCGCCACCACCACCACTGTAGTGAGCTGGGCGTGCGAGAAGTTGTCGGCCACTTCCGCCGAACTCTGCAGACGCTGAGTTCTGGTGACCGTGTCCTCCTTGCAGCGACTGAAGAGACATGGGGTGATACAACTGCAGACTTTCTGCAGGCAGTGAAGCACGACGCGCGACCGGATCTAAGAGGGAAGAAGCGGGCACAGTGCGAGTGGAAGATGGATATGGCGTAGAGGTGGTGGGTCCCTGTGCTGCTCGGTGTGCGGGAGCTAAAATCCTGCGACGAGCCTGCAAGTTATGTTAATTAATTAAATGACGCGGAAGTTAAGTAAAGAATGCGGACATTAATCATCCAATTGGATACTTGGCTCATGCTCAATCCAGTGGCATGGCAAAGCTGCTTCTTCTCCTCCTCGCTTGGGTATGGATGATCTGAGTGACGATGCAACCAGGCCTTTAGATAATCGGTCGTTTCCTTCGGCAACTTGCCCCTCTTACGCATGGGGCGATCAGTCAACGTAGATGATGGGGCAGACGGAGGGGAGCGAGATGTAGGAGAGGAAGTCGTTGTCGGGGCTGGTGCGGCGGAGGGTACTGGGCTGTTCGTCGTATTTAACGACGGACTGCTCGAGGAAAAGGCATAATCCTGATTGGAAAAATTCCAGTCATCCTTAGGTTGAGCTGAGGAGGGGTAAAGTCTACGATCCTGTTGGGGAGGAAGACGTGGAGGAGCGGAAAACATTTGGGACTGAGGGAGGGATGTGTTAAAGGAGGAGTGTCTGACGCTGTCGTCGTACTTATTGAGGGTACTTGGTAACTGGCCGGTCGAGCTCGGACGAACAATACCAGAAGGGGAGTCGTTCCAACTGTCGGATTCTATGTATCCTGAGGTAGGGACGCCCTGAGATTTGATATCAGGGGTGAGGGGTGATGTGAAAGTGGAAGTGGAGAAATGGGAACTCGGGGTAGTTGTGCTGGAAAGGGTCGTATTTAGGTATGAGGGGGAGTCTCCGTAGGAGTAGTTGAGATGCGTGTCAGCAGTCAAGCGAGGACGGCTAGAAGATTTATCTTGGAACTCAGAGGTATCCGAAGGAGGTGGGAAATGGTATGAACCGAGATTAGACTGGTTAGAGGACGCGTGCGATGAGCGGCGGAGATGAGTAGGGGGGTATGGAGAGGATCGATAGCGAGGATTTGACTCTTGTGAAAGAGCAGGTAAGGAAGCTCGACGAAAGGGATCCTCAAAGGTAGTAAATATGGAAGGTAATTGTACCTTTGTATTGTCGAGACTAGACTCTAGTGGCTTGTCGTCTTGTTGAGGGCTATGATGAGTAGAATCAAAATGCCAAGAAGGCTGCTCTGAGGAGAAGGAAGGACGGGGTCTAAGGGGTTGTGGGGAACTAGAGGGAGACAATGGACGCTTTTCAGGGCGAGAGGCTACACTGCTCTCTGTCTCTGCCGAGACGGTAGAGCTTGACATTCGACGAGTAGGATAATCAAAGTCCGAGTCTGTGGGACTAAAGTAAATATAATAAACGAAACAAGTCAGATATGGGGATCGGGTCAAGGCACGAGAGACCCACAGGATAGCCGGAGAGGCACAGTTTGATAAATCGTCCGAGAAGGGAACAGGGTCGATTTTTGAACCAAGTCTGTAGGTGGGGGTCAACTGTGCAGTTCTTTGATGTGATGAGATGATGAGAGAGGAAGGAAAGATTGGAAAACAATATTTGACAGACATGATCTTGACATATGACAGTCGGATTATGAAATCTGATTGGAATATAAAATTTAAAACAAACTGGATTACTCACTGTAAGGATAGTTGTAACTGAGCGACGTTGTAAGAGCTGATGGCGAGAGGAGAATTTGGCTTTTGCTCAATCATTTGAAAGGAGGAGGAGGTTGTAATGAGAGGAGTCTAGTTTGATGGACGGGATTTTAAGAGGGAAAGGAAATCCGAGTCGGGAAAAAATAAGGAAAGAAAGAAAAATGAAATTATATTAAGCTGGAATAAGCTATGAAAAAAATCCGATACGCCTTCAAGTAGATCGAGGCACCCCCTCATGGGAAAGAACGCTTTCCTCCACAACCGGTCATTTCTCACTCAATCCCGACATCAGCGCGTCATTCCTCCAGCGCGGCGAACGCTTATCGGTAGCGAATAACAGCTACTTCGGTAAATCACACCAGCGGCCCTTCGCCCGAGCGTCTATATAAGTGGCTTACATATCGGCGATTCAAGTACACCCCCGAGTTCTACTTATTTGATTTTAATGTTATTTTTGTCATAGAAATTGTAAATTCAGTCCCAAAATCGTTTCTATCGTCGGGGTAAAAAAAGATAGGCTGTGCAACCCTCAATTAATCAACCCAATAAATTCATTTCAACTACCCAAATTGGAACACTTCTTTTTCATTGCCTTCATGAAATTGATTTTTGCCCACAGTCGCGCCTAGGTTCGTTAGCGAGTCCACACGAACTCCTCCTCGGTCCCGTCCTCTAACGTTGTCCAGATTCAAACTCTTAGATCTCACGTTGCTGCTGTCCGTGTCTCCAACCTGTCATCGAACCTTGTTCTCGACATCACTAAACCGTATCGTAATAATCCAACGATAATTATAATGCTGTACTCACGTATACCCGACCGGGAGTCCCACTCACTTTCGTTAATCAACCTCGTAATCCACGCCTCCTCTCTCTGCTTCGCAACCCGTATCACCCTATCCTATCAAATATGTATCATAGATACTATAGCTAAATCCTGCATAACGAGATTCCGTCCCCCCCACATATAGTCATATTGTTCAATCTCTCATTCGCCTCGAGGGCCCAAGTTTCAGATCCTGTTTCCTCTTTCCAGTGCTACGCCTCTTTCAGGCACTCATACGTGCGCGGACTTCATTTCTCCCCTTAAGCCGTTCTAATAGGGTTCACTTACGTCTCTCTGCACCGCCAACGGTCGGCGGCCTTCCACAATTGGTATGCATCTCGTGTCCATATTTCCGATGCGCGGCGGCCTTCCGCATCGATCGTCAACTAGACCCGTTGGCAACCTCCTTGCCCCAAGACAAACCTAAAATCATCGTCACCCTCATACACAGTACCCCCACTAAGCTTCGGGATCGACAATTCGGTTTTGTGTCTCAGATCAATACAAAAGCGTTTCGAAGTTGCCTCACTGACGCAATCCCATCATCGCTTCTAAAATCAGTGTTGACCCGTTCCCCTCACGTAACAGAGTTCCACTTACTTGATACAAGATACCAAGAGTATGATAGATTATGATCTACAAACACCGCAAAAATACTACACAAAGCAAACATCCCAAAATGATCGATTGATTATGTGGTGGAGTCCAGTCAGGAATCACTTTCAGCCACCAGCGCCGATTATCACTGTCGTCCCTGACTAGGACTCCCCTTGGCCCCCTTAATTTTACTCTTTGCCATTATACCCTGCAGCAGTTGATCAGCCTTCGTCCGTTCCTTCTCCGAAACCTCGACCCCATCTAGCATCCCTATCCGGGGACATGCTCTCATGACCAGCCCACGATATGCAAGGCGGCCGACATATGCGTCATCCGGGAGGTCCCGACGGAACTTCGAGTCCAGTTCTTGCCATCCATATTCCGTGCTTCCCTTCTCACCCCTGAGGCGACCATCCTCTCCGTCGCTGCTGCCATTTCTCTCAGATGGTTGCAATGCCCCTGGTATATCTTTCACCAGAAGTGGGAGATACCACTCAAGTGTACAGGGGTTCATCCTGTGTAATCATCAGCATTTGAGACACCTAAGGGGAAGGTGCAGGGTCACCTAAAGTCGAGCATTTCCACATCGGGCATACGCTGTAATATGCGGATCAGCTGTTTAGTCCCCTTCAAGCGAGAACCAATCATAGTGAGCTTCCTAAGTCTGGTAAGCCCCTCCAGGGAGAGAGCATCATTCAAAAAATTGTAGTTGAGGTTCAGGACTCTCAAGTTTGGCGTTAGACGCGCGAGGTCATGTGGGAGAGAGGTCAGTCGGCAGGCGGCCACCTCAAGGTACAGCAGATTGTAACACGGCTCTTCGATAAAGTCACTCTTGAGTTTGTTGCCTAGAAAACAAATGAACCCTGCCTCAAGTGACCCAAGTTTTGCTATACAGACCAGATAGGTATAGCCGCTTTACATCGCGGAATTGGCGGGTCGAAAGATAACTGCAGATCGCATCATCGCCCATCATCAAGGAAACAGGAACAGTATAATGAAGGGTTCCGTTAATGACGTTAACCCATATACCGAGAGGCTATGCACTCACAACCCGCAAGAAGTCTGATTTCGCATGCTAAGATTCTCTAGCTTACTAAGGCGTTCCGCTTTTACGAGAGTGTTGAGAGAATTATTGTCCAGGTACAGCGTGCGGAGGTTTGGGAATGGGGCAACATTCAGATGCTTGAGTCGGTTGCCACTAGCCCGAAGGATGCGTAATCTTGGCATTATGCCACCAGGCTCAATATTGTCCATTGTATTATTGTCTTCAGGAACCTGTGCTCGTTATCCAGGGCCCCGCGTAATATGGAACTAAGGTTACACACCGACATTGAGCGCAATTAGTGCAGGTAGGCTTGATGCCAAGTTCAAGATACTGCAAATACAGTTCCCGCTCAGGTTTAACATCTCCAAACGCGGCCTGTATGCATTGTTGGTCACTAGGGAGCAAAAAATAGGGGGCTTGTAAAGATTGATCGTACCATCGAAATTTGGCAAAGTCGGCTTCTTGAATTTGGTTGCTTTGTAGACTAAGCTTGGTTAGCCCATCCAATTTCTGAAGGCCGTCGATGCTGGTAATGTGATTGCCATCAGCTCGTAGCTCCCTCAAGTGTCGAAGACACTGTAGTTCTGGAAGAATATATCTACTTGTCAGCTCACTTTTTTTGACACAGTCCTCGGTACCCACGTGTCAAAGAGTCGATGTCATTGTGACTTATATCGAGGCTTTCAATATTCTGCAAGTGACTAAATGAAGTGACACCTGTCAGTCTTCAGAGAGCGCGGTGTCAGGGAAAGTAACTTGAATACAACAAAAAAGCCTACAAGTTGTGAGCAACAGAAAGCGTCCGCACAGAATTGGGGATGCCGCTCAGCCATGACAGCTGATTGTGATTTCTAATCAGAAGGCGTCAACAGCCGTCGGCATTTGCTTCCGCAGGTATCATGGGAGGCAACTTACAATACTAGAGAATCCAGCTTCGGTAGAAACTCCTTCAGTCGAGTCACACCATCCAACGACTTGCGAGAAAGGTCAATAGTGTGCAGCTCATCCCAGTGTGGCTCAAATGGCTGGACATCAGTGATCACCTGCACGAGTCGGTCATGCGCCAAGCCAAAGGAGCACTCAGTCAAGAAAGTAGCGTTTGCCTTCTGATCCTTCCCACTCAAACGACCCTTTTGCAACGTCGAAAAGACACGACGGGTCAATCCACTGCTATCGGCAACAGCCATTTGACTACTCGGCTGCCTAGAAGCGAAGGGCTGCAGTTCTTCTGTCGGTGGACGGCCCGAACTTGATGATTTCGTGGGGGAAACGTTATCGAAGCCTGCTATACATCAACACTGGGCCGCACACTTGCGGCATCACGTCAACTCACCAGGGCTTTCTAGATTCTGCATCATCTCCGCTATGCGTCTGGACCTTGCCGAGGGAATAAATAACCCCTGTGCAGGGTCATGCTCTGAAATGCTTATAGCATGGCTACCAACGTCGTCATCGCTCCCGTGGCCTTTTGGGTTCAGGCCCCGTATAGGCCCATCCCTCTTCCCATCAGAAAAACTTACGGAACGACGGTGGCCAAGTCGCTGGGCTGGAGTACGGTGCCGATCACGACTCGGATCCTTCATTGCTGACACGGGAGTGACGCTCGTACTCTTCAGGGCCGAGCGGGGCATTGGAATGATAAGCGATAATGACCGACATTGTGGCGCATTTGGGGTAACAGCTACCGCAGTAGAGTTCGAAGCAGGCCGGATGGGCGAAGGAGCTCGCAGTTCAGGCGAGAATTCATCCTCCGATTCAAAGACTGCAGCCGCGTCCTCGCCTTCACCCTCAAGCGCAGCTCCATGGCGATCGTCTGATTCGGAATCGCTTGCCTCAACTTCTTCCGAATCGTCCGATGGCACAACCCGAATAGCTGCGACCGATGGCCCGTCGAAAGAAAAGGATGTCAGGTCAACTTCTTCCTGATCATTTAGCTCCACGTCCTCCTCGGCCTCTTCAATACGACTCATCTCCATTTCATCCTGCTCTCCTTCAGCTTCAGGGATATCACCTCCAACATCCACGTGCGCACTCCCATGCGTATCCCTGGAGTCATCTTCCTTCAGGCTCTCTATGTCTTTAAATGGATCCTCACTATCTCCATCTGTGCCAGTGCAAGCTGTCTGATCGCGCTGGTCCTCGGCGTCTGAGGCCGCACGAGTAGCGACCCTCACCCACTTCATGAGATCCTTGTCATAGACCATACGGCCGACCCTCTGTGGGAGAGCTGGTACATCCGATGGTGCGATGCGGGTGATCTGAACTGGACCGGCGTGTTTTACGAACGAGGGTGCACTGCTCATTGTGGTTATGGTTCCAGAAGCTGTGCTAGAGGACACGATCCTGTTAAGGTCCTCATTGGAGCCAGAGCAGGTCGAGGTCGAGGGAAACGAAGGAGGGATCTGTGCAGGAGGATGTACCATAGATTGCTGACTTGTCAAAGGTGTTACCCGAATGTGTGGGACGTTGTTGAGGACCTGCATTTGTTGTAACAGACACGAATGTAACTGGCTGTTGCCAGGGTGCCTCGATAGACATATTGGACATTTCGTGCTCCAACGTTCGGTCAGCATCCTCAATGATGGTATTGCGCGACGCTTTCCGGGGACTGCGGTAGCTCCTGGAGGAAGATGACAGCCTGCGGGGTGACCCGAACTTATTGGCCTTCTTCTTGCCGACGTTGACTTGAGATACAGACCACGCACTGTCGCACGAACGTTCGATAGGCAAAACGTCGTCCGCGTGAGTGAGACGGGATATGTCAGTGGCACCCGAGAAAAGACGTTTAGAACCTCGAATATCGCTTTTGATCTGCTGCATCAGGGTCGCTGCTTGATGGCGATACGCCAGGGATGAATGATTACTGGGAGCAGTTACGGCTGTTGATGAACTCGTAGTAGCCGCGCTGCGATCATCAGGGATACGAAGGACAGAGGTACCAGTTTCTATGCAAGTGTTTGCGATTAACATGTACATACGCCAATGATCTACATACCTGGTGAAGGCTTGGGCTGCGCGTTAAGGGCCTCAGCTCTATTATCTGCTTGGCTGTCGGGGGACCGCGGACCTGCCGTAGTAGATATCGTGGAGAAATCGCGTGCGGCCTTGATCTGTTGCATGAGAGAACGAGACTCGCCAACATAGTCTACCCTTGAGACCATTGGCCTCGCGATGGTAGCACCCGCGCCATCGCCTTCACCATAATAGTGGCTTGGAGGGCTGAGTTTGACTCGTTTAATGCTGCGAATAGGTGTGTCATCTGAGACGGTGGCCTCTTGCACGTTGACCAATGCGAGATGTGGGATACTCCTGGAAGAACCATTGCCTTCTGCGCTTCCACCAGAAGGCGTATTTATTGCTATTGAATCGACCATTGCCGACAAGTGATCACGCGTGAATGTGTCATACTGAAGCTGAAAAAGGCGTAGGCGTGGATCTGTCATGGGAGGTCGTGCGATGCTGTAGATACCTGGCGTGCTTTCTGCCTGAGGCACACTTCCATTGGTGCGAGGAACAGTAAAAGTAAATTTGCATTCCATACTAGATCCGGGCGGCGCAAGTGAATTGAGAGAGGGCACTGCCGTGGGCTGGCCTGATAGCTCGAGGTCTGTCTGTGAGTCGTCTGGCGTGTACGCCTGAGATAAGCGAGAGGGAACCATCGGAGCGCACTGAAGCGCAAGTGCAGTTGGCTTCGAAGGGGGTGGTGAAGGTGGCTCGAACATTTTCTCGAGTGCTAAAGGACTGAAGAAATCTTTAATGATGCCCCTCTTAGGTTGTCGGCCCGGCGTCTTTTGCAAGAGAGCTGGAGCGGGTATGTCCTCGCGGATCAAGAACGTACCGACGGGTTCAGATGCTGCTGGAAGTGGCTCAGTGTCCTCCTGAGCTTGACTTGGGGTTCGCAAGTAGCCGGGTAATGGAGTTGTGAGAGAGATGGACTGAGTGCCCAAGGACGACGCTTCGTCTTCGTCTATCCACTCTTCGTCTAAATCGTCTGTCATCCATGCTGGACGAGTCTCTGCCATGGCATCAAAAGTGAGAGCGTTAAATGTTGCAGCGTTGAAACTTGCAAGACTCTAGGCGAGTTCTCAGCTCTGGCACGCGGCGTGTTTTTACCACGTGACCGTTCTCTTTTCTTGTTGGTCCGAGTAGATCCTTATTTGGCAATCATTCTCTTCTGCCTATAGGGGATAGTCTGGGATCGTTAAGTGATGCCTTAACACAGAGTTATGGAACTGAGGGATCATATTTGCCGTAATTACATACATCTTTACGGTCAACTTTGCACATCGACGTTCTTCAGTTACAGTTCCATCAAGGGCTATCAAGGGTTGCTAAGAATCTCAATCGAACGTACATGAGAGCCCAATTCCCTTCTTTGTCCTTCATGTCAACCTCACACATATCCACAACCTCATCTATGATGGCGGCGGCCTCCTGGTCACTGAATTCCTTCAGGAACGTCTGACGCGCGAACAGCTGCAGCCATCCGCGGAGTCCGCCGTCTAGCAATGGTGTCAGCCTTGGAACCAAACTAATGGTATTGACGCGGAAACCCGCGCTTTGCAATAGCTACACAGCCAGAAAAAAAATGTGAGCAGTTGACAGTCATTTTAACACATGACAGACCCCTTGATATTCTTCAATTGTCGGAAAGTACCAGGGATCCATTTTATCGGGCTCGTAACCGCGTCTTTTGACTGCCCGGTGAAGGCCGATCCGAACGCCTGCATTTGTCGTCATTAAAGATGCACCTATTCAATAGCGCAGATTTACCGATACAATTCATGAAACCACCCATCTCACATACAAAACGCCCACCGACCTTAAGCAGCCGCTTTGCTCCATCCAGAACTCCCCGCGGATTCTGTTTACACCAATGTAGTACAGCATTGCTGAAGACAGCATCGAAAGAGTTCTCCAACACGAGAGCAGGTATTTGAATGTTTTGAAGGTCAGACGCGTATGCGTGCCTAACCCCGTTCACCAGGGCTCTGGAAATCTGACAAAGACATCGGTTAGACGCAAGCAACTCACTTCATATAAACCCATGTGATCTTACCATGTCATTGTTATAGTCAATACCAACAGTGAATCCGCTCGCACCAACAGCTTCTTGGATCCGCAAGGTCAGTTCCCCGGTCCCACATCCAAAGTCAACGATTCGTTCGCCAATGGAAGGTTTCAGAAGGGATAAAATGGGTGCAGTGTACTCAGTAGAATACACAAATGCTGCTGTCTGGTTGTAGTTCGATGCGGAGTAGTCTGATGTCGACGAATGGTCCCGAGAAGCCATGCCTTCGAGCAGCTGCAGAACTGTAATAATTTTCTGCTGAATAGACCTTGAACAATTCGTGTTTGTGTTATGTATGTACCATGTATGGGGAAGTTTCGGCATTACACTGATCGGCCGAAGTCGGATCCCAGGAATACCTGTATAGAATTAGATACGTGGTTATCGGCGATACCTCATGCTTCAGACGTTGGGCCACTACCTTATGTTAGTCAACTTAGCTACTGTAGCGTTTACAAATTGCATGGTAGTCAGTACCAGTGAACTCGGCCGAGATCAGACTGACGGCCGAACAGAGAAATCGGATGGCCGACCTGCCTGGAACCAACGAGTACCCTGGTTGAAGGGAAGTCTACTAGCTTCTCTACGGCACATGGCATAGTCTGGAAACCAACACGAAACACCGATCGATAAAAGCAGATTTAATGGTACACAGTAAATCGGCGATGAGTGTGTCCGATATTTTTCCTTTGAGCTGCTTCCGATTGATGTATTCCACGTTGAGTAGATGATCTTCCACCATCATACTAAGATTGTCTATAAACCAGCGAAGTGAGTTATGACTGGCAATCATACGAACCGTACGTTTTCGCAATACGGCACCGCGGGGTCGGGGACCTGAGACATAGCTTGTGGTCCATGCGCACCTTCGATTGTTTGGGATAGATATGCAGCTCGGGCTCGGTCTGGCACCTAGCTGAAGTGCATAAATCTTGAACCATCCACGTATCAGCCTTCGCTCAAGAATCGATGAGGCTTCAAGCAAGTATATGCCTGTGCTTCGCCGGAGTATTCGCCATGTGGAGATTTGACACGCCAACAAGTCTTCGCGACAGAATGAAAATGAGCCACGGCGCATCGGATGGTATCTTCGTCGGGTAGAACTAAGCATGGCAAAATTGTGGCGGATCCTGGAGCCTGAAGTTGATGCTATCGATGATTTTTGGGTACACCGGTGACCGAGTTGTGCAACTTGAGTTTCAGCGTCACTAAAAGTTCCGCGGTACGTAAATATGATAAAGAAGAAACTGGAGTCACTGGCTGAGTTTGTCTTCAGCTTACAATTCTACACCATGACACTTCGGCTTTGGCTTCATGATTCATTTACTATTCATTCATACCATGCGGTCGCAACACGAAATCTGCACCATCGAAGTAATCTCAACAAGAAGCATGGGCAGCAAATGTGGTCCTTGCCGCGGATCGAACGAAACTTCTTATGATAGTGTGTCACCGTGACGGGAATTGGCTGGAAGATAAGTCAAGATATAAGTTAGCTATACGAATTCATGCAGACCTTTTTCGGTATACATGTTGCAGTTGTCGATCTTCTGTGTGGCGTTTTCAGGTACCAATATAACGTAGGTTCCCGGCGAACAATATCATGATATCGGGACCGAGAGCCTATTGACCATCCTGAGCATGCAGAAATTTCATGTCCAGTGGCTTCAAGTTGAGGTAATTCTAATTTATCTCTGCCTAGTTGTGGCAACCATACGTATAGAGTCTCGTATGTCAATTCAGTTTATATTTACTATTACTCACCTGTTCTGCAGGAAAACAAGGCTGACCGCCGATGTCAATTGTGTTGCAAATTGCCAAGAGTTTATTGATTAAATTTCTCTCACCACTGGTCACTTCCGAGCTATAGCTACAGCGAACCACCGGTCCTGTTGTGTTTAGACCTCACTGCTGACTTAAGTAGTAGGTACGCAGGAATTTTTAGCACTCGTTGGTCAGAATCACACTCTGCCCCATCAAGGATAAGTGGATTCACTGTGGTTTTCTACCGCTACCAGCGTAATGCACCTTTAACTCTTTTATTTGCGTTAAGATGCTTCGCACTCGCTGTACGTGATCCTAAATTGTGGTGCCGTTTATTATTCACTGGATATGAATCTAGTCATCATGAGCGTATACAACAGCTGTAACCCGCTGTCGTATTGACACCCCAACGACACGAAGATACATTTCCTCGGAGGATATCACAGTTGAGACAACCAGGCACAGCGAACGTCCTACCTTATTTCGCAACTACAAGTGTCATTGCAGATGCTTGTGGCAGGATCTATCACAGCTCCTGCTTATGGGTACAGATCATATATGGTACAATGAGACTATTACAAGGTTTCAGTCATTGAAAATACGTGGTGTTATGTAATGCGTTGTCCTACGGTGAGACAGGACGTTACCAACTTGCTTCTTGCCCAACGTGATAGCCTTCAAACAACGGTGGGAGAGGTTTGGGTGGCGGGACTAGGCTGTGTGTCAGGTCCGGCCGCGCCAGTACCGGTAGCATGTGCGGTAATGCCCGCAGACGAACTGGCAGCTGGGTGTTGGTCGGCCATACGACGAGCCTCCTCATGAATGTCGCGAACTTGCTTTGAAGTATTAGTATAAAAGTCGAGGACAGACTTTCCGAAGGGAGATGAGATCGCCTTTGAGTAGTACTGTGATAGCGCGGGTTAAAATCATTCGAATAAAAGATTGTTCTGCTAACCTCGTGGGCAACCTTAGAATAACCTTTCTGTTCGTCGATGGTCTTCGCCCTGGTATGGGCACCCTTCAGCGTTGATTGCACTTTGCCGGACACCGTTTGGTCAGAGCCGAGAGCTTTCTGTCCAACTGTTGTATCGAGGCCGCGCATATAATCTAAAAACCGTTTGGAAATCCCCTGCTTGTCTAACAAGGAAGATGCGTGAGCTGACATTAGATATGGCACATGAATTAGCTAACTGTCAATTTCGATGGCGCGCTGCAAGATGTGGTCAGAAAGTTTGTAGCCCTTTGCCAGATATTCGGCGGCAACTATACTTAGATGTCAGCATGCTAGTTCACAACAAAGGGGGCATACGTACTTCCAGCTCTAGGCTTGTCTGACTGTTCGAAAGGTGAGCTTGAGCGTTGCGATTGCTCCTGATGATTGTGGTGTTCCACGTCGGAGGTGATGTGAAGTTGTTCACCTTCTAGAGTACCGCCATTGAGCTAGAGACGGGGTGTTGGGTTACTCGGATTTAAATTTCTAGTGGGTTGTCCTACCATGAGCGCTGTACCGGCAGACGAAGGTTTCTCAAAGGTGACAACTGCGGATTGTCTCGAATCTTCCTCGGGTTTGAGATCAATTGACTTGATACTGGATCAATGTCAATCAAGAAAATAGGATGATAAAGTCATACGAAACCCACTGGCCGCAGAAACTGAGAGCACACTTAAATTATGAACTGGCAAGGGTAGAATGAGGTGTTATATTACCTGAAAAATTCATGAAGCTTCTCCTGAGTAGTGCTTGAGGAAATATTTGAGACCTGAAAAAAGCTGAAGTCAGGGAAAGAGACCACATACGCCAATAGTTAAATTTACTGTGACTGCAGACATGGTTGATGTGGTTGTAGATAGACTGGGATGAGTCGCAGTAGCCAAGATAGCTGATTAGATCCTAGGTTGACATCATCGGTCTACTGCGTGTGAATATAATACTATACTTGGATATGAATGCCCCATCACACCACGCCTGAGCACACCGGTTACAGGAAACGCTCGTTTTTGACCATCCGCAAGGTTAATTGAGATCAAGATGACAGACATGGACATTGACACTCCTGCGCCCTCCAAAAAAGAAGCAAAGGATGACGGGAAGCAACGATTCGAGGTAAAGAAGGTATGGTCTTGTCTGTCTCATACTCTCGTTCCCTCCATTGATAAGTCGCTTAGTGGAATGCTGTATCTCTTTGGGCATGGGGTGGGCTGCCTATCCCTAAAATTGATTGAAGCACTCAAAATTTCCCTGTGACAGATATTGTTGTCGACAACTGCGCTATATGCAGAAATCATATCATGGATCTTTGTGCGTCTACTTGTTTGCATCTCATCCCAACGTCACTCGAAATACGCTGTCATTTAGGCATTGACTGTCAAGCAAATCAGGTATCAGCATCTACAGACGAATGTAATGCTGCATGGGGGATTTGTAACGTGAGTTTATCGCTACTGAGTGACTCGTTCAGATCTCAACACCGCCACTCCTTTCATAGCACGCATTCCATTTCCACTGTATCTCACGCTGGCTCAAGACGCGCAATGTATGTCCACTTGATAATCGTGAATGGGAGCTCCAGAAGTGCGTTTCTTCTTCTTTCTGGTTCAGTTTTGCTCATGTATGAATAACAGATACGGACGGTGATTGTGGCATGTCCAACCCCTTTACACCCATGACTTGTTCCATTACTGTAAGATGTCGTTATTCATCCACTGTATCAATCATAGGAGTACTTTCATGTTGCATTGCACCAATCTCTTGGATGAACAAACATTGTCGAAGATTTCTGAAGGGCAATAACGTGAATCGGAGACACCAACTAGTGTTCTCGTCATCATGCCTCCGACAGTTCAGGCAGCATGTGAACCGAGAGGGACCGCCATGCATGGAAACATATAGCTAAATCATTCTTATCGCACCATCACCTCGCACAGCTTACCGACCTGATACATGACTTCAGTTCCCTCTGTTCGTGCCAGCTAATGTCATTAGAAAAGGTAAGCCCTCTTTACTACTTAATGGTTGCGTGATGCAGATACATAGTGCTGACGTCTGCGCAGGCACTGGAGTGCAATCCCCTTTACGCTCTCCTAAGCAACGTGTACTGATACTATCAGAAAAATAGAGTCAAGGCACCTGATTAACCTTCCTGTCGAGCTCAACCGAGCAAGTGATTTATTCTCAGACTTATCGGTGTATACATGCGTACGCCTACCAAAACGCCAGCTACGCCGTTTGGAACGTGCCACAACATTCTCTCCATCGACGGCACTCCCACATCTACTAAGTCGGCATTCGTATCCTTCAAGTCCCACTAGCCAGTCTCCTCCCGCGTTGCGTTCTCAGTGATATTATCTGGAAGATATTTCAGGAGATGGAGTCCCTGTGTTAATATTGTAGGACCTTTTTTCTCTGCACGGTCAACCCTCCTCAAGGACCGCAAGGTGAATGCTCGAAAAAGGGGCCACTCATTTCGTGTCGTCTGAGGTCTCAGCTCTTAGGCTCACGCAAGTTTTCGCTGGATTTCTGATGTTATGAGGCTATATGAACCCTCCAGCTCAAAATATCGTCAACCACCGTAAGTGTATTGTCGGCAACTCACCGAGATAACAACTCGTGTAGCATAGTACAGGTTTCATTATCAAGTCTCATAACGACCCCTCTATGCTACCAAGATGCTTAGCTTGATCCCAACGTTAGTATCGCAAAGGCTGGATGGAACGTTTCTGGTCTGCCGCGGTGGCACGTGTCTGAACTGATCAAGTCCCTTTCAATTAATCGCAAGCACTGTTGCTGAAAAATTGTGACTATTTGGGAGATCTAAGATAGCTGCTACAACAATGTCTGGCAGCCAACAGCTACTGCTAGTAGCTTTTCTTTCTTACCCATGATTGCTCGACATTATCACGGAGTGCACCGGAAGAGATGGATGGCTGGCTGGCTGGCCGATTTTAGAGAACCATTACGCTGTCCAAACTCGGGGAGCACTGCTTCAGTCTACCTCATCTAAACACATACCTGGTACACGCAGATATTACCCAACAGACAACCGCCGTAGGCTTCCTGAACACCATGAATCACAATTCACCAACGCTAATGCAATTCAACTGGAAAGCTACAATTGTAGTGTAAAATAAAACAGACGATATCTAAATTCAACCTAGAAGCTACCGACGTGACTGTTAAGATATTCGTTACCGAGAAGATGGTTTATCTTCAAACTTCAAAAGATCATACAGAGACTGAATTTGATCCACCTATTGAGCAGTTAGCAAAGCTGATATTTAGTTGACTTTGATTTACAACCTTGCGCTCAATCAAATCAATGATATCTCGAAGATGATCAGCCACAATACGCCGTCTCGCTGCTTGTACCATCGAGTCCATACCCTTGTATTCGTCTGCCAGCTCGCTATAAATCCTATATAAATTATGAGTGCGTGGACAATAGATGTCGCGGTAAATTCCAAACCCTTTGTGATGTGTAAACTCTTCCTCAAGTTCTCGTAATACCCTGGCAAGCACAGTCTGTGATGGTAATTTGTCGCCCTGGAAGATGGCTTCATACGAATCGACACCATCGGGTTCAAAGGCATCGGCTCGGGGTTCGAGAAGATCGTTTTTGACTTGTGCGTTAGGGCCCTGATCATTCAAAGGTGGGGCCCGTCTATGACTTGGGCGTGTGGCCTTCATGTTGGCATGAATACCAGTGCGCGCCGAACGGTGATTACACCGGGTACATGTTCCAGAGTTGTGTTTTGGTGCAGAGAAGAATAAGTTTTCAAGGCGACCTGAACGAATACGAGGGAAGGGGGCAGCTTCATCATCCTTCAAGGTCTCCCTCCCAGTCGCAGGCCGCTTCCCGTCTTCGGATTCAGTAACCCGAGCCTGTGTCATGTCACCTGGACGCGAGCCATTGCGCAACAACAGGGAAGCACTTCCAGAAGAGGATCCCTCCGACCGTTGTTCCTCAAGGTCTTCTGATATCTGAGTTAATGGGGCAACATCACCATCCCCCGAAGGCTCCCTTCGAGTAGCGTGACGTCTGCTGTCTTCGGAGTCAGTGAGCCGAGTCATGTCACCTGGGTGGGAGCGCGAGCTGTGTCGTGACGACAGGGATGGGCTTCCGCAAGAAGATCGCTCGGATCGTCGTTCCTCCAGGTCTTCCGATATCCGCGTTAGTTCGTCCACGTCAACGAACCTTCTTGTTGACTGGAAATCAGCACGAGTCGTCACCGGGTCTGGATCCTGATGTGACTGGTCTGGCACAGAGACCTCGTCTTCCTCTTCCACGAGTTGTGAATGCTGCTCCCTCGCCATTCTTCTTTCATTAAGGCCCTCTTCTACCACATTCCTGAGTACCTCAATCTCACCCGCAAGCCTTTCAACCTCGAGCCGAAGGGCGCCGATTTCATCTGTTTTCTCGGCAAGCATCTTGGCATCGTCCTCCCTGAGCCTCTTAAGGTCCTCCAGGAGCTGCTGCTGTGCTGTTAAGTCTGTAGTGACACGGGTGAGATGTGAGCGGAGGGTAGATATCAGGGATTCGAGTGCTGTATGAGCGGGTCAAACGAGACTCATCGGAAAGATGGGTTATAACCAACCTTTCTTTTCCTCCACGACCTCAAAATACTTTGACTGTTCTTCCTCTCTCTCTCGTCGTTCCTCTTTGCCCCTTTTCCATGATGGCTCGCCCGCGTCTTGCTCTATGATTCTCGAACGTTCTCGGGCGACATCACGTTTGCACTGTTGGAGCTCATACTCGAGTTCCCGGACACGGCGGCGTGCGATGCCGTTTTCCGTCTCGAGATGAGCGAGCTTTGCATGAAGGGCGTTAAGTGACGCTATGAGACGGGCTGTACAGGAGTTGAGATTCTTGAAACAATTTGAAAAGAATTACTGACATTCAACCTCTTTCGATGAACCAGCGGTCTTGATACCATAGCGTTCAAGGTTGGCCTTCGCAGGAGAAACAACTGCACTTGTAAGGCCAGTCAGGTCTGGGAGATTTACTCGTCCTCTACTGGCTTTCTTGAATGACCGACTTGTTTGGGCGATTTCTACATTAACATCAACGGCACTGTGATCGACGATGTCGTGAAGGGGTTGTTTCAATGCGTCGTGGTGCTTCATAGAGGCACGACGAGAACCCGCAGGCACCGCACGAGGGGTAGTAGTAGTCTGTGATTGGTTCTGGAATAATACAGCGTCCTCGGCCTGAGCTTCGTGCACATCCTTCGCAAGGCCCCTCGCCATACGAGTAAATTTGGAGCTAGATGCAGAGGGAGTGGGCGGCTGAACATTTACCTGCGGCTGGGATACATGCCGCCGCACGGGTGTCGCATCTATGTCGAAAGATACAGAATGAGAGACCTTGCGTGCCTTGGGAGTTGTTGCTTTTCGGGAATAGGATGGAATATGTTGGAAATCCGGTGCATCATGTACATACGAATGGGCGCGAGAAGGAGACTGTTGCGAGGTAGTACTTCTTTGTAAATTGCGCGGCCGTCGCGGAGAGAAGCCGACACGTTGCAAATTGTCGGAGAGTTTGCGGCGGGAGATGTTGAGCGAGCGGTCTGCTTCTGACTCAGCCGGCTCAGGTTCGAGAGGCGGAGAACGGAGCCTTGCGGCAAGTGTCGCAGGGTGAGAGACCTGAGACAGATCATACTCGCCTGATGCATCGAGGGCCTCGCGAGAGCACGGCTGGAGGGCATGTTAGTGGATGTAGGAGAAACGAGCCTGATGAATCGCACCGTCTGTCTGGACTTAGAATGAGGCTCCAAGATGCTGATGCGGCTATCCATACCAGCAATGATATCTTGCAGCGGGCGATCTGGGTCGTACTCAGCACCACTGAGACTGACTTCCCTTCGTTGACCACGCCCACCGAGCCCCGCACCGATTGTGACAGCACTGGCGTGATGGCCAATTGTGGAAATGGTCTCACCGGCATAAGGATTGACGCCCTCATCTTCATGAGTGGACCACGCGTGCAAGCCACTGGGAGCATCATAGTCAAAGTGCTGACTGGGCTGTTCGAATGATGCAAAGCCTAGGGAATGGTTAGAATTATGCCTCGGATATTCAACGCTGTCGTCGTCTCCTTGTGAAGATGAGAGATGCAGTGATAAATCAGTGTTTTGTATCTGCTGTTCGAGCTGAATGCGATGCTGTTCAAGCTCGTCACCAGGAATAGAAAATTCGAAGGTGGTTGATGGACGTCGCGCCATCGAGTTCGCAGCCCAGGTTGTATAGAAATAAGAAACAAAAATGAGATTAAAGATGAAAAGCTATATGAAGGATGAGATTGAAGAAAGTCACGGTCGAACTCAATGTCGGTCCACACCAAATCCACACAAAAAACAACACGACGCGCCAGTCACGTGAGCGAGCATAACTTCGCATGACATGGTCTGGCACAATTTTTAGTGGTACCCGATGGAAACACAAACCCATAAACCTCATCGTCCGGCCCAGTCTGGCTCGAAGGCTGGAAAGACAGGCAAAGGAAAACAAAAAACGGGTTTCAATGAGAAGGTGCTATCTGCGAATCGCTCTCTAGCATTTCCTTGTTGACACACTCTTAGGCATTTGCACCAAAATCTGGGCGACGTGCCGATCGTCAGGCCCGGAGAAACGTCGAGCGCGATGAAGCTCGTCTTCATGTTCCTCTTGTAAACCGAACACCTGATGATGAACCCCCACCAGTCATCATCGCAATCGTCGGGCCTCCAGGCGTAGGCAAGACCACTCTACTCAAAAGCCTCGTCAGGAGATACGCGAAGCAGACATTGTCCGAAGCCAAGGGTCCGATCACTGTGGTTGCTGGAAAGAAGAGGAGACTCACATTTATCGAGTGCAACAGCGACCTCAATTCTATGATCGACATCGGCAAGGTCGCAGACCTTGTCCTCCTGATGATTGACGGCTCTTACGGCTTTGAAATGGTGCGCTTGTTCTTGCTGAAACTTTTATCTCATAACTATCTTTAATCTATGGCAGGAAACGTTTGAATTTCTCAACATCCTTCAGGCTCATGGTTTTCCAAAAGTCATCGGCATCCTTACTCATCTCGACCTCATTAAAAAGCAAGCCACCCTCAGGGCTACCAAAAAGTTACTCAAAAGACGCTTCTGGAATGAGATATACCAAGGCGCAAAGCTTTTCTATCTCTCTGGTGTCCTCAACGGTCGTTATCCCGATACCGAGATCCTCAATCTTTCCCGTTTCATCAGCGTCATGAAGTTCCGACCTCTGATCTTCAGGAATACTCACCCGTACCTCCTTGCGGACAGAATAGAAGACTTGACGCCGCGCGAGGAAATAAGGACCTCAAAAGGTCGGTGCGACCGCACTGTGACCCTATATGGTTACTTGCGAGGGACAAATTTGCGGCAAAACACCAAGGTACATATTCCTGGTGTAGGCGACATGGATATCAAAACAGTGACGAAGCTCGGCGACCCATGTCCCTTGCCAGATGCAGATTCTGAGAAGCGAAGAAAGTTGAGCGAAAAGAAGAAACTTCTTGTGCATGCACCCATGAGCGATGTTGGTGGTGTTATGTACGACAAGGATGCTGTGTGGATTAATGTCCCCGGTAACTTTACAAGAGGAGCCACTGATGGTGAGCAGAATTATCGTTGCTTGTTTGCATGTTGTTGACTCTTATGAGCAGTTCCTCATGGCGAGGGTGAACGAATGGTCATTGACCTACAAGATGTGGATGAGACGCTCGAAGAGACAGTAGGCCCGGAGCAACATACGCCTTTTCGGCTCTTCGTCAAACCCATTGACCATTGGTGCCCGACATCATGATAGAGAAAATAGCTACTCCTATGACGATGACGATGATGATGATGACGACGACGACGACGACGACGAGGAAGAGGAAGTTTCAGAAGCTGACAGTGAGTTTCGGGCGGGAGATCAGGTATTCTCGGAAGATGAACAGGACGATCAAGGGAGTGGCGAAGATGACGAGCAGCCTCGCACCGGTCCTTCAAATACAGGCCGTCACGCAGTACGCACGATCGTGCGCCCCACACGTGGTTTTTTCAGCAAGGAGAAAGAGGGAGGAGATGTCGCTTTCGCTGACTCTGACTCCGAACTTGGGTTGTCTGACGATGAAGGCCGTGACAGAGCAGGTGAAATCATGTATGCTGACGATGAAAAGGAGATTTTGAGCGATGGCGAGGAAGAGTTTGATGAAGATAGCGAAGATGAAGTACCAGCGTGGAAATCTGGACTGGCTGCGAAAGCAAGCGCCGCATTCGAGGAGCTCAACCGTCGCAGGTGGCATAAAGACTGGGTTGCAATGATTTATTCCAGTTCGCTCAGTCCGGCACAGATTGCCAATAGCGCCGACACAACTGAGGTCAAACAGGATGAAATAGATGATGACTTCTTCCGGGTGAATAGCTCCGGTGCTGTGAATCAAGATGATTTGGACATGACAAAAGAGGTGCTGTCTCCTGTTGCGCTGAAGGAGTGGGAAGATGAGGGAGTTTTAGATTCTCTAAAGACGCTATTCATCACAGGGGATCATGACGGCGGTGTGGCAGACCATGAAACGAATGCCCACGAAAATCCGGAAGGCGGCGACTTCGTCGACCTGGAAGCTAGGAAAGCCCAGCCTGCTCCCGCTGAATTCGAGGGCATTGACACCGGGACTCGTGCCCTTGTCGAGGGTTATCGGCCTGGGACATATGTGCGCATAGAACTCGTTTCGGTCCCTTGCGAATTCATTCAACACTTCGACTCACGCTACCCTATCATCGTCGGTGGACTGCTAGCTGCAGAGGAGCACATGGGATACCTCCAAGTTCGCATTAAGCGCCACCGCTGGTTTGCACGCACATTGAAGACGAATGACCCGCTTATATTCTCCCTCGGCTGGAGGCGCTTCCAGAGTGTCCCCATATATTCACTTGACGACCACTCCATCAGGATGCGCATGTTGAAATATACGCCAGAGCACATGCATTGCTACGCGTCATTCTATGGCCCAGTTGCGCTCCCGAACACGGGTTTTTGTGCATTCAATGCGCTCTCAGGGGAGACTGTTGCATTCAGAGTGAGCGCGACTGGCGTAGTCCTGGACATTGGCCGGTCGACAAAAATCGTGAAGAAGTTGAAGCTTACGGGTGTGCCATTCAAGATTTTCAAGAATACAGCATTCATCAGGGACATGTTCACCAGTGCTCTGGAGGTGGCGAAGTTTGAAGGTGCAAGCATCCGAACGGTGTCTGGCATCAGGGGTCAGGTAAAGAAAGCGCTGAGCAAGCCGGAGGGTGCCTTCCGTGCAACATTTGAAGACAAAGTGCTGATGAGCGGTAAGTGGACTCCGCTTGGATTGAACTCACTCTGAATTGCAGACCCAGATATTATATTTCTAAGAGCATGGTATTCGATCCAGCCTCGCAGATTCTACAACCCAGTCACATCTCTCCTTCTGTCCGACAAGTCACGCTGGTTTGGCATGCGCTTAACAGGTCAGATTAGAAGAGATGAAGGACTGAAAACTCCACTGGCCGTCAACTCCACCTACAAGCCGATAGGACGCCCCTCCCGACGATTCAATACGCTCAAAGTCCCGAAAAAGCTACAAGCTGCTCTTCCGTACGCCTCGAAACCCAGACTTATGAAGCCTCAGAGCAAGCAGACCTACATGCAAAAGCGTGCTGTCGTACTAGAGCCTGAGGAGAAGAAAACAATTGCACTACTTCAACAGATTCGAGCACTGCGCAAGGATCAAGTAGCGCGCCGTCGTGAAAAGCAACAAGAGCGCAAGGAGACACATCGCAAGAAGGTTCAAAAGGACGAGGCTAAGGATGCTGAAAAGGAGAAGGAGAAGAAGAAGGTGTATATGAGAGCTGCAGGGATGAAAAGCAAGAGAGAAGCCGATATCGAGGAAGGGGGATCGAGGAAACGGAGGAAGACTTGAGCCCGAGTGACCTACAATGCACAGTATTAGTAGTTATTCTGCTTATATTCCATTATTTTGAGCTGTGACGTGACCGAAAACACGTCACACACGAAGTCACTGGTCAGTCTTCCGGAAGGCCACTGCTAGTGCACGAGGCTCTGCTCCTGTTCGCGGCTGTCTTTTAATCAGCCCGTTCATCATGAACGGCCATCATTGGCAGCAGCAAGCTGGTCACGACGCCCGCAGTCAGCTCTCGCCAGATCCTGTAGCACATGGCCATGCTCCCAACTCGACCTACGAAGCTCACAGGCTCTTTGCCGCGTACCCGACGGCTTCTGCGACGCCTTCGACGCACGGTTAGATTTTTATACGTTTTGACACGTCAAACGCGTTTAACAATTCATCTAGTGGCAAGACACATGAATCATTTATCTGTGTCCGCATCCAACCCCACCTACTTGCAACGGACCTATCTCGAATATAACTCTGGGTCTCAACACCAACCAGCTCCTGCCCCTTCCCCGCTCTCAGAGTACTCTCATGAGCTCTCCTACCTTTCGGCTACTTCAATGCCCACAGGTGATTCGCGTTACTGGCACAATACAAGGGACGACTCCGTGAGGTTATTGTCCCAAGGCGGCTCGTACGTTAAAATGTTGCAATCGGGGTGACGCCTCAATAGTAATATCTCTAGACACAGATTCGCTTCTTCTCAGTTTGCATCTCCGTGGCTACAATCTCAGCCTCAGTCAACGTACCATCCTCTTCCGTTTACTCAGTCGTTGATTCAACGCATGAACCCTCCTGCCGCATACCCTACCCCACCTCCGCCTGGCATTCGAAGCACGTCGTCTTCTCTTGCATTCGCATTAGGACATCCACTCACGTATCCTAACCAACCCAAACCACCCACCGAACACGTTCATCGGCGTAAAGAGCCTGTTGCAGCATTTAATAATTTTATTGCTCAGAAGAATCGAGACATAGAGATGAAACCAGCTGAACGTGACATGAAAGGAGACGAACCACAACATTCTACCCAACCTCTATCTCAGCCTGTGGCCCCTCGGTCTGTGCAATCCAACTCCCATTTAATCGTACAGTCAGCCCTTCGATCCCCGCCAATTCACGTTCCCCCGAGCACCGCTGCATCCACACAGCTAACCCCGCGCTCTACTGCTCACCTTCCTCGCCTTCCCATCCCGTTGGCACCTGCAGAAAACAGCGTAACTCCACAGAAGCGAAAACATGCTGGTGAAGACAAAGGTTCTCCGCTGAAGCGCGTACACACTGTACCGCCAGAACGTCAGGAAGAGTTGAACATTCAATTTCACTCCTTACAAACTAGTACTCCCTCATCGAGAACTACACCGCGTCAGGTAATGGCGTATGTAGAAGTACCTCCTTTACCAAGCGTATGGAGGACTCCTTCTAAGAAGTGGCCTCTGCCAACGTCCATGTCAACCCCTGCGGATAATTTTGATGCATCGGGGTCTGAAGAGGATGATGCCCGATACAAGTTTGGTATCCACGCCAGTGCGAAGTTGTCTGCTCGCCGTACAGGTGATAGAGATGAACGAGGTAGGAAATCTTTCATTGATGTTTCATCAATTATTCATCTTCCCTTCAGCACCTCTCGAAAAGCTTTCCGCGCTTATTGAGGACATATTCGAAGCTGAAGACTCGCTCGCCGTGGACATCGACGTGTCGGAGCTTCCGAAAGACTTTTTTTCTGCACTCACCATAGATTGCTCCCAACCACACTTGCAAGCCAATGTGATCAAGAAACTGACGAAACATCTCAGTCAGCTCGCTCGACCTACAAAACGGTCTAGACGGTCTGCCCGCGATAGCATAGACACCTCGAGAGCGAGGAAGGCGCTAGGCGACATTGACAACACTATCCTTGCAAGACTACTAAAAATTCTGGAACGCAGTATCAAAGCTGGAGAAGCTCTTGATCCCTTGCGTGCCTCTGCACATGTCCCTCAAGCAGATAAAAATCCATCGCCACGAAAACTGAAGAAGAGTCCAAGAGCGCAAAGAGTGGTCCATCAAGATCGGGATGCCACAGGTCCTGCATCACTGAACGTTCCAGAGGAAGATATACACGAGTTAGAGGTAGACAGTGCTGACATGCCTCAAGAGCTGACAGAAGCGCATCTCCACGATTTGTCAAAACAACTAGAAGTTGCGCGCGATAGTATCTTCGCGGTGGAATGTTGTGTTGCGTTATTAAGCGGAGAAGGCCTGACTAAACAGGTTTGCCTTTCTGGTCAATTTTCAAGGCTGATCTAATTTCTTGACAATTTCTCCTCACTGTCAACTTCGCAATACAGCTTTACTCCGAGGAGCTCATAACTGCTTGTCTGAGTACAGTCAAGAACCAGCTAACGATGATTCTATTCCCATTTGTCGAGGCTGCAGGCGTCGGTGGATCGTCATCACCACAACTGCAATGCATTCACAGCAACACTCATGCACATTCTGGTGATCTTCGAAGGTTGCTCAGCGAACTTTTCCAGGCGGTCTCGGCTGTACTTCCGCGCATCAACGTGTTATTTTCTGGTGAAAACATTGTGATGTCAGACTCAATCATCATTCAGACTGTGTATATCGCAATCGGGCCGTTCTTTGTAGTGGAATCAGGCGAAGGAGATGTCAAGAGTAAGAAAGATAATGTTGTATTGAATACACTTGGCAATAGCGCTATGAGAGGTCTTCGGTTGGACGCACTCTCAGTCATTCGAAGTGTACGTTGGTCTTTCGTGTTTTAAACCACCACTCATTGTTCGCCTAGATCTTTGCCAATCATGAGGAACAACGATCGTGGATCATAGAAGAAATTCTGTCGTCACTCATCAAGCTCTCTAACAGTCATAAGAAGGCTGGACAGTTCCGGTCAGTGAGACTTGTAGATGTTACCTGCGAGAAACGTTGACATGTCATGTTCAGCTTACGCGATGGTCGTTCAATTCGAACAGTCTCCGCACTTCTGTTCCAGCTCGTACAAACGTCTGCCCATGATGTCCGTGTTGCAGCGCGCAAGATTGCCAAACGTCGCCAGAGTCGCCAAGCTCTTCGTCGACAGGATAGCGTGACCAACGAGAAGTCGGCTGAACCTTTCATGGACGAATTAGACGCGGAGGTTAGTACTAATATTAGCAGTATGTCATACCTAACCGCCCGTGTAGGAGATACAGCTTTATATCACGGGGTTAGAGTCCGCAATGAATGCTGCAAAAACAATAGTCGTGTATTTGACACAGAGGTAAGCAAAATGTTGTTGATTCCAGTGTTGATAAAATCATGTCGCTAGATCTGGAAAAGGGAAATTGACCAAGAATTCCAACGAAGCCGAATACCGAACCATTTTTGACAACCTTATTTCCGACCTTCTTGTTGTCTTGTATTGGCCAGAATGGCCAGCTGCAAGTTTCCTACTCAGCATTATTTGTAAATTCATGGTGAGTTTTGTACCCTTGACTGTAAAATCCTCTTAAATGTTGTTACAGGTTTCTTCTCTAGACGACGTGAAAACGAGTACTCAAACGGATACAAACGCCGCAAGAAGCATTGCGCTCGATCACCTCGGTGTCATTGCCGCACGGATACGCTCAAGCTCTTTGAAGGTAAAGGTACACGACCATGACAAGCACGGTCTCCACTCTCTTGATGAGGTCCGTATTTAATCCGAGTCTTATCAACAACCATCTCCTCATATTTTGCAGGTCATTTCTTCCGGCGAAGTCAAACACTTGGACATGCTCATATCTCGACACCAGTCAATATTTTCGCATCTTTATAAAAGAGCTTCTGAAGATCAGGCGTATGACGTGAGTGACTTCAGTTCTACAATTACATTCCTACTGACACACAAAAGAGTGCCAATGATCTGACGGCAGCTACTTGGGGCCAAGAATTGGCAGTTGCACTCAAACAACTTAGCAGCTTAGTGCAGGAGGGGGGCGATAGTCTACAGTCCAAGCTTTACGCTAAGCTGAAGTCCGCCCTCAGAGAGGTTTGGAAGGATATGTCAAATGATGTTTTTGATGTCGGGTAAGTTTTTATCCTACCTTGCCGCTGAGTCACTCGAGTTAATACATTCTGGCAGCTCGCAGGAGGAAGCAAATAAGGTTGATCGTTACGCCGAAGAGATTGGAACTATTCAGACACTAAGGAATTCCTTCGGGCCAATTCTTAATGTCGTCCTGCTTGCACTTGATGCTCCCGCTGTTTTCATGCGTACAAAAGCATTACGAGCACTCGGGCAAATTGTAAACAGTGATTCCAGCATATTGGCAGCAGTGCGTGAACAAGTTCGTCGAGTCGGCACTTACTGACAAGCTACAAGCCAAATGTCCGTCGAGCGATCGAAAGTCATTTGCTTGACAGTTCCCCGGCTGTGCGTGACGCCGCTGTAGAACTAATTGGGAAGTACATGATAGAATCGCCGGAGGTTGTTGGGGACTATTACATGAAAATTGCCGACCGTATCGCAGTAAGAGTATTCTATCGGTTGGAGGTTCATTTAGCTGACTCTTTCAGGATACGGGACTTGGAGTTCGGAAACGTGTGATCAAACTCCTCAAACAATGTTACGCCAGCACAGAGGATCTTTATCGACGCATAGATATCGCGACAAAGTTAGTCCTCCGCATGTTGGATGAGGATGATACAGTGAAGGATTTGGCGATCAAGACAGTTGAGGAATTGTGGTTCCAGGCGGCATCACAGAGTGGAGTCCCTAAAACCCGGCCATCTGGTCCCAGCCAAGACAAGGGACCACTTCTCTCCAAGGTCTCAGTTATCATGGGCGTATCAGCCAACTTTAAAGATCGGCAATCCCCATTGGAGGATATGCTACATAAAGTGATATCCAGTCAAGAAGCTGCTAGCGCATCGTATTTGCGAGGAAATTACTCTGAAATTTGCGAAGTCCTCATTGATGGACTGGTAGATGCCTCGGACTTGCCGGGATTCGTAAGTGCAGGTAGCTCATCGTATCAATATTGTTGACATATTCTTTTGGCAGACCGTGCACAACTGTGTCAGGACTATATATCTATTCACTACAGCATATCCCTCTGTCCTCTCAGGAGCAAATGCGTCTACTTTGCTCCCGTATCTTAAGAACCCTTCCTCGGTAAGAGTCCACCATCATAAGCACACAAAATCTAAATAAGCATCAGTCCGAAGAGCTTGCTGTTTCCGATTATTTGCTCAAGATTTTCCGTATATCAATACCCCACATGCCTAAGACCGCAGTAAAGTTTGGTCAGGAACTACAGCTTGTGTTGCAGCCGATGATTGTTAAACCATCCCACATTGGCGGAGTCGTAGTAAGTTGTCTGGTCATTGGTGTTGATTATTTACCTAGTCATACCATAGAGCCTGCAAGAAAGTGTAGCTTGCATGTGCGGAGCAGTGCAGCACCTTACGCACGATTTTAACCGTCTGGTTGCTCTAGTCAGGTCTTGCAATGGTACGGAGACTTTGATTTTGGACAAATTCATGCTCACGTCATGCTCTAGCTCGATTGCAACAGGCCATTGCTCGCCCATCCTCTTACCAAATGACAGCGGTTGAAAACAGGACATTATCCATTCTCATATTTATTGTCGCTTTACTTGGTGAACACTGCGACTTTGATCGCCTCCGCGATGACCATCCAGGTAAAGCTGCTGCAGATGTCCACGCTTTCAGTAGTCTAACATTGATTCAAGATTTCGTTTTAGAATTGAACTCTGTATCTCCCGTACCGTGTTTTAGTTTTGTTATCTAGGTTATAGAATTCATCGTCATTCCTTTCAGGGACCCATCGTGGAGCACATTTACAAGAGTTTACTAGAGTTATACGAGAAATACAACGATGTTGGTCTGAAGGGACGTATCCTTCAGTGTCTCGGTAAGCCTCATCACTGTCTCTGGTTCGTGGCCTTCTCACCTTCATGAAGGTTTCCTGTTCCGTGCACAACCAACATTAATGACGCTGGGGCGGTCCGCTTCCATCATGGATGACATTTTTCACTCCTCTGATCTTGAAAGCCGCGGGCGACTGTTGCGCATCATGCACGACTTCTTAGTGTCCGAATCTATGAAGCACCATGAGGAGCAGAAAGGTCAGGGCCGTATTTTGTGTCCTTGCACTGTGCTTATTGTTCGCAGGAGGCACCAAAGGCAAGCATGGCGGGGTAGTGGATATGGCGGAATTGGTGGGGAATACAGATGGTTTTGCTGACTCCGGGTAGGTCAAACAATTGTTCTCGCAAGGATCTACTAATAAAGATACAGTGTCAGCTCAGCCGTTGTTCAACGATACATATCTTCAATCTTGGATGCGGCCCTGTCTCAAAATTCTCAGATCCAGAATGTTGCCGTTGACATTGTCAGCTTCACCATCAAACAGGGTCTCGCCCATCCGTTGCAAGTGCGTGTTTTGGTCTTCTTACAATTGTTCATTGACCAGTTTCGATAGTCCTTCCCTGTCATAGTTGCATTGGAAACTAGTCCAAATGCCGCCATCAGTTCACGGGCCAATGCGCTCCACGCGATACTCTGGAGTAAACACGCGTCTTTGTTGAATGCTCGATATATCATTAGTGCAAGACAGTCGTTCGACTACCAGAAAAAGATCTCCATAGATGCTGTCAAAGGTTTGACATCTTACTTTACTGTTTACTGTGACATGTCTTGAAAGTTAGTGTAGGTTACCGAACGCAAACAGAGCCAACGGCATTGCTTCAGAGATGGTATTCTCTCGTGCGGGAGAAAAGAGCCTCTCGTCAAGACTTCCTGAGGGCTCTCCTAAAATCTTTGATATCAACCCTTCTTTGAAATCATCTCAGGTAATGTACTGTCTTACCTTGTTTCATAATGCTCACGGGAATTCAGGATGATGTTGACTTTGCAAGATACATGGCAGAGAATTTTGCCTCTCTTGACTACAGAACACAAGAGGAAGTCATTACTGTTATTAAACACTTGACTTCCGTATTATCAACCGCCGGCATGCAAATGATCGACCTTCTCTCGCCTTCTCACCTCCTAGCGCAGCTGCACGATACTCGACCCCTCTATAATACACCTCACCACCCACCACTGTCTGACTTTCCTACGCATTCAATTGATCAGGAAACTCCAGTTGCTCCATCTTCCTCCGCGCTACCTGAGGTGTCCCACATCGATGTTGCTGTCATGAGAAGCTCAATAACCATCGGGATTGTCATGCTTCTTAAGACCCATCTTAAGTCTCTTTATGGGCTTTCAGAAGAGTGGGTCTTTTGCATAGGGGTCCATCTATCTTTACTAACCTTTCTTTTCCCCTCAGGAAATGTTCTAAATTTGTGCTCGGCAAGAAGAGCGCTATCGGTGACAAACCTGCTATCAGACGTCACCAACTTCCAATTACGTGGACCCGCCTCCCTTATACCACTACTTCTCTTGCCCAGGAGCACGACCTGACGGCTCACAGGCTGACGGTGCGTCTTCTTTCACTTGTCCCCCTCGTAAGGCTGACAGTCATGTAGTTCATTGAAGTTTGGAACGAAGATGGTGTCACTGCGGAACCTGAAGATGACGATGCATAGATGTGCTTTAACTGTTCACAGATTTTTTTCCCACTCGCTATCAACTTATTTTAAATATCATCGTACACATCCCCACTTGTAATGTAACATAACAATGTCACAAGATGACCTTTAATTAATCGATATATTCTGGTGAACTAACCCAAGAGCTTTACCGTGGAACCGTCTACAAAGAGTACAGGACCCTTGGGCATCTCACCAATAAGTTTTTTAATTGTGTCATCTAGGTCTGGTTCATCTTCAAACTTCCATGGCAATTGTCCACCATACGACTGTGGGAGATCCCTCTCGTCGATTAGCAATCTCAATGTACGGCCCGGATCTTTGCCCAAAATGTGAATTTTGTTGCGAGTGCCTTCGTCGAACCAGGTCTGTGGGGGAAGTCAGCATTAAAAGAACACAAGCATACATACTTGTGAAAGACCTTGATCCAGTTCCATATTGTAGGAAAGAAAGATGGTGAGTTCACGATGGCAATTGTACTGAGGGTCTCTGGATAATTTGCTGTAGCCATCGTAGAGGCCACCTGAAGATGGCTTCGTAGAGACCACATGGCAGACAAGGATACTTGCTCCAAATCGATTATAGTGGTCACTGATGATACTGGTGTTGGTGCAGCAAGATGGGAGCACAACGGCAGTACAAAGCGCGTCATCGACTCGTAAAGCGCAATGCTGTGCAGCTTCAACCAACGACGTATCATGATTTAAATGCGTACTGACATTCGCTGGTATCGGCGCTCTGAAGGCACAGACTCGAGTTCCTTCCGAAGCGGCGCATCTAAGGAAGCAAGACGGTATACATAGACCGGCAGGCCAGTCTGTGGACTAGCATGTTACCATCGGATTGCCGATGACCGAAGTAAATTCTATCTGCTGACCTTGTCGCGACGACCTGTCCATCGAGGGTAGAACCTCCTGGCTGATTCCATCTCGTTAGTCTCAAAGGTACGAAACAGCTCGTCGACATTATGATGTTTGCGCCAGGCTTCTGTGTCAGAAAACTGCTTTTGTGCTTTGTCTACATCGTACCGCCGAGCTCGTAGGAAACGCCTGAGAAAACGTAAGCGTGAATCAAACCCGATGAAACCGCGCATTCAAAGGCTGGAACACACAGCAAAGTTATGTCATCGTGAGATGCAGCTGTGTCATCGGAGGCAGGCTGGTACAATCCTTCGTTTCGGAGCTTTGCCTTGAACGCCTCAAGTGATTGTCCTCGATCGTCGCTCAAAGGTGTTGATATTATAGCTGCCACGGATTCTTTGGGGGTACTGTGTGGCAGTATATCTTGCATACTGTGCCCTATCAGAGTTGAATCGACAGTCGAAAGATTAAGAAGGGTTAATTGAAGTTGCAACGTTGAAGGACTAACTACTGAATTCAAGGCGAATTTCGATCCAAAGTTGCTGAAAGTGGATATGTAACCTCCGTCAAAAGCCGTGACTACTGTCAAGGCAACATGTCACTACCTCCCCTTCATTCTTTTACCTTCTCTCTTATTCCTTAGATTACTTAAGACTCGTACTCTACAGTATATAAGCCGGGCTTGATCTACTGTTAGAGTAGTTGATCCTTCCCCCCTGAAAATATACGCTTAGTTCGGCCAGTTTCCTCTGTTCGATTCCTAAGGGCCTGGACAGCTGCCGTTTGTTTCTCAGTTTGTTTCTCAGTTTGTTTCTGTATGTGGCGTGGCACTTGTGACATAACAGTGACCAACAGTGACCTTTGTGTGACGGTCTCAAATGCCCACTCATACCTCCCTTTACCACTGCTATGGCAAAGAAAAAGACTACTGTACCTTCAGCAAACAATGCCGGGACTTTAGCAGTTGCTCGCTGGACTGTTGAAGAGACATCCCGCCTTCTCGAATACCTCATAGCTCACTGTGCTGAAGGTAGAGATGGGACAGGATTCAAACAGTCTACTTTTACTGGCGCATCAACTCATTTGCAGGAGCCACCAGATGGCGTTTCGAAGGAAAACCATGTAGGGGGATCTGGCAGGGACTGGCAATCATGCAAGAACAAGTGGTTAAATGTATGTTCTCTGCTCATGCTAGATTATATTCTGATTGTAATTTGCACAGTGCAAAAAAAAATATGCCGCTATTATCGATATCAAATCTCAATCAGGCTTTTCATGGGATGATGAACTTGGTGCGAATATTGGTCCTGCTGACGCCGCTCGTTGGATGGCATTTGCAAAGGTGTGCTTCAGTTATGATATGAGAGGGGTACTGATATGATTATGAGTTTGCAGACACGTCCTGATACCAAACCGTTTCGCAACAAGGGCTGGGAACACTTCCACGAGATGGATGAACTCATGTGCACACAATGCCCTCGCGGTACCAACGCCTTCCATGCTGGACATGAGACGTTCGAGTCTGAACAAGCACCCCCTGACGATGACCAGGCCCATGGAAACGATACTCAACCTGTTGTGGAAGATGAGGTAGAGCGGTTAGTTGATGAGTATGTCAAGGACCAGGAGCGAGTAGCAGGAATGGTCAGTGACAAAGGGAAAACAGTTGCCGAGAGAGAGGTAGTGGCTGAGGACGACGACGAAGACGATATTATTCCTTGGGAGGTGACTCCTGTCAGAACCACGGTCAAGCGCAAGTTTGTATCTACCTGGTCTTCAACACCCTCCCTCACTGCCTCTGGATCTGGTACTACAAGCTCTGGTCTACCATTGAAACGCCGTCAGTTTAGCGGATCAGCAGGGGCACTCTACGCAATCAATGACCAATTTTCAGCATTCAGCGACATCTTCCGAGCCTCGTCGCAATCACACACTTCAAGCCCATCTATTATACTGTCACCTCAGCGCAAACAGGTGGCCATGCGACGCGCACAGGAGCTAGAAAAGCATCTTGACAATGATAGTATGGCAGCGCTCATTGAAGCATTTCAGATGGACGTCAGCGCTGCTGATGCATATATGGTCATGACAGATGACAGTCCAAGGAAGTCTTTTGTTGATAGAAAAATCAAACATATTAACCGGCAGGTTCTGTAGATTCAAATACTAGTATTGTAGGTCTCTATTCACGTATTCTGACGAGCGCAACAAATCCTATGGTAGTCCTCCCACATGGTGACTGCGATATGATCTCTGTCTTCAGTTGCCTGCTGCCTCTCTTCACGGTCAGCTGGTCCCTCTGCAAGGTCGCCTCTAGACTCGCCTGGATCGCAGTCAACAATGTCTTCATCGGCAAATTCTTCTATTTCTGTCGGATCGTGAATGCGAATAAAATTATGGATCGCACATAGGGCTGGGGGGATGCGAGCTTGCATCAACATACTATACTCTGGTGGGTGTACCAGTATCATGAACCGCCTCTTGAGCACCCTGAATATTCTCTCAATAGCATTACGAGCTTGAGCATGCCGGAGATTATAAATTTCTTTTGACGTTTTTGGCCTGTCACAGCATTGAGAAGACACTACAGTGAGTCGTATATCACTCACTGAACTGCAGCTCGCCCCCATTCAGCCAGATGATACCGAACACCTCGGTACAGGACAAGGAGTGAGTCGCATATCCCAAACCCAGCATCTGCGAGATAATATCTCCCTTCTGGAATATATAGGTCTGTGAGCCGGGCATTATTGTAGAGTGTCGAGTCTGATGTTGATCCATCCCAACCACTGAGGACATACTGGAACTGGAGATCGAAGGAACAGCAAGCGAGACAATTTTGGCTGACACCACCTTTGCGGTTTCGTGATAGTTGCCGTTCTGCTGCAGACGGGCAGCATGCAATGTGGGTACCATCAATTGCCCCAAGTGCACCTGAAAAGTATGGGAAGAATTTAGAATTTTCCAATATTTCCTTTGGTATGGGTGCATTGTCGTGCGGAAGGGATACAAATTTGTTGTAGAATGGAGCCGAAGATATGGCAAGTAGGACTTTCTTGAAATATCTGATAAGGCCTGTGTGAGGCTACTGGTAGTACAAATATCTTTGCAAGGTGAACATACTTTTGTATTGTCGTGTGAGAGTGCTGGAAGCGTTCTGCAACATGACGGCTCGATAACCCAGTCACACAGGTGTAGAGAAATATAGCAATCTGTTCATCAAGTGAAATATACTTTGAATCACAAAGTCCACAAGCCCAAAGTTCCTGTACAAGTGCATGAAATACGACCTTTCTCATCCCAAGCTCATTTTTGATCCGGTTGGGATGTCCGTTGACAAGCTCTTGCACCCATGCATGCCCAGAGAGGATCGAGGTATGGTAAGGCTCTTTATTGAGAAATGGGGTCATGTAAACAATTATAGCACCTATTATGAGCTGGATAACCATTGCTGCTGCCATTCGGAGGACATAGAACCGGTGAATTTGCTCTCTTGCTGCCAGTGGAGGCGGCATTGAGTCCTTAGTATGTGTGACTAAACCCTATGTCACTGCTGTTTGTATATATTGTGGTAAATGAAACTAACTGAGAAACAAACTGAGAAACAAACGGCAGCTGTCCAGGCCCTAAAGTATATTCAATGTCAACTTTCCTTTCGTGTGAACGTTCTACGAACGCCACAGGATACCATTATGTAAGTCCGTTTAACTGGAGACAGTTGCGTAACCCTACATAATGGAAATCGTTCATCGTTCATTTACGTTCATATGCCCTGAGGATTGTCGCAGTCCATACAGCATTGAAATATTGAACCCAGCGCCCATATACATACTCGAGCTTGATCAAGTACCAGTAGTTTCTTACCGCCATCACAAAGCCACGTCCGAATTGTCAGTACCTACATGTACGACAGTGCATGCTAGTGTAACAATCAGCTTGTCAGAGCTTTCCACATGTCTCCCAAAGCCTCTTTAGAAGCATTTTCTCGTTCTTGTCCATGAATAGCATAATCGTGCCAAACCGCTGGACTTTTGATAACGATACCAAATATTCACGTACATCATCAGGAGCCGCGATTTGTAGATCTATAACTCGTTGAAAATGCTGAAGTATTGATGAGAGTAAAACTGGCTCCAGCGACGCCTGGAACATATTAGGAAGGGACGATGGTGATATTCCCTGAACAATGCCGGTCAGCAACGTGGCGAAGAGTGGTCGAATCACATACAGAGACGATGTTCCAACGATCTTCGTCTTTCATGTGCGACTCCCACATCTTTGTGAAGTTAAAGAGAGTCATAGGAGCTTGTGGGACAGTGCTGTCGACCATGGCTTGAAGCGAGGTTGTCACTGGGGCTGCGCCAGATTTTCCATCGTTCCTAGCAAACAGTGTATGGTTGCCAGACGGTCGGAATATCCCCCCACCAATGCGTGACGGCTTTGTAGTGTTCCGTAACTGCTTCGTGTCTTTGAAACTTTCTGTCCTTGCTGAAGTAGTTTGCCTCGGTGGAGGCGGGCTAGTGCTCTGATCTGGTTTGACACTTGACGAACTGGGTTCGTTACTCCGAGGTAACGCCCGGGAGGAAATTGGCTGCAGCAACCCATTGTCTTCGAGGCCTTTAGGCTGCCTTTCAGCGTCTTCTACTGCTAGCTCTGCGCCATAATGATGCGACGTTCTAGACAAATCCTCAACTACCTCTATCGGAACGCGCCTCCGTTTTATCGCCGGGGCAACCCCTGACGGTATAGTTATTGGACGAAAGGTGTTCTGTAGGTCAAAGGTCGCTTTCAACAATCACAGCTTGTAACATTTGCAGTACCCACTGTAGTGTCACACTTCTGCTGGTGAATTAGTTTATCGACTTCTATAAGCTCCTGCTTCACCGATTGATTGGAGGGCTCTAATTCGGATGCCCTGATGAAATCTATGAGATAAATGTTGAGATTCTTCATCATTTCTCCGTGGAAGATATTTCACTCCCCTGCACGGGCTTTATCCAAACAACCGAGACCCATCCGAGCCTGACCTCTCCGAAATAGAGCTTTTACATTGTTGGGGCTCAACTTCAAAACGGTCGCACAATCTCGTTCTGCATCCTCGTTCCTACAAACCCAGAAGTTGGTTAACCGGTGGCAGACTCGTCAAAGACATATAACAGAATAAACGTACTTGCCTAGCTTTAAGTACGCTGCTGCGCGGTTGAGAGGAAATGTCGAATCATCAGTATTCTCAAGAATTGCGGATGTATAATGACCGATCGCGGCTGGGTAATCACCCGACTTGAAGGCTGCATTGCCCTGTAAAGCGGAAGCCGTAAGAAGATGACACCTAAGCTCGCCTAAAGCGAGCAATGTTGACGATAACTCACCTGATCTTTCGCTATTTTCGCTTTATCTGATGCCATCATAGGATTTAGCGTCAAAGGTGCTGCTGGCAGTGAAGGTTCATTGGTTGAACTAAAGCCGTGGTAAGTCAGATAACGTAAAGCCAAGATGTAGTGATATAGTACAAAAGTGGTAAATCATCCAGTCAAGTGCACGACAGCGATATCCCTCATAGTCTTTGCACGCGATCAGTGTCTTCCCAAGTACTGAGTATTGAAGGCGAGCTAAGGTATGTATACAGTCAGTTATTTTCGTTAGATGGCTTTCATTATTCGGTCCATACGTGCCAACAGCTTCCATTACACCCAATTCGCTTCTTAGCCCATTGCTTGAGGAGAGCGTCGGCACTACCGCATAAGCGGCGGTTCCTGTCTTATAATGGCAAATGTATCACTACCCAGCACAACGGTTGTTCCCCATCGTGCGTTTACCTCATCATGTTTCTCTCGATTCACCTTGACGCTCCACGCGATGGACAAGCGTCCGTTAGCCGCCCCATCTGCTCAGCTGTACCGCCTCCTCGCTTGTTACACTCTCTTGGAGATGAAAACAAATCTGTCCTCAGTTTAATGGCAAATGCCCACCATATTTTTACTGGTGGCCAAGGTCAAGATGTTGCGGTGTGTGCTAGGGTTCACCGATTAAATTCTTATTCTTATGCGGCTATGCTATCCAAGGTCTGGGACAGACACGCGTTTACACTCAAGACTTCCCTTCGTGGTCACACCGGAAGCATCCTGGCCCTTGAGCTTGCGGAGGAGAAAGGCTGGCTTTTTAGCGCTTCAGGTAGGTCTTCTCGTACTATCATTTGCCGTCTTCTTAGTACCGTGGTTAGGTGATAGCACTGTCAGAGTATGCCTATCTCCTCTGATATATCGGCTTCCGCTGACGGAAGTCAGGTATGGTCCACAGTGACCTTTCTACCGGTCTACATCCTGAATCCATATCTTGAATCGGGTGCAGGCGATCTATTTTCTCTCGCCTGGAACCCCGCAATGCAGATCATCTACATTGGTTGTCAGAACACTTCACTTCAATGGCAAGGGTTCTGTAAGCTTCAGCTTGACCGACGCGCGGAAGAGCAATGCGGCTCAGGCACATCAACTCCAACTCGTAAAGTTCACAAATTCTTCGATAGTTATCCACAATACACCCATCGCCCTGCGGATCTTCAAGCTAACAACTTCAGCATGTCTCCATCAACCAGTCAGGGTGCATTCGTTGGGACTGACTCTTTGATCAACATCCCAGCCACAAATGTCATCGACTCTGCTCATTTTGGTTACATATATTGCATGGCTCTTTTGCCTTCGACAAGGGAAGGCACAGGACACCTTGCGCAAAAGCTGGGGCAGAACTATTATCTCGTCACTGGAAGCGGGGACGAAACCGTCAAGGTTCGTTTCATCTCAAATCAAGGGATGGGTCAGCCGACTTTGTACCACTATCAGATTTGGTGCTGCAACCCATCTGGTCTCAACATGATGCACTCTTTCGATTGTCAGCATGGTGCCGTACTTTCGATCGTCACTTCCGGGGAGACGATATACGCTGGATGCCAAGATGGGCACGTGAAGGTGCTTGACTTCGAAACACTGACTCTTGTTAGATCGATCATCGTTCAAGAAGTAGGCGCATTCGCGTATAATTTAGTGCGAAACCTCATATTTGTATACCAGAATGTCGACGTCCTTTCGCTATCGATCATGCGGTCTGATCTTTACACATGCTCTGCCAATGGTCACATTCACGTAGGCGTGGAAGATTACTTTTTTTTCATCGCCATCTGAATCTCCTTTGTACCTCTCAGAGATGGTCGTCTTCGTTTGATTGCACAGCGTCGTGGCGAGCTCACGACGGTATTGTGCTCTCCTCTGTTGTCTCCTGTTCTTCTGATCGCAAGTCGTTCTGTCTCATTACCGGGGCGAATGATGGTTTCGTTAAGGTAGTGTTTGACAATAGCTTGTGAATACTTACCTGAAAACATACAGGTCTGGGCAATCGTTCCAAAAGCCGAGGAAAATCTTTCCCAGCTGCGCGAGGTTAGCGCGTTGATATCTGATTCGGATGTTACCCAAGGCATGTTATATTGCGATCTACGCCCTTCAATCACTCAATTTTGTAGGAGATACAATGACTTATGCACTCTCCAAGTTCGTGTCAATACCGAGTGTAAGCAGCGACCCGAGCCACAGAGAAGACTGTCGTCAAGCTGCAATTTGGCTGAAGAAGGGCTTGAACCAGCTAGGTGCTCAGTCGGCTCTGGTAAATCTACTTAACTTGTTCCATCTATTTTGCTCACGTATAGCATCTTAGCTACCCACGCATGAAGCCGGGAGTCCTCTTGTTCTAGGGACTTTTTATGGGACTCAAGGGAAACATCCAAAGCCAAGAATCCTATTTTATGGGTACCACAACTGTTCCATAAGACTTATCTCCCCTCATGATTTAAACAACAGGCACTACGATGTTATTTCTGCTCCTCCAAAAGGGTGGGATACTGATCCCTTCATTGTGTCAGGTCGTAACGGCTATCTGTATGGACGAGGGGTGACGGATGATAAGGGCCCTATTATGGCTGTAGCTTGCGCTGCTGCAGAACTTCTCCAAAACCGCGCTCTTGGCGTTGATCTTGTTTTCCTCATCGAGGGTGAGGAAGAGACTGGGAGTACTGGGTTTGTTGATGCAATAAAAGAACACAAAGTAGGATCGCATGTTGCGCTCACATGACCACGCTCATTTCCGTTATTTTTCAGCACCTGATCGGCAACATAGATGCCATCTTACTCAGGTAGGTTGGTGTCGATCATCTCCTTTCCTTTTGTTCATCTGCGGTAGTAACTCGACTTGGATTTCTGAACATCATCCTTGTATCACGTATGGTCTCCGCGGTGTCGTACACTCGACAGTAGAGGTACTGATTTTCGCTATTACGGTGACTCAGACTGACATGTGGTGCAGATAGCGAGCGGTGTGCCGGACTTGCACTCTGGTGTCGAAGGCGGTGCTGCCCCGGAGCCAATGTTTGATATGTATGTCAACAACCTCCAATGGTCAGATCCGGGTTCACGTTCATATCAGGATTCGCCTTCTTGCAACTCTAATGTGTGATGAAGGAAAGGTAGCTATACCGGATTTTTGTTCGTTCACATCCACTGCACATTGATTTTGCTTGGCCAGGCTAATGCGACGTTTACAGACAACTGTGTTCGCCATCAGACCGAGGCCGAAAAGCACTTGTACGATGTTTTATCCAATGTAACTCAGAAGCCTGCCTCTGTGCTATCTTCGCGATGGAGTGAGCCGTCTTTGACTGTACATAATATAGACGTATCTGGACCTAGGAGTAAGTCACGCATTCCGCTCGTACCTGAATGTTGCTCATTATGTCAAGACTCGACTGTAATCCCGGGAAAGGTCACTGCAAAGGTGTCCCTTCGCATTGTTCCAGATCAGGATTTGCAAACCATTGCTCAGTCTTTGGTTGATCACCTCAGAGGGTCCTTCGACAAGTTCCGGTCACCTAACCAGCTTTCTGTGCGTGATTCATGTTGACCATGATCCTGCAGCTCACGATATCTTGTAGGTGAGCATTGACCGCACGGCTGATTGGTGGCTCGGCAATTTGGATGGCCCCTGGTTTAAAGCACTCAAGGCTGCTGTGCACGATGAATGGAATGTAGAACCATTACTCATCCGAGAGGGTGGCGTGAGTGATTTGTATAGATTAGGCTTCCTCTTGCTCACTGTTCATGAAGTCCGTCCCATCGATTCCTTATCTAGAGAAGGAATTCGGCTGCCCAGCACTTCACCTCCCATTGGGACAAAGCACCGTGCGTTCAGTCTTGATTATTTTATTCCTTGAAGCTGATGATCAGCAATCAAGGACCAAGCTCATTTGCCTAATGAGCGCATTTCCGTGAATAATTTATCTAAGGGAAAGTCAGTCGTAAAGCGTTTCCTATCAATAGCTACAAATCTTCATGCCCCGACTGAGTGAAATATGCTTGGTCTTGATATGCACGTATGTCTTGCGCTCTCTATTATAATTTCTTTTTGAAATGCTACACGAGGATATCGTAGATAGGTAATTACCGCTCCGCTTGCAACCACACATTGAAATAAGAGTTAGTGTACAACTTGCTGAACCTCGTAAGAACAGCTCACATACATTCATATCAGTCATTCACTTGACCACTGGCTATTTAACTGAGTTGTGCGTATACATCCTGATATTCGTAGGTTCCGGCTTTGTTCCAGCTAGGCTCGAGACTAGCCTGGCTTACTATGGTCGAGTGGCATAGCTATACGCCAGACGGTCGGACTGGTCACGAGTCTATGTCTATGTTCTAGCAACATTCGAGTGACCCGGTTACTCCCTTTGGCAGGATGTTCTGGCCTATAAATCTAAATTCATCGTCGAGGCAGCTGATTCAATATGTAGTTTTGGGCGAAAGTGGGCCACGAAAATCGCCTTTGCGTCATCAGTTGTCATCGTCAACATCCAATCAGCATCCATGTACCTGCTGACCGTGGACCGAAAGGGCATCCCCGACTCCCTATGTTACAGGATAAGAGGCTCAGGAATACACGATCGGTTTTCCATCTCTGCCGGCTACTGTATTACACCTGTATTCGGGTTACAATCATTTGACACCTCATTTGTTAGAGGTTTCTCAAGTTGTTCTCGCTGAGCCCCTTTTTTCCACTATGCATACCTGGGTGAACCACTGCATGTTATCTTGAGCTTTCCGTTATGGATGTTCTAGAGTTTCGCGTTGACCTCTCTGTCCAGTGCCCAAGCCTTGTTGCGGCAATCGAAAGTAAATAATTTTTTGTTCCGCCTCGGCATCAACATAAAACAGGAGCGCACGCAAACTACACACATCAGAACGATATAGCTCGGTCAGCCACTTTCAGCTTTCAAGTCATCCTCGGTCGCACTGGAAAAGCAAACGGCCGAAGGAGTGTCCATTGATGCGATTTCAATGAGGCTAGGAGGTTACATCATTTCTCTGAT